TAAAAGCCTGTTTAAGTACTAAATACAGCACTTAACTTAGATAGCAACAATAATAGCAATAGCAATAATAAAGCTATATTTACTTTTAATAACTATTTTTTTGCACTATCTACTTTTATAAATAAATTTTTTAATAATAAAAACTTTGCAGAGCAAGTATAAAAAATAATATATATATATAATTTTACGCATATTACTTAAACTAGCTATTGCTACTAGCAATACTAAAATTGTTTTCTAGATAAACTAGACTTATTACTAGTATATATACTAGCACTATTAATATAGTTTTAAAAAATAGCGCGCAAATAATATTTAAATATACTTCTTTTTATTTTTATTATTATTTTACTTTACTTTTATACGCCTGATTACTAATAGGCAACCTAATTTTAAATAAAAAAAAAGTAACTGCTAAGTATAAGCTTATACTTTAAACCTATTTAAGTTATAAAATTTTATTTTTTAAATAGATAAATAGACTTTTTCTAAATTCTAAGAATATACACTTTTAAAAATTATTCTATAGACTAATTACTTTATAATATTATATCTAACCTGTAACTAATTATATAATATTTTAATAATACTGCGTAGTTATTAAATATACTTATATAAATATATATAATTATTAACTTTACTAATAAAGATAATAGCACCTTCCTAGATAAAAATGCAACTATTAATTTTACTAATAAAAGCAATAAAAATAGTTTATTTAGCTTTTTTAATAACAGCAATAATGCTCTGCTTAAAAATGTTATCCCTAACTTATAGCTTTAGTTTAGTAATAGCAATATTGCTATAGCTAGCTATAAACTACCTATTAATTCTATGCTTTAAAAAATATTTCTAAAACTATAATAATTTTTAGATAAGGATAGTTATAGCTTAGTAAATAGTAGTAATAATAAAAAATATAATTTATTTAAACTACTTAAAATTACTAAGCTTATTAATAATATTTATACTTACTATTTTAAATAATAAAAGAAATGCTTAACCTTAGGTAATAATATAAAATACAATTTATATATTAAAAAAATTATTAAGTGCATTCTATTTATAATAGAAAAACAGCAGTATATTTAAAATTTTTATAAATAATGCAAAAGAATTGCGAAGGCTTTAATATACATAAAATCTTTATATAACTATTATATTATAATTAATAAATATTTAAACTATATATTAGTGCAAATACACATGCAGCAAATACTACTTAAAAAATAATAATACGCTATATATTAAAACTATTTAAAGCAAAACTGTATAAATATATAAATACTTAAACTATTATAATACAATAGTTAATATTTATGCAATATATATATTATAAATAGTAATATATACATAGCTTTTGCTAATAAAAATAATAATTTTTGCAATAACTATGCTTATAAAAAATATAAGTATAATTAAGCTATTTTCTACTTATATTATATAAGTAATAGCATTTTTTATAAATGCTATAGTAATAATAATACTATATAGACAGCTTATTACTCTAATAAAGATTTTAATTACTTTAAACTTAGTATTTGTGCATTTTATAAAGCTTTTAAATAAAACTGCATAGAAAATTATTTATATTTATAATATATAATAATAAAATATTTATATGCGTATGCATCTGCAAAGACTTGTATAATAAAAATAAAAAATAATATTTTTATTGCTAAAAAAAAAGCTGCATATACAGTTTATAAAGAACCTAATAGCTATAGCTATAGTTATATAATATTTATTATTACTTATAATCTAGAATACAAGGGGCATAAAATTAAATTTAAAATATTTACAAAAAGCAGTATTTTTATAAAACTCTATAATATTAATAATAACAACGCATTTAATAAAGATATCTTTAATAAAAACTTCTTTTAAGCTAACTAATTTACTTTTTCTGTATATAATTTTAGATAAGCCCTAAATATAAGCATTATTATTAATAACTGCCTAAATAGTAATTTTATAAATTTATTAGTTATAAATAGTAATATGCTGCTTAATAAAAACTTTTAAAATTTATATAATTAGCTTGCTTTTGCAGCTATTACAGTATTTTTTATTTATATACTATATAATTATAAAAAAGTTATAATAATACCTAAGGCAGGCGCATAGCGCAATATAATAATAAAAAAACTTAATTTACTTTTTAAAAAAAGCGTCTATAAAGTAGTTTTTTTATTTAAAAGTAAAAAAATTATTTTTACTAAAATAGTTTATAAAGTTAAGCTTATATTAATTAGCAGGATTACTAAGTTTAAAGTATATTTTATTATTTGCAGTTTTTAACAACGCTTTAGTATTAATTATATAAAAACTTTCTTTTTTATAGTTTATTTTATATTAATATGCATGCTACTTGCTATTTGCACACTATTTAAATAAATAAGTATATAAATTAATATTACTATTGCTTTTTTTAATACTATACTTTAAAAAACAGTTTACTGCATACTGCTACTTTTAATTATACTACTTTTTAGCTATATATAGCTATTGCTTAAATTTTTTTATAAGCTTATATAAGCGCTTCGCATATAGTATAAAATACTTACTATAAAATTTATGCAAATAAGCTTTTATATTTTACTTTATAATAGCTGCGTTTATATATATACTACGCAAAAGCTAATTATTTTAATTTATATTAATAATATTTGTATTTATGCTTTGTACTAGAATAACATTAATATATTTAAAAGTAAATTTTCTAATGCTTTTACTATTATATTAAAAAACTTTAATACTTTATATTTAAAAATGCATATTAAATAAAGTATAAATATAATAAAAATTTACTAAGCTAAATATATTTAGCAATTTTTTAATTGCTATAATTTTAATAATATAGCTGTTATTAAAACTCTATATAATTATTGCGTTAAGTTAAAGCAAAATAATAATAATATTACTACTTTTATTTTTAAAAAAAAATATTTTTAAAAATTTAGTTTTTTTAATTATTTACTAGTTATAACGCGCATTAACTTAGCTTATGCTGCTTTGTTCTATAAATGCTTTAATAGTAATTTAATATAGTATTATATAAATATAATAATTAAAATATATGCTTATATATGTAGTACTTGCAAAATTAGCATTATATATAAAAAGTAAAAACTTTAATTTTTAAATTATATTAACGCTAATTAGGCTAGATGTTTTAATTTTTAACGCTCTACTACTAGCTACATATTTATTTTTACTAAAAAATTTATTTTATAATTATTTATTATATAAAAAGTTGTGGCCTAGTTTATATATAAAGCAGAATATATAGCTTTTAGTAAAGCTATAAAAAAAGCTATATAAATTAAGTTATTTATTAATAACTTAAATATTAATATTTACTTTAATACAGTGCTTATATATATTAATAACTAGTTAGCTATTAAGCTAGCTAAAAACTTAAAATTTTACTAATAAACTAAGTATATTAATATTTATTACTACTTTTTCTGCAACTATATTTATAACAGCTCTATTATAATTAAATAAATTAATAGTAAAGAAAACTTTACTAATATACTTATAAAAGCTTTAAACCTTATTAAGTTTAAAGCAATTTACTAGAATATTAGTTTTATTAGCTAAATACTTATTATAAGTACTATTTTTAATTTACTAAATACAAATATAAATAATACTATTATTTATAACTACTAGCTTTATAAAGCAGAGCAATACTTTTTTATTTATATATTATAGTAAAAATAAGTTTAAGTAAATGCTAAGCATATTTAAATTTTAAAGCTTAAATAGCTTTATACTACTTATAGCATTACAAAAAACTGTACAAAAGTATAATTTAATTATATTAGAATTTATAACTATTACAACTATAAAAAAAAAGTATATAATTATAATTTTATATAGCCTTATTATAGCAAATAGTATATAAACTATAATTTTAATATAGAATACTTGTACTATAGTATAATACTATAATATTATTATTTTTTTTTATTTTATCCTGTATTAGGATTTAGGGGGGCTGTTAATTTAAATTCTTAATATATAATTTATTATATGCCTAATAAGCTAGTTTTTATATAAACTAGCTTACTCTAGTTTTACTCTTTTCTATATATAAATATAGCTTCCCTTTACATATAGACTATTATTAATACAATTACCTTTCTCCAGTTCTACAAAAGGCCGATGTGTCTGACAAGTAGTCCGCCGATTTGTACGTATGAATCTTGCATCATCTGTACGGTAACTGTTTAGGTTATTAGGATGGTTGTTGCTGACTGGTATGATGCAGTCAGCCACTTCTGGCCCGAGGGGAGTAAGACTGGAGGAGGGAGGAGCGACATCTCGAGCGTTGGGGCTGGCGGCGTGGAGATGGGGAGTGCGTATATTGTGAGGAGCGTTCGGGGTTCGCTGGAGAAATATCTTGACGGTGATGGGCCTGATTCGTGAAATTACGATATGAAAGCCAGTGGTGTCTATGAAGGAGCATAAGTTGTATCTGCGTGTAGGTTCCTTGTGGAATGCGGCAAATGTCCTCCAGCTCGCTCTGATCCGCAAAATTTTACACCTTTGCTAACTAATCATTTCCTAGGCTTCACATCGCACTCATTGCTGACTCAATACAAGGCGTAGATGTGCCGACCATGTGGGATCAGAAGTCGCTTAGGTGCTTCCCGTGGCGATCGTTGCGCGACGCCTCTAAAGAGAGCGGCTCTTTCCACTCTTCACCATGCGATGACACCTGAACGGGCTGCTAACCTGTTATGGTCGCAAGGTGAAGGAAGTTGCAGCGTAGATAGGGCGAAAGGGCAAGAATCAGGCTTCTGTTTGTCTCGGCTGCTCATCATCCATTACCGCCGCACCATCGAGTCCTTTTACGATACGCGGGACGTGCAACCACGCGGTTACTCGTTTGCGCAATTCTCCCAGCCCGCTATTATCCAAGTCTCACTGTCTCAGGCTTGTTATCCTCATTCTCATGCACTAGCACGTCGCCAATCAGCTTACTCAACATGGTGAGCTTGAGTCCCATCTTCTGCACTCTTAATGACGTGCACTAACCAGAAACATAGTTCCAACTATTGCCAGTCCTTATAGCTTATGCCCTTCTCGTCGGTTGCTCAATCGCCCAGCAGTACCCGCCACCTGTCACCTACGATACCATCCTCAAGTCACCAGTCAATCCCAAAATCACCATCTCCTATAAGCGACCCGATCCTGGCACCTGCAATACTGCCTTCGATACCCAGAAACAATATTCGGGCTATGTAAACCTTCCTCCCTTCACTCTCGAGCCCTACCAACAGAACTATTCTATCAACACCTTCTTTTGGTTCTTCGAATCTCGCACTAGCCCCGAAACGGCGCCCCTCGCCCTCTGGATCAATGGCGGTCCCGGGTCTTCCAGCATGATCGGCCTCTTTCAGGAACTGGGTCCTTGCGAAGTTGTTCCGTTAGAAAATGGCAGCTACGGCACACAGTCAAGACTCTGGGGCTGGGACCGTAGCGCTAACTTGCTCTTCATCGACCAGCCCACCCAGACCGGCTTCTCCTACGATGAACGCGTCAATGCGTCGATTGATTTCAAGGAACATTTTCCCTTCCAGTACGAAAGCCGTCTAAAACCTCAACCCCTCCCGGCTGGCGTCCCGTCGTGGCGTTTCATTAACGGTACTTTCGCTTCTGGCCATCAAAACAATACGCAAGACTCGACAGCCATTGCAGCAAGGGCATGCTGGCACTTCCTTCAAGGTTTCCTGTCGGCATTTCCTCAGTACAACCCGGGGACACATCCAAACAGCACAGATGTTGAGTCCGCTGGCGTAAACCTATTCGCGGAGAGCTACGGTGGCATCTACGGTCCTGCCTTTGCCAATTTCTTTGAGGACCAAAATGATCGACGCAAAAACGGTTCCTTGCCTGCAAACACGTTGGAGATTCAGCTCGAGTCAATTGGCATCGTCAATGGCATGATGGATCTTTTGATCCAGACCATCGCTGTTGCCAACTTCACGCACAGCAATAGCTACGGCATAGAAGCGATCGACCTCGTCAAGTTCCAAAATTACATCTCACACATCAACTCTGATGACGGATGCCGAGGTCTCGTTGCGCAGTGTCGCAGCAGGATGGCGATCACTGACCCTGAAGGATCCGGTCGTGACGAGGATACTGATTATCTCTGTGCAAAGGCCCAAAATGCCTGCAACCTGATCGCTGCGCCTCTCTATGCCTATACCGACAAGAGCGTGTACGACATCCGCTTCAGGCCAGAAGTTAGTCCTGGTGATGCTTATGAGGTGTATTTGAACACTGCCGATGTATTAAAGTCCATCGGCGCGCAAGTCAACTTCACACAGAGCAGCATGGCGGTAATGGAGGCGTTCTCGAGTAGTAAGTCGTCGCTCTTCCCTGTTATGCTCAAGCAACCTAACTGTCGATGCAGCTGGCGATTCGGTCCGTGGGACTCAGCTGAGCTCTCTAGCGGAACTTCTCGCTCGTGGCGTGCGTGTAGCATTCATCTATGGCGATGCGTGAGTTTTCTTCTGCAAGGTGTCAAAAGTCTAACTAGGCTTTACCATACTGATGGCTTAAGCAATTGCTAACAAGCTATCAGCGACATCATTTGCAACTGGTACGGAGGACAAAATGCTTCTCTCGAGCTTGCCCGTCTCGTTCCAGGCTACAGCAAGGCTTTTCCAGCAGCCGGGTATGCGGATATCGCTGTCAACAACTCATACGTCGGTGGGCATGTTCGTCAGTACGGAAACCTTTCATTCTCTCGGATATATGATGCTGGCCACCTCGTACCATATTATCAGCCGGAGACCGCATTCACTGTTTTCACGCGCATCATCAAAGGCCACGACATTGGCATGGGCCGAGACATCGATCTGTCAACGTTCAGCACGCAAGGTCCTCGTAATTCACAGCACTCAAATAAGAAGCCTGATGAGCCTACGACGACCTGCTGGCTCCGAGACAGCCAAAACACCTGTACCGAAGAGCAAATAGATGCCATCAACCGGGGCCAGGGTGTAGTCAAGGACGGTGTTTGGATTCGCGAAGACGATACTGCAAGTTGGAGTGATCCACAACACGGTCCAGTCATCGTCACAACAAAGTCCACGACAAAGTCCTCGCCAACCACCTCAAGATTACTGACTGGCGTATACACCGCGAGTGGCACACCAACACCGGCACCGACATCTGGATCACCACGCAGGGCGAGTACCCTTTTCCGCCTCCCACGTCGGGCTGTCGATCCCTATGAACCGAGAGAGACAGAAAAAGAAGAGAAAAGATCTCAGAAAACAAGAAATGGATTAGTTGGCGGGCTGGCCGCTGCCGGTGCTTTGTTACTGTGAGTTCCTGGGGCCCCACACGTTGCTTCAAAGTACTCCCGAGCGTGCTACATACTAAACAATTTGTTATAGGACCCTACTTGCTACACTATGCTGCTGCTGTTGCCTCAGACGCCGAGAGTTCAAGGATCGCACGCTTCCTGATGACACAGAAAAGGGTCCAACGGGCGTGACACGGAATCGCGGGGATCCTGTGCCATCGCGTCACCCAACAACTATGGAGCCTATCTCTGAGACGAGTTCTGGACCTAGCAAAGATGCAGTGCCTGTTCAGCGTTCAGTATCCATATCCTCATCTACACCAACGCGAGGACCGACGTTTGTTCCCTCTCCATCTAAGCCGAACCCGATGCCCACACACCCGCGAGAGTCTACTCCGCCTCGAGAGCCTCCGCGTGAAGCAACGGCTCCTGTATCAAAGCCAGACTCTCAACCAGAACCTGGACCAGCGTCTCGCAAGCCGTCACGCGTGAAGCATGACGAGGAGACTGTCCCGGATCGGGAATCAACACCACCCCCGCGAGTTGCTACTCAGCATCTACCCCCTCGAGCGCCGACTGCGCCTGTGCCCACAGAGGCGGGGGAGTCATTTAAGTAGAAACGGCACAATAATGGAAGTGCGAAGCGTCTCCAGACTTGTGTACATGATTCTGGCGTTGGGTCGTTCTGTCGTTTCAGCGTCGTATCTTTCTTGCTGTCCTGAGAAGAGTCCCAGCGGGCAATGAGAATGCTGGTAATGGTTTTGTTAGAGCAATGCTCGCAGTGATTTGTTTCGTTTAGCGAGCTAGATACCCCTCTATGAACTGCTTGTATCATTACACTTTTTAAAAAGCCGCTATCCACGAGCTCTGTGCCTATGAACTTGTCTTATTCTTCCAACAGGACACACCACCACAATGACAATGTGTACCATGACCAGAGTCATATACATAGCAACCAACATTAAGCAGACACTCCCATCCGTTTTATGCTCTCGTTTCCCTCATGTCTCGTCTCCTCATCATTCCCTCAAAATGTTGCCTCAAGTTGATTTGGGTAGGTAGACGTCGACTGACATGACTGGACACAGATAGACATGCTTAGACGTAGATAGACGTTAATAGGATTAAATTAGGTGTGATATACCTCAACGCGGCCTTGGAGAACTAATCCATTGTCGTTGACAGTCCAGCAGGTGTGACAAGTCTAAAGAGGTCCTTGACAGTCACTGACATTTGTCAGATCTAGAGGGAAAGAGGATCAGAGAACGTGTTCTTGGACCTTCCCAAAAGGAAGCTGTTAATAGGAAGGCCACACGGTGGACATCATGATCTGCGATTTTTGTGCTCAACATATCAGAGTGGAGTATCTCTTTGCGACATTTGCTGCAGCTGGACTGACGATCGAAGTCTATAGTTGAGTTTGCGTAGCTATTGTAGCGAGAGTATGGAATGGTGCACGTGTCGAGGGCGCCTAGGTAGAGCGTTAAAAAGAGGATGAAGCTTTGCGACTTCATCAACTGCTTAAAGCATAGAGGGCATGGACGTGTCAACAAGAGGCGGAAACAGAGGCAGTGTGCGTTTACATCCTAGAATGCTCTCGACCAAGGCGTGTGATAATATGTGTTGAATACTGGGAATACCAATTGCTGAACAATCTGATAACTATTAAAACCACATAGTTTTGTTGCCCAGAAGTTAACACAAGGAGCGTAAATTGACCGCATATCCGGAAATCGTCTGAAACAAAGTACAATATTCCCATCTTCGGACCTTAGCTAACCGAATATATCTTATGATCTCGCCGTATGTAGATGGAGATTGTGCAGTACACTCCTTCCCTCTCACGTATACCTCCAAAATGCGGCGCCCTTAAAGGTCCCAGTTGATCGGGGAACGGCCAGTGGTGCTCTTCATGGGCTCGAACAAGTCGTTTGAGACCCATTCGCCCTGTCTAGTTGCCCTGAATGGTTCGGCTGACATATACGCGAGGCGAGTGATGTGAAATCCGTATCCGTACCGTTCAGCTACCGCGCTCCGAGCCACCTCGGCTGAAGAGCCGGACATAAGTTCCTCGTAATCAAAGTCTGGATCTACCACCATGGCGGTGTTGTCGAGGCGGATTACGATCTTTGGTGTAGCCGGCAACCACCAGACACTGTCGATCCAATGGAGTTCTCGAACTCTCTCATGTAAATCCCCAGCATTGCGCCTCCAAGTCGACAAAACCCCTGGAGTGAGCTGCTCTAAGGCGTCGTGAATGTCCGAGACTCGTACACCGTTACTGTTGCTAATCCTTTTCAAGAGCACCTGGAAGCTAGGAGATGCCTCCGTGCTGGAGTCGTAGTGATATATGCCTAAAGTCTGACACGGAGGGTCGGTAATGTGCATAGATCCAATGTTGTCAAGAAGTAGACTAGTAGCAGATGACCTAGCGAAGAGGAGACCATCGGGTGTATTCGAAGGGCGAAGGGTAATTTCCCATCGACCAAAGCGATGCTTAATGCGGTCATCCTTTGCGAAGAGATGATTGAAGTAGGGGTTGATCACAAACTGACTCAAATCTAACCAACATATGTTGTCAGCAGTCCGGGATATGGAGTTAATGCGGCCGTGCAAGTTATGTCGCTGTTGAACATCCAGATCGTTAAGCGCTTGGGCAATGTTATCCGGTAGATCGCAAAGCTGACTTATTCGCGCGGGGAAATACAAGTATCTTTTGCGCCACGTAACATCTGGTTGCCTCCTAATCAACCTGCGAAGATGTGCTCCGAACTCTTCAACCTCTTTGGAACTTGGTCGCTGGCTCACAAATGTAGAATCTATAGTCTGTCCGTACTCAACCGGCGCGTAAGGATGTGAGAAACGGAAACCAGACACGTTTCTTGGATTGCTAATGACGGAGATAGCAGAGGTGCGCCAGGCGATAGCGACATCCAAAGCATGTACCTGAGCCTCAGGGCCTGCGAAGTGCAAGATCAAGTCGAGTAGTTCAGGAACCTGAAAAACGTGGTGCTCCGACCTCTTTGGTGGGGAGTTTTTTGGCTTGCTCGAGGTGCTTGTTACGCCTGCTATGAGAGGTGGATACCTATCAATACGGGTGGCGACTTGGCTCCGAACTCGTTGCCTCCAAACCTCTACAGCTGTCCGCTCTGCGACTGAGTAAGTGGGTTCTGTATCTGGACATGTGTTGGTTTTGTTGCGGGAGTGAACACCGTCAAGAACAAGCTGATATAGTCTTGAATTGAGTGTCGCGGGATCCTTTGATGGCTCGTACATTGCGAAGAGAGCTGCCGTCTGTGCGTCTACTTCACGTCTATATTTTTCGTGATGGAGCAGTGGAAATGCTTCGTCATATGTGTCGTGAGATCGCTCCCGGTGTGCGGCCTTCACTGCTTCCCATGCTTCGAGGTCCATAATGGCGTTCAGCAAAGGAAGGACCAAAGAAGGTGGGTACAACGTCGTGATATTTCGGAGAGGCTCGATGGCAGACGGGATAATGAATGAATATTTGCTCAACTTATGTGCCCCGGTGTTCTTTCAGACGATGTGTCCTATGGTGCCTAGACTTTGTTAACCGGATATGTACTAGCGCGTTCCCCTTCCATGGCTGGACCCGGGCTGCAGCCTCACCTACCAACACCAAATAGGTGGCTTTGAGTACTGCCGACCTGTCCTATTGTAAAAAGAGAAGGTGATGTGGAAATTGAACAACTAATCACATCAAGATCAGGATTCGATGTCGTCGTTGGGAAGATGTTGCGACGGGAAGAAGGCATGTGTTCACGCGGTAAAGTCCGCATCTAAGGAAATTATTCTATAGAAGCGTTTCCACCTTTTCGCCGGTATGAGTTACTAGTATATTGAACTGGGACACTCTCTTCACGGCTGTTTCATGACTTTTTTTTTTGAAGGACCAAGATCTTAGCGTCGACGATGCTACCTCGCTCACTCTACCGGAGGGTAACAGAAGCGCGCCTATCCCATAGGTGCTTACCAGGTGCATCCAGCATTTTCACTGGGGTAAATACAAGCGACTGTTGCATGGCCTAACCTCCCATTTCACTCCTTCACCTAGAAATGTACTCGCGCACAGCCTCGCTCTCCTCAACTGCCAATCACCCCAACTCGAAGTCAACGAACGATCAAAATACCTTCATCCTAGCAACAGCCACCATGACCGTCTTTTCATGCAAGGCAGCCTTCGACAGTCTCGGTCTCGAGCGAATCAGGCCATCCCACGCCCATGCCTCTCAAGAATGCCCCATCTGCCTGGACCCACTCGCCGTCCACCCCATTCACAACACCGACCCGTCCTCAATCCTCCATGCTGCTATCCGTATCCTTGCCTGTGGTCACGTCGTGGGCGTAGAGTGTCTCGAGACGTGGCTAAGTGTTGGTAACACGTGCCCAACTTGCAACCGCATACTTTTTCAGGCGGCCAGCGAACCTATCACTCAACAAGATGTGAACAACATCCTCCACGCTCTCAGTCCCATGTTCGGAGAAGATCGTGTCATGGGCGAGGTGGCGCGCTTAATGGTCTGGCAGGCGGAAGAGAACGCGCGGCTGCGCCAGATTCATGAGGTGGAGATGGCGAAGTTGAGGGCGACGGAGAGTCAGGTTCGTGACGAGGAGTTCAAGATGTCTAGCGATGACTTTCTGGATAGTGATGAGGATGTGGACTTTGGTGAGGGAGATTATATGGACTTAGAGCTCGAGGAGGGTGAAGATACATCGGACTGCGTGGAGTAGCTGGCGATGGACTTGATGAAGTGTGGTGGATAGTATATCTAAGAAAGAGAAGCAAAGACGTGTAAGCTTGCCCAATAGTCGGTAGGCTTTAGCTAATTGGTCTGTCGCTAAGTCTCGCACCTTCCAGACGGGCGCGAAGTTAAGAGATACGCGAAACGACCATGTCCAACCGTAATGGTAGACTATTTCCGTGGAAATATTGAGACCCACCATCGAGATTTTGTCAGCAGATATGTATAGATACCACAACACGTAAACTCATTATTCAAAAAATGGAAATTCAACTGCACGTCCGTGCTGTTCCAGAACATGAGCAGTCCGTGGGCATATCAAATCACCAGCCAAACTCGCGCAATAGCGAGCACACATTACGCAACGTACCAACTTTTCAACAACGCACGATAAGAAGTCCATACGTCTTGAAAATTAATACAAGCCTTGTTAACAACACTTTAATATTCTTGGCTGGTGGGATTTGGTCAGTTCATCATGCCTTACTATTCCAAGCAGGAGTTTCTCGACATGGGTATCAAGCGCAGTACCACAGACGACCCAATATGCAACATCTGCTACGAGCTATTCCCCGTGGATCAACCTCAACACCGACCGGGAGCATACTTCAAGGACACATGTAGCGCTAGCAAAGCACTGCTCTCCCGCCCTAGCAAGACAGGACCCCGATTTCCGGCACGAGCAAAGACCCGCCGCGCATCGAAACGACAGAACACCATGGTCGAGATCATTGCCTGTGGCCATCAGTTGTGTCTGAGTTGCTTGGACCGATGGCTAGTAGAGAGGATCACGTGTCCCATGTGCCGCGATGTGCTGGTCATCCAGGACGAGAGAAGTTCGTATTTCTTCGGCGACCCGCGACCTTTTTCTGAGAGGGAGATTCTGGAGATTAGAGACATGGGGGCGCCGGCCGTGAGTGGATTGGTGTCGAGAGGGGAGCTGGACTTGGAGGAAGGAAGACAAGACGCGTGGTGGCAGGTGTTCGGGGGTGTTGAGAGGCGGGAGAGATGGTGGGCGGACGTCATTCGCGAGGGTGATGTGCGCGCTGGTTGGAGCGATGCTTGGACCATGGAGGAGAGTGATCTGGACGTTATTGGAGGGTTGAAGTGGACGCTGAGCCAGGATGAAGAAGAAGATGATGATAGAGAATCCGAGAATGGGGATTATGAGGAGAAAGTGGAAGGGATGGCGAGGCTATCTGACAATGCAAGGAATTGGGCGGGAGTCGACGAGATCGCACACCTTGCGTAAAACTTTTGCGTGACCGATGTCGTCTGCTTGTCTGTTGTGGTAGTCCTGTACTGCCACATGGGCATGAAGAGCGCACATTTCGGCTGTGGAGCTTCACAGGTGGCGAGAAAGGTCGAGTCAAGGCGGTATGAGTAGGAAGAATACATGACAGACGAACAAGGCAAACTTGATGTTCATTCATATGATTATGGTGAGAGATGTCTTTCGACTAAAGAGGATGCACATCTACCTTGGGTCGGCCGTTTCCAAAAGAGACTGGCCATTCTACGTGCGACGTTCAAATTGATGACTGTGGCCTGACGTGGCATCTGCAGCATAGCAGTAATCTGTACCAAATGCTCCAGCGTCTCTAAAGCGAGAAACCATGTTCCAAATAATGCGATCCGGTCATCAAATGCACAGGTTAACGATACTCACCGGAACTGCGAAGCCGAGAGACGTGTCGTCTTTCCGGTCAGCGTGGTCGTGAGTCATACGGCTGGTGGCGGAGAAGCACGCCGCCGCCAGAAAGCGTAGAATAGGCTGCACCTCTCTACACCAATGATTGCGCAACCAGCGCTTTGTCGGCTTGTCTCATGAAAGTCTTTGTCGTCTCTACACCTATGCTGCTTATCTTTGTCGGTTGTGGTGTTGGTGCCTAGACAAAGCCGGGTATGCGCAGCCTGTCGCACCTGTCTCAGAAGATCGCGCGCATTCCAGGGCGGCGATGGGTGCGCAGCCTTTTGCCGCCCGGAGCATGCTGCGTACTACGGGCGCGATGGACTTTTCGTCGTGATTTTGCGCCGCTGAAAAGGATTTTTGGCGTGGCAAGTGCGGCGACGGGGTTGAGTGGTCGCAGGCCTGTCGGGGCCCATTCGCCTGATCCGAGGCCCGGCGTCATCGCTGGTAACGAGGAGAGGCACGGCCTGGGCGCGTCAGTATGGCAACAACGGGTCGCTGCAAGCGGCCAAGACGGCGGGTGAAGGGTGGCTGCAGCACAACAACAGCAACTGTCTGCGACAAGTCTGTTGGAGCCCCGCGTGTCGCAGCAGGCGAGGGTGAAGCGGTGGGGTGAAGGGGGAGGGCGGCGCCTGTTGCATTGCTGCTGGAGCCCCCTTTTGCTCACAAAATCTGCTCGCGCTAAAAGCAGCGCGTCGCGCTAGGGGCCGCGCTAGGCCGCATTCGGGGTGCACAGGCCGCCCGGCTGCCAGGCTCCAACGCCTATAAAACCAGACCGTCCCCCCCCGACTTTTAAAACCCTTTTCGCCTTGCTCACGCTCGCCGCCTCACATACACCTCCCCGCACCACCCACGCCGTAGCCTAGAAAACACTGATTTTCGACTGCGCGCTCACTAATATTGCGACTCGGGATCATCTGTGTGCTAATCTCGCACATTTCCGCTCTCTCTCAGAGGTCCTAGGCAATTCTGCGATCGGCACTAGCCTCTTTCGCTTGCGACAGCCTTACGAGCAGCCTCCACTACCAGTCGCATCATCCGACTCCCCCCCGCCAAAGGCTTGCTGGCTTCGCTTTTGGTCTCTCTACCATCTCCGCACTAACTCGCTGTCGTCTCCGACAGCCACGAGCGATCGGCGACACATACTTGTCAGCGTTTGCGAGGGACACATTCGCTTGTTGCTCTCCTGCGTCCGGTACCGTCTCCACCTACTCCAGACCCAGACCCTCATCCCACTCCCGGCGTCGACCGACCTCGCACTATACTCGCGATCTCGTAGTCCGCTCGCTTGACCGTCGCTGCCGTCCAAAAACATACTCTGACCTGCGCAGTCTGTCAAGAACCCTAGACCCTTCCTCACGAGCTCACCACTCGGAAGAACATCCTCAAGTAATATCATCATCATCATGGATCCCAACTCTCTGAACTCGCACCCGTCCACCGCCGCTCAGGCCAAGACGGTAAGCATTTGTGATGTTGGTGCGCTTTCCAAATCGTTCTAACCTTCTCTCTCAGTTCGTGGCACCGGGCTCCCTCTCGTTCCCCAACAACGGGGACCTGACTCCACCGTCCTCTGAGAAGAGCGCGCAACAGGATGCCACCAATGCGAACGGCGTTGCGACTCCTGCGGCTACCCCCGATACCCAGAACGGTCAAGTGCCGTCTGGCATCGTGCCTACTCTTCAGAATATCGTGGCTACCGTCAACCTCTCCGCTCGCCTCGACCTCAAGACCATTGCTCTACATGCCCGAAACGCTGAGTACAATCCCAAGCGTTTTGCTGCGGTCATTATGCGTATCCGCGAGCCCAAGACAACGGCCCTGGTCTTCGCGAGCGGGAAGATGGTTGTGACTGGTGCCAAGTCTGAAGACGATAGCCGCCTCGCTTCCCGCAAGTATGCGCGGATTATCCAGAAGCTGGGGTTCAACGCAAAGTTCACCGTACGTTGTGCCGGACTAACCATCCTTGGCCCACTGCTAACCGTGCAATAGGACTTCAAGATTCAGAACATTGTCGGCTCCTGCGACATCAAGTTCCCCATTCGCTTGGAGGGTCTTGCCTCGCGCCATCACACTTTCTCGTCCTATGAGCCTGAGCTGTTCCCTGGTCTCATCTATCGTATGATGAAGCCCAAGATTGTCCTGCTCATCTTCGTCAGCGGCAAGATCGTCCTCACTGGTGCAAAGGTCCGTGAGGAGATTTACCAGGCCTTCGAGCTCATCTATCCCGTCTTGTCCGACTTCCGCAAGTCGTGAACATCTTCTTTCCCTGGTGCCGAGCTTTTGACGAACCTGTGCCGAAACACCTTATTCGGTGTGCACGTCGATGACTCAAGCTCCTCCTTCTCATAACCTTTTGTCATTTTTGCGGCATTGCATGGCGTTACGGCGGGCGGCTTTCCTCTTCTTGGCTTTTCTTCAAAATTCTCCAGATTTCTTTGCCCTCGAGACGATTAGATATGTGCACGTGGGAAGCTCACGCCTACAGTAATCATGTTTACGAAGGCTTCTCTTTCTTCTTCAAGCACGGGTACGATTACGTCGGCGAGTATGGTTGCGTATAGGGTTGATACCGAGTTTGCCCACTTCAGGATGGTGTGCGTGGGTGCTGGTGCGAGCGTAAAAGTTCGCACGGAGAGCTCACATTGGTTGACTCTATGACGCCAGAGCTTCTCATGGATTATGCTTTTCAGCAGTTTATCGTGGATGTGTATACACCCCTCTCCTTGAGGAGTGGAACAGGTTAGGCAGTAATGTCACAACGATACTACAATATTGGCTCTTATCTACTGTACATGATTGTGAATATTATTGACGTCGTACAAGAGCTCGTTATATGTACGGATGACAAGTCTCCTTCTAAAGAGGCATGAAGCCTCTGCTCGTTCGCGTTCAATGGCGCTCCCTCATCCTGCTGGGCCTCTCCTCAATCACCAGGCCCTTACTTGGCACTGCGACTGGTGCTGATTCAGTGCCCCTCTTCTGCGACGCCGTTGAATTCATGTGAATCTGGCTTTGTTTGTAATGGGTGACGGTATAAACGACAGTCTCTTGCGTCTTCACCCTCCATCAATATGGTATTCATACGGCAGCTCCCCTTCACTAGGATTTGGATGCAGACGTATCACTGACTGCGCCGAGCGCAGCGAACTCGTGGAAGAGTTGGGCAAGATGGTCGACGGACTACGTCGCGGCACCTCATGAACCAAGACCGAGCCTGTCTCTGACTCCGAGCGCAAAGACCGTTTAGAAGGCGTCCGAGGGGTTGCGAATACAGAGCTGCGTTGGCGTTGTCGTGACGGCGCAGAGTGCAGTGTCTGCGGACTGTGTGTGCCCTCGTCGCTGCTGGCTAGGCTCTCGGCCTCGCCATAGGAGGAGACCGAACGTTGGCGGCCAAGCTGCGGTGTGCGATACGGGAGGTGCGAGTGTGAAGAGCTGCTGTCGGACACTGAGGAGTCTGTAGGCGCGAGGCTGCGCGTGTCGGAAAGTATGCTTTGCGCGCGCGCTTCTTCGATGACTGCAGGGTGTAACTCGGCCATGCCACTGAGTATAGCTGCAAAAACAGACATGATGCTTCTGAACTCTGCCTCGGTAAGACTGTCTGTAGAGAAGCGCGCGTATTCGTACCGCGCGAGAAATTTGGGGCCTAGACTTGGTGGCTGGACCAGCCCGAATTCTCCGAGGCGGGCGAGGTATTCACGCAGGCCCATCGCTCGTGGGCGCTGGAGCAGCGTGACAATTTGCGCGTCTGGAAGGGGCGGTGCATTATCTGGGTATTGGAGCGCGCCTTCTTCAATAGCAGGATCGGGAGGTGCGAGGGAGACGGCTTTGGCTTCGATGAGGTTGGGGAGCTCGCAAATGACACTCCAGTACTGGAGATTTGGCAAGTCGGGAGACGAAGGGGACGCCCAGCCAGGATGCGAGACGTGACCCCATGGCGGCGACTTTGCGGATACGGGAATGATAGTTGCGTCGGGAGCATGATGGTGTCCCTTCTTTTTCTGTGCTTTCTCTTTATCCTTGTCCTTTTCCTTTTTGCCCCCTGCGGTATTCGGCCTTCCCTCCCCATTTCCGTGACCCTCTTCATCCTCCGCATCATCAACCTCTCCCCTAACATCCCTCGGCCTGCTGTCCCACGCTATAATCGCACTCCTCCTCAGATGTTTGACCACCATCCTCCTGATACCCTTTCCTACTTCCCCCTTCTCAACAGGTACATAGCCCTTCGGGATCGCCTGCAGCACCGTCCTATTCGTATATATTCTCGTCGAGTATATCAAAAGCACGATCAAGAAGGTGAGAAGGTAAACACCACCAATCACGAAGAGCTTCTGGATCTCGGCAGCTTTAATTGATTGGTAGATGGTTTCGGCGGGAGTTATAGCGAGGAGGAGGAAGAGGATTATGAGGAGGGTGGTGTACGTTGTTGAGTACCAGATGCGGAAGAGAGGGAGGCGCATTGTCGCGGTGGGTAGAGGAATGGGATGCTGGCGGCGATGGTAATGGTATGCATCGGTAGGGAGATATTAGCAATTAGAGCGGCGTTGGTGGTGTTACATGGTTGATTGGGTGAGGTTGGGGGATTCAGGGACATTGTTGTGAACTTGAAGTTGGAAGGCGCCAAGGCACTGACGCATGCACGCACGCACGACCCACGAGTTTGTAGGGTCATTTCTCCAACCACGACCCACGCTGTCAGTACATTCGTGTTGAGGAGTAGGTATGGCCTATTTCCATGGAGAATATCGAGAGAGCGCACCATTTCAGGGGACACCGACCGCCTACAGCTTCTTAGCTTGTTTCTCTCCTACTTAACCTTGTTCAGAAGCGGTCAAACCACTTTCTCCGCATATCAACATTGCTTCTCTCCTGCAAACATGGCGTGCGTTTGCCAAGAGCACATTGTAACCTCCGCCATCGGTGTGGCATGCTCTTCTTGCCAAGCGTTCCAGGACCGGCTCGCTGAGACTCACTACGATACAAGTCATTCTGCAACTGAAACTTTGTTGTCGGCAGACTAATGCTGAAACGCGAACTGTCCGCGATTATGGCATTGCCCTAGCGGCGACAACCTTTCTCTAATATCACCTTTAACATCCGTCATCAAGCTCTCTTTCTATTCATCAGCTGAATAACTTTACCATCTATGCGCAATCTCAAGGTCTCTCCTCGGCATTTGCCAATCAGATCACGGATTAATACTCGATTTTCTGGACTGCTTTTGTTCATCTTCATATATCTCCTTCATCTCTATCACCCCCAATTCTCGTTAGAGATTCTACCATCTCCTCTACGCTTCCCATCGAGTCCAGCGTCATGTCCTATTATCCCTCCATATCCCTCTATTACCTCCTCACCAAACAACGTCTTCAACTGGCGAAATATCACTCAACACTACCCCGTGGAGGCTTTCGAGCAGTTACCCGCGGTTCATACGAAGACCCTCGCAAGGATACAACATGATTTTGACTCAGAGAATCCACCACTTTACCACGAACTCATGCGCAAACGCCGCCAAGCCGCCATAAAAGCGACCTTCTCCCGCTGTTGGGGCGCTTATAAGGAACTAGCATGGAAGCAAGACGAGCTATTACCTATTTCTGGTAGCTCGAAGACTACATTTGGCGGCTGGGGGGCCACGCTGGTTGATAGCCTCGATACTCTGTGGATCATGAACATGAAAGATGAGTTTAATGAAGCCGTTGCGGCAGTCGCGGAGATTGACTTCGTGGACGGAGACGGTGAGCTGAACATGTTTGAGACCACGATACGGTACCTGGGAGGGTTGCTTTCGGCGTATGATCTGACTGAATGTAAAGAGAAGAGGCTACTACAGAAAGCAATGGAGCTAGGCGACATGATCTATGCGAGCTTCGACACACCGAACCGCATGCCGGTCACGAGGTGGGTCGCAGCTATGGCGGTGGGTGGGGAGGTGCAAGAAGCCGCGCAGCAGGGTGTACTTGCGGAGCTGGCAAGCTTCAGTCTAGAGTTCACGAGGTTGTCGCAGCTTACAGGCGATATGCGATATTACGATGCAACAACGCGTGTTATCGATGTCCTCGCTCGGCAACAGAATGAAACTAGGATCCCGGGTCTGTGGCCTGTAGGCGTCAACCTCCAGACCCCAGATCTCACAAAAGACACCCTGTTCAGCCTGGGCACCATGGCGGACTCCGCATACGAATATCTGCCCAAAACTTACCAAATCCTCCACGGCGCTGCCTCCGCTACCCAATACAAGTCCATGTATGAGACCGCCACAGAGGCCATGATCCAACACCTGCTCTTCCGCCCTATAACTCCCGACAACGCAGACATTCTCGCGCCAACCTCCGCGCGCGTACAACGCGATGGCTCAATTGTACGAGATCACTCTGTGCAACATCTTTCTTGCTTTACCGGCGGCATGTTCGCTTTAGGTGCAAAACTGTTCCAAAACGCATCTCATCTCGAATACGCACGCAGAGTCACAGAATCATGCATCTGGAGCTACGACAACGCCCCAAATGGAATTATGCCTGAGATCTTCACAATGCTGGCTTGTTCTTCCGCCTCGCCTTCGAATAATAGCGTCAACTGCACGTTCAACCCTTTAGTGTGGCCAGCACAGCAATTCCCCGGTTTCGAGACGGTGATTGATGCGCGCTACATGCTAAGACCTGAGGCTATCGAAAGCGTCTTCTACATGTATCGCATTACGGGGGAAAGTCGGTATCAGGATGTGGCGTGGAAGATGTTCCAGCAGGTGGAGAGGCGCACGAGGACAGAATTTGCGAATGCCGCTATTAGGGATGTAACGAGAAAGATGGACAGAAGCGGTAATGGAGGAACAGAGGATGGATGGCAGGATTTAGAGAAGGTTGACAGTATGGAAAGTTTCTGGCTTGCCGAAACGTTGAAATACTTTTACCTAGTATTTAGCGATCCTGGCTGGATGAGTCTAGATGAGTGGGTGTTTAACACTGAGGCGCATCCTTTCCGATTATAAGGACCTCTCGTAGAATCTTGTATGCGTGAGACCTGGTCTTGCTGGCAAGCAAGCGTGTCACATAGTATTAATGCCCGATTATGAACTAGTTCACAGTAAACTTCTTGTCATCTATTTCGATATATAGTCTTTTTGGTCAGTCCGTGAAAATTCGGCCGATGTAAGTCACATCGCCAAGCGCATCACTGTTCCACCCACGATGGGTGACGCAAGCCGCTCACGAGACCGTTGCGTAGGCGGCACGATTCTATTCCGCTATCGTTTTTTAAAAATCCTCCGCTGCGCATTACATTGCAGACTTTAGTATCGATTTGCTGCACTCCTTCCCGTCACTCGGCATACCCTCTGGCCAATACCCGACATTACTCAACAAAACCGCGCTCGCCGCATCCGCAGCTTTCCAACTCTGAAACCCCACGGTTCGTCTCCACACTCCAAGCTAGAGCGATTACTCGCATCGCGCTGCAGCCGCAAGAATATCCGTGAGTGGCCGCGGAGATCGGGCCGTTGGGAATTGAGGGCCCGCACCAAGCCGTTCCCTGCGCAAACTAGCGGGAAAGCGTAGGAGGGGCGAGAAGGCTTGCATTAACAGGAACTATTCATACGTTATACGCAAACAAGTTCGCAGCAAGGTTTCATAATGTCCGTCAAGTGAGTACCTCCCTCTTTCCTTCCCGTCACCCCCTTCCCCTCGAGGTTGTTTTGTGGCGATTTGATCCTCGTTCCTCGCGGATTCACATGGAGCTTAGGTTAAGCTGAGCTGGAAGCACGATTAAGAAGATTTGGCCTTGCAAAAGGCCACCGGAGATGGAAAAGATGAAAAAAACGAGGTCTAACCGCAAGAATAGTTGGGTAATGCTCGCTGAGAGCGGCGGCTACACACCACTACCTGGCGAACAGACGCTCTACCAATCCCCCCCACGGACCACGCTCTCGTTACAGACAAGCCATCGACACTCCCCGAGCGAGTCATATTCTCAGCAATGTAAATCTGGGGTTGTATATCTCACAAATCGACGCGTATGACAACTCTCTACCTACTGTCCAGCCACACACTACGCCAGACATAGCAGCTAAAGTTGAACAATAGATGATCTACCTCCCCGTCTCACCAACCCCAAATCTCCAATCCTTCGCCGTTCCCATCCTCAATGTCACCGACTCCCGCGTAACAGCCCCGTGGTTCGGTGCAAACAAATGGGAAGCCATGATCCAACCCGTCCAAGGCGGCGGCATACCTACGCAGCACACTGAACTCGACCTTGTCATGGAATTCAAAGAAGGCGGGGCATTTGACTTCGCGAGCATATTCGAGCGGCTGAAGGAGCGACTAAAGCAAGCTGTCGATGTAGCTAGGGAGAGTGGAGGCGACGGTGTAGAGGATGGAACTAGGGGCGTGGGCGGTGTCAATATGAACAACGTACATCTGGAGGATTTGCCAGCTTATGAGGAGAGCAGACAGCATACGAGAGTGTCGGATCCGCTACCTAGTCCGCCAATGGACCGTCCAAGGACAGGCAGTGGAGGTGTGGACAGGCCGGTCGTTGCTGCTCCACAGCCCATAAGCTCACAGAGGTCGGATTCCCTATCGAGTTCGCAACAGGAGGGCTTCCAACCTCCATCTGAGGCACCGCCGGGGTACGAGGAGGTACAGAGAAATAGCATCGTGGAAGAACTGGAGAGGCAGCTGAGGGATGATCCATGGAGAGACGAGAGGACACAATGAACTACGGCCAAAGCTTTGCTTCGATCTCTCAAGAGCATGGCGTTCAGGGATGAGGGATTTAACATGGTTGCAATGACTGATCGAATGGCGCGCCTAAGCTGAAGTATAGCCTTGAGCATGTGAGCAGTCGGGCGTTATAATGAAAGCCTGCAGATGACTTTATTGCTGCTCCACATATTCTCCGAAGTTTGGCTTGTTGTTCCCACGACGCCCTGGTCTCAATCCGGCACCTCCCATTATCGCCTTGGAGATTCGCCGACTTTGTTATAGCAACTTCTTAAAGATTATCACGGGCTCTTCTTATTAACGGCCATGGTCGCCTGAGAGCACATGACGAGGTACATTCGCTGCTAACATGTGAAACGTGTCGGGTTGCTTTTGAGCATGTGAAGGGCTAAGATGACTGCACCCCGGACCATGCTAACCCGCATGGGGGAGGCTAGAAAGATGCCTCGGCGATTTTGACCAGATGACTTAATGCGCTGCCTCACCTCTTTAAGAATGTAGCAGCTTCTCACACCTCACCTTCACACTCTCTTCACTCACAATTGACCATTATTACAACATCGGAGTCTAGAAGTATTCACCATGGCAAACCAGGCTCCCTCAAAAGGTGCGTAGCTTTAGAACAAGGATAAGAAGAGCAGAGCAGGAGACAGGTCTATGAAGATGGAGTGGGTGGCTAACGTCTGAATAGTTCAAGAACGCCTGTCGCAGGTTGAGGGCCACTTGAGTGGTGGTGGGCCGAGCAAGAAGGGCAAGTCAAGCGTGCTAGAGAAGCATGCCGATGATGTAAGTGCATTTCGACGGACGATTCGAACGAGTGCTTCGGAGCTCATTGATCAACGTCTGTACTGTCAAGAACACGGTGTTCCATAGTCTAGGCTTTCGAACTCCTCACTAACAGCACACTACAACAGATCGTCGTAACCTGCGCGCTCCGAACGCCCTTTACCAAGGGTGGAAAGGGTGGCTTCAAAGACACCCAAGCTTCCGACCTTCTCCACGGCGCTTTCAAAGCTCTCATCGAGCGCTCGGGCATCGACCCCGCTCTCGTCGAAGATATCGCTGTCGGCACTGTTCTCGCTCCCGGTGGTGGCGCGACCGAATTCCGCGCTGCTGCCCTCGCTGCCGGTTTCCCTGTTACAACGGCAGTCAAGAGCTTGAACAGACAATGCTCTAGCGGCCTACAAGCATGCGTTGACATCGCGAACGCGATCAAGAGCGGCATGATTGAAATTGGCATTGGCGCTGGTGCGGAGAGCATGAGTACGCAATATGGACCACAAGCCGTCAGTGAATTCAGCGAGCTGCTGGAGAGTCATAAGGAGAGCGCGAACTGCAAAGTACCCATGGGCGTACTATCCGAAAAGATGGCCAAAGCGAAGAAAATTCCTCGATCAGAACAGGACGCCTTCGCCGCAGCTTCGTTCCAAAAGGCCGTCGAAGCGCAGAAGCAGGGTCTCTTCGACGAAGAGATCGCTCCTTTGACGGTGAAGTGGACGGACCCTAAAACCGAAGAGGTGAAGACAATCACCGTGTCGAAGGACGACGGCGTCAGGCAGGGTATCACCGCTGAGTCGTTAGGCAAAATCCGCCCAGCTTTCTCAAAAGACGGTTCTATCCATGCCGGCAACGCATCGCAAATCTCCGACGGCGCTGCCGCAGTCCTCCTAATGAAGCGCAGCACTGCGCAGCGCCTTGGTCAAAAGATCATCGGCAAGTACGTCCAGGCGTCCATTGTTGGTGTACCGCCTCTACTCATGGGTGTTGGACCTGCGGCTGCTATCCCAGTCGTCCTTGAGAAGACTGGACTGAACAAAGACGAGGTGGATATCTATGAGATCAACGAAGCCTTTGCCAGCCAGTGCCTCTACTGCATCAATGATTTGGGTCTGGATACCAAGAAGATCAACCCCAAGGGTGGCGCTATTGCCTTTGGACATCCGCTCGGCGTGACTGGCGCACGGCAAGTAAGCACGTTGCTTACGGAGCTGAAGAGGACGAAGCAGCAGATTGGTTTGACGTCCATGTGCATTGGCACCGGAATGGGCATGGCTGCTGTTTGGGTTGCCGAGTAGGAAGGCAAATGTGAGGATGATCGTGTTGGCTTAGCATATGTGTATGAGTATACAATCAACATTTCTATGAATTGGGTCATCGTATCATGATAGAGCTGTATGGTACACGAACTTACCTAACTGAGTAGTGTATGTCGGAAGTGGCTCTTTAACCCGATGAACATGCTCCCTCGAACGCCGTCGCAAACGCATATGAGATTTGGACTCATAAAAAAACATCGGCATCAGCTTACGCCACGTCATTTGCGACGACTGCGTTACGAAGTACCGAGCTTCGCTGTAGTCTCCGAGCATCTACTGACCCCGCTATTTGCCCCGCATTCAGTTAACAAGTCCTGGCCAACCATCGCACCGCAGTTTGATGTACTAGTCTCATAAGACAAAGATTAGGATTATTTTACGGTGGAGCAACTTGGTAGTTTAGTCCTAGTGGCTATAGGGCGATGTTGTGAGGGTGTAGTTCCGAGGTAGCCGTGCGGACTACCTTGGTGGGTGGCCACTTCTACTTCTTCAGTTCATTCCCTATCTTCAATTAAACCTCACCCATTCTTTGAACACCTCCCTTTACTATGGCTCCTCCGTCGGCGATTGAGCCTCAAAATGGCGACGAACAGAAGCCTAACACCACCGCGCCCCTCGAGCCCGGACTAGATGAAAGGACGGGAAAGTTGAAGAACTTCAAGTTCCCGAGTCCGCCGAAGTTTGATGACCCGTATAAGGAGCGCGCATATCTGAAGGGCCGGCTCGCTGCTGCATTCAGAATATTTGGCAAATACGGATTCGACGAAGGCGTAGCCGGACATATAACGCTGAGGGTATATTCGACTACGCCCTGAGGGCAAATGAGTTGACAATTGGAGGTGCTGACAGTCCTAGGATCCCGTGGATCCGACCAATTTCTGGGTAAACCCCTTCGGCGTGGCGTTTAGCTTGATCAAAGCATCTGATCTTATCCTCGTGAACCATGCCGGCGAGGTAATCGACGGCGGAGAAGTCCGACTCCTGAATAACGCCGCGTACATGATCCATCATGCAGTACATTCGGCGCGCCCGGAGGTAAACTGTGCAGCACACTCACACTCCATCTACGGCCGTGCCTTCTGCGCCCTTGGCCGGAAGTTGGACACGATCACACAAGACTCTTGCGCCTGTAAGTAACGTTGGTGTGCGAAATACACGTGAGACGTTTACTAACGTCTTACCTCAATCTTCAGTTCACAACGACCATGTATTGTACGAGAGCTTCAATGGTATCGTCCTAGCCGAAGAGGAGGGCAAAAACATAGCCAAGGCCCTCGGCAACAACAAAGCCGCGTTACTGCAGAACCATGGTCTGTTGACGGTAGGCAAAAGTATTGAAGAGGCAGTGTTTTGGTTCATGAGCCTGGAAAAGTGCTGTCATGCGCAGCTCCTGGCAGATGCGGCAGCTGCTGGGCGAGGTGGCGAAACAGTGAAGATTGATGAAGAAGACGCACAGTACACGCACAAGGTTGTGGGAAGTAACATGGCCGGCTGGTTTTCTGCGAAACCGTTGTTCGATGTCATTCACAAAGAGACCAACGGGGATTATTTGGAGTAGGAGGACTGGAGAGCCTGCCTGTATCCGTGGGCTGGGGGATAATTATTACCAAAGTTATTCAAGTATTTGCACCTGCTGTTAAATCGAACTTTGATATAGATGTTTGGGGGTCCCCGCACGACTCGTTGCAATCCAGTCATTGACAGAACAAATGCACTGTGACCGCCAGTCTTTTTCGATAAAAAGAAACCTGAAACGTCAACATGCAGAGTAGTCACAGGCTAAACCATGGCATAACATTTAGGATACTTAGGGTAGACAAGGATAGAAGAAGTCTCAAGTAGACGATCACATGCTAATTCAGTGTACTACTAGTCGGGCGTCCAAGCTCCCAGCCCCACCAGCTCTCAGTAAGTCCGGTAGCGGACGGAGAAACACTATATGCCTTTTTCTTTTGCAGCCACGTGCATAGAGAACGCGTCGAGAGGTTCGCATGGAGCGGTAGGTGGTGCAGGTGATGTGGCCGGATATATTGATGGACCACAGGCATCGCAAAACAAATCCCAACCCCCTCATCACCAAGAGAAGTTGTGGGACGCCATTGTGTCATAGCTTTCTGCGGCCCGCAAACTTCGAGGTGGACCCTCTCTCTCCCTCTCTCTCGCACGCCCTCTCCAGCAGTCGACTGCTTGCAGCATATTAGTTTCTTTCCGTTGACGCTGTTCGAGAAGTTGTAAACAGTGCTGTTGCATTTCTCGGTTCCACAGACGCTGGGTGACATCCTGTATGCATGTATAGTAGTACAGGCTCCCCTCACAGCTGCACCCAAGGCGGCAGCTCACATTAGTGGCCATGCCCAAAGGCCCCGCCGTCGTCTTTGTCGCCAGGTACGTCTGTCTAACACACACCACAGCTACATATGCCGAGCCACATGGCTAACACAGTCCAACAGACATGGCGCTCGCCTCGACGCCGCCGACAAGACATGGCATCTTACCTCGCCGACGCCCTACGATCCTCCTCTTACTTACGGCGGCTGGGCACAAGGGAAAGCGCTCGGCTTGCGGATAGCGGCCTTACTCAACCAGAGGGATGACGAGCAGGCAGAAGCGGCAAGAAGTAGTCCCAATAATGATTTGGCGAATCTCGAGTTTAGCAAGCTGGATGCCTCCAGAGGTGGAAGCGCTCCATCAGACGGCCTGCAACGGCCGAAGAAGAAGCGCAAGATTGTCATACACTCAAGTCCGTATCTGAGGTGCGTCCAGACGAGCACGGCAGTTGCAGCGGGCCTATCTCAGTACCAGCATCCCACTACAACTACACCACATTTGAAAGCGCCAACGCCGTCAAAGGACAGGAAAAGTCTGCTGGGGAACTCTCAACCAGCGAAATCACCCCGCTCCAAGTCGCCCTATCTGCTGCCCACGACTATCGAGCCATTAGTCGACCGTAACCTACAGGTATTTCCGAAACCATACACGGGTCCAGAGAAGACTTTGTTGCGCATCGATGCTTTCCTCGGCGAATGGCTGTCGCCAGACTACTTTGAAGACATTACATCACCTCCAAACTCGACCATGATGGTGGCAGGAGCGAAGGCAGACTTGCTGCGAAGAGGCGACTATATACAGGAGCAGCCAAACACGCACAGTAGCAAGGGCCATTTCCCGGGCGGTTGGGTAAAAGGTGGAACAACCACCAAAAATCGCCAGAGCACTGAGAATGCGAACCTTCCGGCTATGAGCAGCCTGGCCCAGCCCCCGCCATTCAGGGAACGTTCAAGCAGCTATGCCAGCGGCATCACCTTACAGAAGACGAAATCGAGGGAGGCGGCAACACCGCTTGTTGTACCATCACCACATAAATCAAGTCGCATCTACGAAGCACCCGTTCCTTCATACTTGGTCTCTCCTGCGGATCCGATACCACGTGGGTACTTCTCTCATGCACGAGAGGCCTGCGTTGAAGTCGATTTCCAATGGGATAGTATGCGCGCACCGCAAGACTGGGGCGATGGTGGGGAATATGGCGATGAGTGGAGCACGATGCATAAGCGCTTCCGCAGAGGATTAGCCGGTATGATGCAATGGTACAGAGAACATGGTGCAACACCTCCAAAGGATCGGTTCCCTGGATTCATGTTCAAAGTCTTGTCGAACAAGTCCCCGCCACCTATCTCGCACTCGTCCTCGGACCCTTTTCCGACATTGAAAGATGAAATAGATGGCGACGACGATGAGGAGCTTGTGCTGGTATTGATTACACACGGTGCTGGCTGCAACGCTTTACTTGGTGCCATCGCGAACCAGCCTGTGCTCATAGATGTGGGCCTCGCCTCGTTGTCTATGGCTGTCCGCAGAGCTGAACCTCGAAAGCCATCCGTGTCTACCATCCACGAACGGCGTCTCTCCGTTGCTGACCCTGGAATGACAGATACATACGAGATGAAGCTTCTCGCTTCGACTGATCACTTGCGGCCTGGAGTTGACCCCTCAAAACCACCACAAGCACAAGTTGGCTCTCCGGCTGTGGTAGCAAGTCCGTCAATCGACTCCCGGCGGCGATTCAATGGAACTCCGACAACCAACAGCCCTATGGACTCACCCTTTGCTCTCGGGGAGCCTCACAGGAGTTGGAATAGTTCGCTGGGTAGTGTACGAAGGACCATGAGTTCTGGATCCAACTCAAGCTACATGCATGGGCACCACAGAACCAGTGGTGCCGCATCACCATCGACGGGTCTTTGGTCTGGATCTCGGACTCCAATTGCAGACGCATATAACGACGGTCGCTCAAGTCCAGGTGGGGACATGGTGCTCAACTTCTCGAATCAAGCACCCAAACCAAAGCCTACCGCTGCCGCTGCCGCTGCCACCACTACGGCCATCCCAGCTTTAGATGGCACACCCGAAGTGACAAACAGACTGAGTAAACTGGACTCCAAAGAGGAGAAAGAGAGGCATGACAACATCACTCCACTGGTCAAAGCTCAGGGCGGAACAAGCAGTACCACCACGTCCAGTCTCTGGGGTGCGAAGGTGCAACCGAAGAGCGAGAATAAGCTATGGGGGCCGCCGAAGCTACAAGGTGTACATGAGCATGGACGAGGACCGAAGAGGAGGTGGACAGTCACGGAGAGGGAGGAGTCGCTTTGATTTTTGAAGCCACACTGGAGGCCCTGGAAGCTTTCTACAGGAGGCTGTCCTTGCATGGCGTTTTGGTCTGGGATACTCTACTCTCTACTAATGTTGATGACTTAACGTATAAGTGATGAGCGATGGGGTTCAGATAGCTGGCTCCTTCATTCGCAGGCGTCAGATGTTTAGCGCTGCATGGGTTATGAGCATTTCATGAACATGCATATGGTGATATATATCACTCTTCAGAATCGTTAGCAATAAACTCATTGGGCATTTCTGACAAGACCTTGTTGTTCATATTGCGCATAGTGGGTCCACTCGCCGAAGCTCACCGCAATCTCGAACGAATACAAACAGACTAACCAGACTCCTCAAATCTATTTGTAGAGCAGACTCAGAATGAAATACAACCAAGTCCTGCTAGAAAGCCGGGAGCACTCCCGAGGTGCTTCGCAGTGCGACTAGCGCTCACATGATCAAATTGGAGGCCCGCCTGTCACTGTCGACCGAACCAATTAGCTACTCGAGGAAGGCCGGCCCCTGCCGCGACTAAAACGTTATTCGGCGTTTTTTTCCCGCGCTATACCAAGGTCGCCTGCAAACGTTGCCATGTTAAGCAGCAAGCGGCACGCCGTTGGACTGAAAACTGGTTTGTGGTCTTCGGTACTGGAGGAACAGGTCGGAGTGGCTCTTTCTATTCGGCAGCCCCGGCTCCTGGTAGCCCCGCTTCCCTAATCTTGCTCAACAACAGTTCGCTCGTGCTTTTGCTTCGCATCAGTACCATCTACGTCGACGCGCCCTCGACTGCTCTACATCCTCAAAGCATGCATTCGCCATAGCCAAGTGCAATCTGGCTTCCCTTTTCGCCGCCCGTGAATTGAAGAGATACTGCTCCAGACGGACCCCAGCACGGTGCAGAGTGAACGCAAAGGCTGAAGATTCACTTTTAGCTGTCGCGCTAGCCCAAACGCTACGTGCCTGGCCCTCCCCATAGCCCACACGCGTCTCTATATCTCGAAAAGGATCCCTTATCGTCGATGCTGGGCATGTACATGTCCCGCGGACCTTTCAATGCAGTCCGCCACCGGCCAGCGTGCGCCCTTTTTCCCCAGGGCAGATACAGTACTCCCGTTTAAGCACGACCCGCCGTCTCCGACCTCGCGGCCTACCGTGGTTGCGCCCATTCTCGATGTTGAACATGTCGACTACGCGCTCAAGCCCTGGTCCGACGAGTTCGCCCGATCTGTCTATCCAGAAAAGGACGACAACTGGGCGCCGGCAACCATCCCCTTGAGACTAGAATGTCCACCACATTGTGCTACGGATCGCTATCTGTTCCCCACCTTGACACGCAATGAGAGACTGAGGCTGACCATGGTGTTCTATTACACGCGTGGCGCCCTCGACGACCAAGAGCTCCTGTCTCGCCTGCAAGAAAAAGTCCATCTTGCTAAGGAATCCTCAGGATGGGACTTTGTAATCGCTGGCCTCCTTGACCACAACACGTATACTCGCGTGGCCACTGTTGGACTTCCGCTAGCAATTCTACCGAGGCGTGAAAGTACTTGTGCACATACAGTCAACCAACCACCAGGCGTACGTATCGCACTGTAGCGAATGGCTGGCTTCTGCTAAACCGCCCAGACACTCTTCTCATTACTCGATATGCCAAAAGACTGGCGGTTTGAGAAGTCACCACACGTCGAGAAAGGTGGCCTTCGTGCATATGCCGGCGTACCACTACAGTTCGAAACCGAGTTTGGCGAGCACGTAGCGTTTGGCTCCATCTGTGTCGCCTCAAATTCGGTACAGGGGCCGCTCTCAAAGACTCAGCAAAGAACACTAGCTCGACTTGCCGACTGGATCGTTGCCGATATAGTTCACAGCGCGAAAGCCAAACGACAGCGAGACCGGAGGCGGATGCTGGAGATGCTTGCCAAAGCCCAGAAACTATGCGACGACGATGTGGACATGACAAAGGCAATACCGGAAATGCTGCAGGAAGCTTACCCGGGCACGACTGTGGGTATCCACCAAACGACTAATGGCCAGATCATACTCGACGGAGGCACAGTGTTCAAGACGGCAGACCTAGAGCATGGTTTGTGGGAAGATACCGAGCAATTCGACCATGTTATCGAGGAGCTCAACCATCTGGACATGGGTACATCTAGGGTGGTCCGTGTCATCTCTACGCAGTGCGCAAGCCAGCGCGTACCCACATTCCTCGTGGTGGGATGCAACGACTTTCGGATGATTTTCGATGATGTCGACTCGTGGTTTGTGAACATGTGTGCAACCATTTTGTCCCGTTATTGGCAAAGTCGCTTGCTGAAGGAGGCTTTGAATGTGAAAGAAACTTTTCTACGGGGCATTACGCATTCACTACGAACGCCTATTCACGGCATTCTAGGCTCCGTCGAGCTTCTGACAGAAGAATTGAAGTCGCTAAACGTGGTGCCAATGTCAGCTACGACCTCGCCTGGCACGACTCCCAACGTTGAACAATTAGATCCATCCGTGTACATCCGGACGATCAGAACTTCAGCGCGGGAGCTTATAGCAACAGTGAACAGTTTGATCAAGCTCAACCAATGGGCGGACATTGCGCAAGCGGAGCGTCACACTGCATTACACACAGTCGGGGAGCTCGAGTCCGCCTTACTAAACGAAAGCTATGCGGCAATGCCAGAGAAAGTCTCTAGCAGACCATCCGTTCTCATTCACCATCACTTCCCGCCGAATCTAAACATGTTAGCGTTCGATCTACGCCTATTCCTTGACAGTATCCAGCCGCTGGTAACAAACGGTATTCAACACGCTGAAGGCGGTGTAGTGGCCGTCACCCTCTCCGTGTCCCACGACTACTCGTCGCTCATTGTCGATGTCGAAGATAACGGTCGGGGTATATCCTCATGCGATCACGAACGTATTTTCAACGCCTACGAGAAGGTCGATCCAAATACCGCAGAAGCTGGACTTGGCTTAACGCTAGCTTGTAGATCTGCGCTGCTCATGAACGGCACCGTTTCGCTTGTATCCTCTCGTCTTGGAGGAGGTTCACACTTTAGAGCCATCTTTAGTGAGCCTATATGTGCAAGCTCATTTCCTCCCAGTCGTTCAATCAAAGAGAGGCTTATTCAGCTTCCACCGATATTCGGCAGGATGTCTTTCGACTCAAGAACATCTCCCCTTGGCCGGTACTTCAGCAAGTACCTTACAGTCCATGGATATGTCGAATCTGAGACTTCGAACAGTTCATTGTTGGTCCTCGACTTCACGCCCAACCTGGCCGAGCTCTACAAACACATATCACAAATCAGTAAGGGGCAGGTCGCCATCTGCCTAGTTCCCGAATCCGCATACTTATTCGACTTTGACGGTAAACACATTCAAAGACAGGATAATATCGTGTATGCCCGAGGGCCCTTTCTGTCGACTACGTTTGAGGAAGCCTTACAGGAGGCTGACATGATACTCGCGGAGTTTGGATCTGCAACAACAGACCCAGAAATTCGCCCCTATGACAGTGTACCTTTTAAACCCGCTCCAGAAGTAGCATTAATCATAGACGGCCTAGCGGAGCTATCGCCTCAACGAGGCTCAATTTTCCCACAAAGCGTACAGTCGGAACTCGAACAATCAATACAGACCCTACACATCGAAACTGAGCCCTTGATACCCGTGGTTCTATCATCACCAGAATCGAAGCAACCAATGGCCCTCCTCGTAGACGACAACGCGATCAATCTTCGCCTTCTTAAAATGTACTGCAGCCGTCGCGCACTCCCCTACCAAGCGGCCACCGACGGCGAACAAGCCGTTAGCCATTTTCTCGATAATCGATCACCCGCCGACAACCCGCAACAGCCCATCGAGTTGATTTTCATGGATCTCCAGATGCCAGTCCGCGACGGCATCGAAGCGACGCGGCAGATCCGCGCGCTAGAAGCGGAGAACGGATGGAAGAAAAGTGTAATCTTCATTGTTACGGGCCAGGATTCGCCGTCTGATCGGAAAAATGCAGAAGATGTCGGCGCAGATGGATATCTTGTGAAGCCTGTTGGGCCGAAAGTGCTCGATAGGTGGGTGAAGCACTGGTTTCCTAATGCACGAGTTTAATGATTGTACGATATACCCCCCAACTGGATTTCCTAGTTTGACATATAAAGAGCGGTAGACATGGTTTCAATTCATGAGGAGGCTGAGATAGGACGTGCCGGGTGCTATTAAGCTAGTGCGACTTCGGTGTCGCGACTTCTTCCATTTCCCATAATCAAATTCTTTGACTGGAAGGGTATAATATATGCCAGTCTCTTTCTACAGAACATATCATGCAAGACGTAGAGAAACTCTACCTCACTGCGCGACACCTCGTACATAAACTAGGAGAGCAGTCATTCCGCGCACTTCTTACGGCCTTAAATCATTAGAAACCAAGCAAGACCGTGTTTGACATTTGGAAAGGTGAGGTTACCAAGTCCTTTTACGAGGCTTCTTGTGAGGAGGTTGTAGACCCACAGCGCCAAGGCAAGTGCAAAATAGCTGGGCAGATTCTGTAGCTGCGGATTCGAGTCTGACAATCAAAGATTCTTCCGCAGTTTCTTTGTAGGATGGTTTAATGGATGCGGGTGAGTGATTATGTCAGCGCGACTCTACTTTAAACGGACGACAACTCACGCCGCAATACAATAGTGAGCAGCAATGAACCCCTACAGTAGTAGTTGGGGCCGATCGAATTTTGACTAAATGAATCCCCGCCCGCCCTCTCTGCTGTTTCCTATCAACAACGCCCATCATGCCCTTCTCATTGATCATGTCTACTCTTTACATTGCCCTCATCACATCAGTTTACATCGTTTACCGCCTTCGCGTCAGAAGCTCGCAGACTCGAAAGAATGCGGGAGCGGAGACGTCTATGTCGTTGGATCTTGAGGGGAGCTTGTCTGAGCCCGCACAGCAATTGAGGGCAAAGCTGATGTCAGCACTCCCCGAAAGTATCATCTCGCCGGAGAACGCCGCATCATTCAAGCAGTCAACGAACTCGTATTGGGACCAGAAAGCGTGCGAAGTTCGACCGTCATGTGTCGTCCGACCACGTGATGTGCAGGAGCTATCCCGAACCGTGAAGATATTGAAGAGCGAATTCGATCAGCGAAGGAAAGAGTCCAAGATTTCAGAGAGTATATTGGAAGGTATCTTTGCTGTTCGAGGCGGTGGCCATTCTCCCGTTGCTGGCGCTTCGAGCATCAAAGGTGGTTCGCTCATCGACATGAGTCTCTTCAACGAAGTCACACCGTCAGACGACGGAAAGAGTGTCATCATTGGAGCTGGATGCAAGTGGATTCAGGTTTCCAAAGTTTTGGAAGCGAAAGGTCTCGCGGCCGTAGGAGGCAGAAACTCCGCCGTTGGGGTGGGCGGTTTGATACTAGGTGGCGGCCTGTCGTTCTTCTCGCCACGCTTCGGATTCGTTTGCTCCAACATTATTCAGTATGAGATTGTGCTTGCCAACGGTTCCATCGCTATAGCTTCAAAAACGCAGAACTCTGACCTTTGGCGAGCACTCAAAGGCGGCTCGAATAACTTCGGCATCGTCACACGCTTCACTGCGCACACCTTTCCGTCTACTGACATTTGGAGTGGGTTTCTGTACATTTTTCCATTTGAAGCACCAAAGGTCCTCTCAGCATTCCATGAATTCGTTGATAGAGTCGTTATCAATGATGAAGGGAAAACACACGACGAGTACGCCGCCGGGCCACTAGCCTGCTTCACCTATCTCCAACAACTCGGCATCCAAGCCATCGCTGTAAATCTCGTCCACACCAAACCACCTATGGGCGACAAGGGGTGGGCTACGTGTTGGCAGAGCTCAGCATTTCCAAAGCTCTGGAGATTTTGGAGCACATGTTCTGTAAAAAGCTTGTCGAGTGCAACGGATGAGGTGAGCGTTCTGAATCCACCTGGCCGACGACAGGAATTTGCTACAACGACTAACAAGAACGACAAGGAGACACTCGAAGCTACACACAAAGCGTACCGCGATGCTATTACTTCTATCCGAAAGCACAATATCAAAGCCATGTCATGGACACTCGTCCTGCAACCCCTTCTCCCAGACTGGGCGCGCAAAGGCGACCCCAACCCACTTGGCCTTTCCTCGTCGACCAACGAATCCTTGGTCAATGTCAGTTTCACGGTGAACTGGGCGCTTGCTAAGGACGATGGACTTGTACAATCTCTCACGCGAATGGCGATTGAGCAGATTGATCGTTTTGCAGTAGGCAAAGGGACGGCGCATCGATATAGGTATTTGAATTATTGCGGCAGTTGGCAGAAGCCGTTTGAGGGGTATGGGGAAAAGAATGTTGATTTTCTGCGAGCTGTGAGTAGGACGTATGATCCTGAGGGACTTTTCCAATACGGCTGTGTGGGCGGGTTCAAGTTGAAGTAGATGTTTGAAATTGCATTTAGATTGATTTGTGCATATGGAGCTTCACGTCATGTTAATTTGACTTGTAATAAAAACCCCTTAGTCATCTTGACGGCGTCATCGTTCATTCCTTGTATGTCAGCGCTACTCGAGCCCAACGCTAATAGCAGCCAACGCCCAGTCCATGAATCCGGCATTCGTGTCCAGGATATTCTGGTTGAACTCCGTTAAGGTGGGGTAGAAGTTAGTCGAGTATCTAATCAGAGAAAGTAGCTAAATTAGTAATTGATTTCGCAAATGTATCATGTCTTCTGGGGCAGTACTTACCCAAACTCCATGGTGAAACCGTATACTTTATTGACTCCGCTCTTCGCCCAGAACCTGCTGAATGCATAGTCGTCGGTTGCACCGGAGGTAGGGTACAGGCCTACGGCTTGCATAGCATTGTAGGATCGGCCGCCCACTGCTTTCATCGCTGCAACGGTCTTGCCAGCTACGTTCTTGACGTTCGCCGCGTCGGCGGAGGGAATGTACTCCCTGTACACCTGGTCGTTGACAACGCCGCGCTTCCCGTCGTATGCTGCGTTGAGGAAGTTCATCGCAGTGCTGGTGCTCTGGTCGTCGTCGTCACCCCAACTGTACAGCAAATCCCCAGCTGCGGAATGGATGTCCATGAACCAGCGGATCTTGGGGAAGGAGTCGTAAACCGAGACGTGGTTCTTAGTCTCTGGCTCCGAGGCAGCGGCTGTGCCGTAGAACGTCTCGGAGCTAGGCGATGTAGATGCTGGTGACTCAGACGCGTCGAAGTATTTCCTGAAGTTCCAGAGAAAGTCGAAGTTTCGATTGATGTCTACGCCGATGGAAGTGCCGCTGCTGCCGGAGCGGGTGTTTCTGTTCTTGCGCCATAGGGAACCGCTGGATTGATCGTATGCTACGCCATCCGGGTTCACGAGTGGGAAGAAGACAATTCCTGCGTTCAGCACGCTGTTGACTTGCGCGTTGGTGTACGTCTTCCTTCCGTATGTCAGGCCGCCACCCGACTTTTTGGCAGCGAGAAGGTCAGATATCCAGTAGATGAGTTGATCTGGACCTCCCCGTTCACGGGCGTGCACGCCTGCGCTGAGATAGAGGTGGTATTTTGACTTGTCTGTGCCAGCGCCAACGTATGCGGCGATTTGGGTTGCGCCGTTAAAGGTCCTATTCGGCAGTGTAATAGTAGTGACACCGGCATTCTTTGCGAGTGCTTGAACGGCAGATGTGATCTCAGCGACGTTCATCAAACTGCTGATTGTCGAGCCCGCAGCCTGAGTTCCAAGGCCAACAGGGGTAACGGTGCCGGCCTTGAAGCGGTCCCCGGTTCCGATGGGTGCTGTTGCTGCTCGTTTGGTCAAGTCTGCTCTGTGCAGCGAGATCTCTGGTACAGCCTTGTACTCGTTTTCGAGGTGAGCAATTTGTTCCTCGGTAAGAAGGGCATGCAACTTGAAGTGGCCATCCTCAGTAGGATGCGCGATTGCTCGACATCCAAGATCGTAGGTGTCGTTGCGGACAATTTCAAGGAAATGCGCCGCGGTTGGTGCTTTCAGGTGGACAGGTAGGAGATGAGCAAGCACAACGGTGCTCTGAACAAGAAGAGCTGCGACAAGAGAGTACTTCATGATGAAGATGCAGTGAGCAGGTAAGGGAGGACGAGAGTGAAATCCGAGCTCCTTTTAAAAATGGTGGGCATCAGGCTTCTTTACATACATCCCTATCAATTTTTGTCCTACGTTTGACCTTCTTCCAATGGGCAGGTGATCTACTAGTCCAGATCTACAAAATAGAACCAAAGTCGGGTGTAACACTAATACCTCATTACGATTGGCCTACTTCGGCGAATTACGCTGGCGCTAAGCTCTCCGCCTTCTTCTTTGGGCCCCCTCCGTTAGCGACTCCTAAAGCACCTGCCCAGGTAGACTTGAACATGTCTGGGCGTGGGTAAATTTTTCTTCCTGGATGCTTAGTCCTGATAACATATAGTAGATGGCGTCAAAGTGCACTCTAGACTGCATACGCAAGTACCGTGGCGATTGCCCAGCTAGCTAATCGTTATCTCGGTAGCGTCCCAGCACCCCTGAAAACACAGTCTGCTCAGTTACGTACTGGAGTGGATTGTAAATACCAAATTTCATTGCCAAAGCCGGTCTTTGAGCGAGCATGATGAGCAGGTGCTTTTTAGTACTGAGAAAAGAACGACGTGGCTTACTATCTGTACGTAGTCCTGACAACCGCATGCAACTGTCCTGTGGCGACACAATGTGATCGCAAACCAGTTCCCGTTGGCGCCATATCTTTAAGGATCTGTACAGTTTGCTGTTGTACCAACTACCTCTATCAATATTATCTATATGGTGGGCGACTGTTTTGCACCGGTCTTGGCTCGTCAGTCGTGTTCAGGTTGATGATTCGTGCCGGCGGCTAGACAAGATAGGAAGGTGGAGCATCGATGAAAGTCCCGAGAGGAACACAGGAAACCTTTCGGAATAAAAACATTTTAAGCTGTTGTTGCGTGATCGACGAGCGTAAAACGGGAGTGGCCGGGCCCCGCAATTTAGTTGGCGATCAAGCACGTGCTTGAGTGAATGTATCAGGTTAGTAAGCTAAGGCTGCCTAATCATCAAACAACAAATTCAGACGCCTACAAGACACGACTTAATATGGGGTTGGAGCAAAACTTTTAAGAGCAAGTTGATAATAACAATGATAGTAGGCAAAAGGTCCCAATGTAGCCTGTAAGCACTGCTAAATTTCGATGAAGAAGAACGCATTTGAATATTTCCGATCGACCCCATCGCAAAGACCTTCCGCAGCAAATGCATCCCCACGCAGAATTTATGTGTGCCCGCCGAACGTCGCTTATAACTCCAGCAAAGATGTCACTAAACGTATCAGTTTCGACACCCTGACCATCACAATATATGGCTGGCCCTCTCGCGGTGGCCTGATAACACTTGAGGATGCCTCACCCGCCGACCTCGACTTCCTTGATTTGGATCGGAGGAATCCGGGCATGTTGCGACACGAACGCCGCGAAGAAGAAGACGCGTTCTGCCAAAAGCTGCTGTTGCTGGGCGCAAAGTGGTGGGACTCAAATGCGCGATACTCGCTGTTGAATAGTCCGGACGTGAACATAGTCGAACTGGACGAGAGCTACGAGCCGTTGCCAACGATGCGGGAACGGCACTGGATCAGCGTGGCATGGCCTACTACGGGTGGACTCGTGGTCTCTGAATTTGGCACCAACATGTGGGGCGTCGAAATTGAGGTTGAGGTTGTTCCATCAGATGTTGCGAGGCTGCGATTGTGCGTAAGCATGGATGAAAAGGCCCACGTCCTGAAGGAGAGATTCCAGGGAAAGACTTGGAGTAGCGTGGAAGACTATGAAGGTAACGCATTTATCGGCTGCTGGGGACTGAAGAAGACGGGAGAAGTTGGAGAATTCCAGGAGGTATGGCCAGAGAATTGAAGAGTCTAATTGATTGCTAATAAACCTGCACACGAACTATGATGGATGTTGCAAACGATGATTATGCTTTATTTCATACCTCAACATCTAAATAAGCGCACATAGTTGTATATCAAACATCTATGCGCTAACCTTGCATTGTGTAAACTTTACTATCTTGATATCAGCTCCCCAAATAAGCCTGTGAGTTTTCGTGACTCAACCCATGTCACAGGGATGACTTTAAACTTCTTTACCCAACCTTTTGCGGTTTTCTCTTATCGATATGCTTGACCTAAGATAGGTTGCTCCGCTAGCCGGGCAGTGAAGGCGCAATGTCTAACATTCTGTTCCTCTACGCCCTCACTGACATCACCCCATTGAACCTCCTGTAACCACGGCTCAGTTTCGTATCGCTTCGTATGACAAGCTGCGCTGATGACAACACTCATGCTTGTCTCCCCAAGTTCCGTCCTCAGCCTCCGGAACACACTTACACAAACAGTGACGACCATCATGACCAGGCTAACCGCTATCAGCGACACCACGCCCTTGGCGCTATACCCAAGTCTGACAAGCTGATCATTGGGGTCAATCTCCCTGTGCGCGTTTACGCCATCAATGCGCACCATGAAGAAGCTCTGAGAGCAGAGCCAGTGAAGCATGGCACTACATCCCATGAGCGGAACCGCATATCGTACGGGCAGCGTGAAGATTTGACTATTGCGCTGCATACCACGAGGTCGCTCACTGACTCGCAGTCCTTTCTTGACTTGTGTTAAGCGATCAAACTCTTGTGCGACAAGTAACTTGCTCCATATGTTTGTATATACAACATATAGGAGCGAGAAACCAAGTTGCGGGATATTGGCGATGAGGAGCGTGGGCACGATGCCTGAAGAGCCGGTATCGTCACCTTTAAACGAGGCGAGGGACTGTATATCTGGAACGCCGAGACCGTTGGTAAATGCGAAGCCTTTGGCGCCATCGATGGCGAATGATAATGCTATTGAGAGAACCAGGATATAAAATACTGAAATACCGATAGTGGTGCAGAATTCCGTCGTGTTCGCACCATTGAGCCAGCGCGGACGACTCCCAGTGAAGATTTGTGGTTCGTAGGGTGTTTTGAAACCATGCTTACGCACCTGCTTCGAAGAGACCAGGCACATGTTCTTGGTAGTTGGGTCCTCTTCCTCCAAGAATGAGGCGATGGCATCACCCAGTGTGCGGAGGAAGCGGTCGGCTGGGCGCCAGAAGACTAAGTAGCACAATGTGAGGACTTTGATAACACCGAAAACCACGACAGCTAACATGAGCCACGCGTTGAACTGCAATTGGCAAACATCTGGAGAGATCCGTGCAAAGCAGTGGCTAATGGGATTACCGAACACCGACCACTTTCTGCCGGAGTCGGAGCCATCTATGGCCATTTTTAGGCTACAACGATCTTGACTAGTGTTGTTGACGGCTAGGAGATCATAACAGATCCAATGGAAGGGGTCTTGGTTCGTGTGGACTTTGTCGAGAGTGATGGAACGCTGTGGATATCGAGTCCACAGAATAGGGGAGTCGGCATCTGGGCGAGAAGAGACTGCGACAACATCACTGTGGCCCCTCAAAAACCCGGAAGAGTAGTTTTGAATGCACTCCCGGGGATCCATACGTACAAATTCCGCGTTCCTGGAAACACTGCGAACATCCTGCAGGAGCTCAACTACCGCAGACACGTTACGGACATCGAATGGACACACTTTGCCGTCGCATTCTTCTTTTGAATAGACCCACTGCTCGAAAAGGTCGGGTGATACGTTTTCTGGCGAAGGTCGAAAGTTTGTTTTCTCAATGTAGCTTTGATCGATTACAGCTACGGCGTACTGATTTGCTTGGCTTGTTGTGAAGAACACGGCGTTGAAGCTGTTAGGGTCAGCATAGACCAAAAGCAGCACTGCTGAGGACTTACAAGAGATGGAAAGGCAGGCTTGTCAGAACCAGTATTCCCCAAATCCATGCATTCCTTCTGCGCACATGGAACAAATTTCTTACGCTCGATGTCCCTATCTCGACCCACTTGCCTTTTGTATGCGCAGTGTCGACTTCCTTCCTTGTCGGTGCAGTCATACCTTGCATACCGTATGTGGAAGCGCCAAGAACCAATGTTGATAGCACGTTCAGCGCCGCATGAATTCCAGTGTTAGCGTTCTGTACCATACCGCACTCTCCGGTCATGACTGTTGCGGTACCCCTATATGTGCTGTATCTATCGAACAGCCATGCATAGACTGCGGCATTGACAATAAGTGCCACCAGGCTAAAGACGAAGGCGCGTAGGAGGCCTGCACGCCAACCAGCAACAAACGTGTCGTAGAAGGAACTAAACAAGCGTGTGTCAAAACGCCGGTGCTCGTGCTCTTCGAACCGCTCAACGAGAGTTTTGCGATGCGAGACAGTGTAACCGGCGGTATTCCATGCTCCTGCTGCATATGCTGTATCTGTGTTCGCGGGATGCACATTGCTGGTAATGTCGCTTTTAGCGTCTCCCATGGCTTGGGATGGATACGCTGATAGTGTGATCTCTTGTGTCGTCATCGGGTCTTCACTTGGAATTCTTGTGAAGCGCCGTGGTAGCCTCATAGCTAGAATTATCGAAGAAAATGTCTCTGCATGTGACAATAACCAAGGGGCATCCCGTTACGACCCTTATGTGGACACCAAAACTTTGGAATGCAACCGAACACAGAAAGGCCTGACTCTTGTAAACCAACAATCGCTAAATGCAAGACAAGAAAGACAGGGACAGATAATGATGAAAATGTTGTGCGACCGTGACAAGGGGAGATCGAAAGTAAGCAGGGGATGGAGTGCGGCCCCCAATCTTGACCCACTCGGAGGATCATGCACTAGAATCATTTTGGGTAAGGCGTATATCAGCCTTGCGCTACTAAGCGTCAAGGAGATATATTATTCGCTAGAATCTGGGACGGTCACCGTACGCTACTCGTGGACGTGTCATGGCTGTTATAATTTTAGGTCAAGTGGTGAAGTTTGCGCTTGCCAGTTCTTCAGATCGCTAATGTTGATGCGTTCTGGAAGACCCCTCCTTCACCCATCGCAAACCAGACCCTACACCCCGGTTCTGCGCTGTTCGTAGGTTGCTCTCGTCGCCGAGGCGGGAGAATACGAGCAGCAATGTTGTATGATGTCAACGAGCTAAGTGCTTGTTTAAAATTGGACCTTGACCCCCTTCCCTTTCTTTCTACCCTTCTTCATGACCCCCAAAGATCATTGTCGAGAGAGTAGAAAGTTCGTTCAAAGGCCACCTCAGATGAAAAATTGACAGAAGGAATAGCCGTGAATTGCTAAAAGGACAGGGAGAAACCACAGCCACTGGAAAAACAAGCTACGAGAATCTCCAGGCCGTGTAGAGGTACTGTGGCGTAGAATTAGTGATGATGTTGATCAACCTTCGCAGCATTTTCATCGCATACAGTGCGTGATCGGGTGGATCAGGAGTATGAGTATCCCGTTATCCTCTTCCCTGTTCTTCTTCTCTTAAAGCCTTGAGTTCCGTGTCCTCAAATTGTTGTTCAGGTCCATGATATTGCTTTAGGTACGAATGGGAAGAGACATAGGATAGATTTAAGGCCAGTCGTTTTGTATGACACTGAGACGCCGTTAGGGTTATAGAGGTGAATATGAGGCTACGATTAAGCTAGCGCACTCTATACACAGTGAATCTTAAGAGATGGATAGAGTAAGGTAGCTAAATAAGCTCGTGTTGAAGGTGTTCAGGTACGATATATGAGGTAATGAAGCCTGAGAGAGAGAGAGAGAGAGAGAGAATATATAGTGTACTAAGAGAAAGCACTCAAACTAGCAGGCCCTCGGGACGTGCAAAGAGAACATAAGCCGATGAGAAGGAAACGTTTCCATGTGAGGGAACGAGATATCGAATTCGAAAAGCTCAGCTAAGAGGGTTCTGATGGAAGTATATCATCAAGCTGTCGCTAAGCACTATACCGTGTAAGAGTGTGGCGATGTTAGCGATGTCGCTGTCTGGAGCGATTCTCGCTCTTATCTTCATTGTCAGCCCACCCCGTCCAATCGTCAACTTCACACATGAACACAACATAATCGATATCTTGGGCATCATTCGTTGTATAGATTGATCTATCTAATACACATGCATGATATCGCCACCGGGGGATCTGTCTGAATGACTGATCCAACTCCAGTCGCATCAGATTGGCGAAGCTAACTCCGAATCCCTCCAACCCAAAACGCCATTTGCAGGTCAGGCAGCAGCCGGTGAAGGCTGCATTCTGTAACCCACCAGATTGAAAGCAAATGCATGAAGGAATAATACACAGCAAAGAGTCATAACAGCCCTCTGCGAAAAAGAGTTTATCGTTTCTCAACTCTGTTTGGCCGCACCTTCTAGCGCTCAAGGAACCCGCGCAATGCACTCTCTACGTGCTCATCTTCGAAAGTGCCTTGAGCCTGCATCTGCATCGCGTGCTGCTGCTGCGCTGATCGATCTTGGAGATGACTTCCCACGCTCCCTGGTGCCGGATTGACCGGTGAAGTATGAACGTTCGGCACATCCCGGCGAGGTGGGCCTGAAGGATACGTGCTCTGCGGCAATACTCCATTTCCCTCCGCAGCACCTGGTAGCGGCACGTATGACCGGAATTGATTCTGACCTGGATTCGGGTTCTTCGGCGGCCAGCCCATTACGGGCGCTGGGAGCGGCACGCCAGTCTTTAACAGCGCGGCCTTCTCTCGATCCTTCTTTTTCTGCTGCACCAAAGTCCCCTTCACCCCCCTCAAGTACTTCATTGCCAAATCCACCAACTCCTTCTTCTCCGGCGAGTTCTTTAGTGCATCTAACATCTCACGGACCTGTGTTTCAGACTTAATGTGTGGGCATGTGCGAGAGTGTCCAAAGTGCGCGAGTCCGCAGAGTCCACAGTGTTCAACGCCCGCTACTTTGAGATCGCATGCGCCCTCGGGGTGGTTCTTGAGGCACGCGCTGCAGATTCTGTTACTAAAGGAGCCGTAGGTAGGCTCGAGAGGGGAGCGGACGGGGAGATTGGCGCGGCGAAACGGTTTCACTGTGCTGCTGTTATTTTTTGGTGCCTTTATCGCTGCCCGGGCTGTCCGGTCTGCTGGAGCTGATGCGGTCTCGATTCTGAATGGCGCAGCTTGTTTGGTGGCGCTGTGTAGGGCGAGAGTGACAGGAGGAAACTTTGAAGGTGACTTGAATGAGATGTTGGACGCAGCTGCGCCATCTTGCTTGTACAAGGTGGATTTTACGGTCGTAGTACTACGACGTTGCACATCGCCGCCGAGTTCTTTTGCAGCATCACCATCGTCTGACGCATTAGCGTCTGGCTCGCTTTCCTCCTCAGTGTCGGCTTGGAAGTCGGTGTCGCTCTCTGAGCTAGCTTTCTTCTTGCGTCTCTTGTCTGGCTTTTGCATTGGTGAGGGAATCGTGTCCTCAAAGACGTCCTCTCCAACAACCGACGCAGTCTCAAGGCCATCTTTCTCCGTGGCATAGTCGATATTTGCTTTAGCTCGCCTACCTCTACCCATAGCCTCCGCTCGGGCAAGTGCTTCTTTCGCTGCCGCCGCTTGACGTTCCTTGAGGATCTTGTCCCAGACGCCTGGATCAGGAGCGACCTCCTCATCCACAGTATCAAAGTCCTCTTGTAGACCACCTTTGTCATTTGCCCAGATACGAGCAAAGCTGAATTGGGACTCTGCTGAGTCGTCGTCACCGCTCGTCTTAGTGTTCTCAATTTGACTGCGATCTAGCAACTTATCGATGGAAGCGTCGTCAAAGCGAATATCGTGATCTGCACCATCGTCCTTGAAGAGCTCTGCTGCGCCAAACTTGAGAATCGACTCCACGTCATGGTCTTCAATCTCTTCGGTGCTGTTTCCAAGCTGTTCAACGACAACGTGATCAAGCGCCATCTTTTTCCTGCCCATTTGCATAATCTTCTCCTCAACCGATGCCCTTGTCGTAAGCTGCAGGCATAAAACCTTTTTCTTCTGTCCAATTCGATGCGCTCGAGCAATAGCTTGTATATCTTGATGCGGATTCCAATCAGGGTCGAGAATGATGACGGTGTCAGCAGTAGCGAGATTGATACCAACACCACCAGCTCGAGTAGAGAGCAAAAAGGCGAACAGCGGAGAGTCGGGTGCATTGAACTGGTCGATTCTCTTTTGTTTTTCAAGAGAGCCCATTGTGCCGTCAAGGCGCTGGTATGCGAGCTGCAGACCGTCCATGAAATCTTCTATGATGTTGAGCATATCAAGAAATTGACTGAAGATAAGGACGCGATGCCCGCGCTCCTTGAGCTTCGGTAAGAGGATTTCTAGCAGACTCAGCTTGGCGGAAGCTTCTACTAAGTTGCGGTGTGAGACAGCAGCAATGTCAGTGCGCTCCTCGATCTCACGACTATACACAAAAGGATGGCACAGACACTTGCGTAGTTGCATGAGGATATTGCTCAAGTTGGCTCGTTCCTGCTGCTTCAGTGTCTTGTCTGAAGTAAAGAGGGCCTTCAGCAACTCGGGGCGCTTCGACAGGATGGACTTGTAGAGCTGCTTTTGCAGGTGACTCATGGAGATGGGCAGGATAACTTGACCCAGTGGCGGAAGAAAGGTCAGCACTTGAGCCTTAGTTCGTCGAAGGATATAGGGTCGGATTTTGGCATGAAGCTCTTTGATGTTTTCCGACGTCATTTCAGCGTATTTCTCTTCAAGCTCAGCAGCATTGATGTTCTCATCCAAAAAGTGAAGCAAGTTGAAGAGCTCTCTGGCGTTGTTCTGCAAAGGCGTACCGGTTAAGAGCAGTCTGAAGGGGGCCCTCACTGAGGTTAGGGCCGTGTATAGTTGACTCTTGTCGTTCTTCAGTCGTTGGCCTTCGTCGATGATAAGACCTGCCCAGCTGACGCTACGGAAGAACCTCCTGCAGCTATCATCAGTAGCAGCTTCATACGAAGTAACTACGATGTGGCATCGTAACTCCTTTGTACCTTCAGGGAACATCTCATATTTGTAGGCCATGTCACGAGCTTGAGATGACCCGAAGTATGCGACAACGCGCAGAGATGGCGCCCATTGCTTGATCTCGCGCCTCCAATTGGCACAAGTAGAATTGGGGACAACAATAAGAAAGGGAAAGCAGTTGTGCTCTTGAATCAGGGTCGCCATGAAGCCAATAACCTGAATAGTCTTGCCAAGTCCCATCTCGTCGGCAAGTATACCATTCTCTTGACTGTGCCATCGGCAATAAAGCCAGTTCAGACCGTCGACTTGGTACTTCATTAGTTCTCCGCCGACAAGGTTGTCCGGTTGCTTTTCCCGCACAAGCTTATCAAATGGCGTGTTACGGGTCTTTTCGAGACGCCCCTTCAATGGGCCTTGCTTGGGATACCTGATGTAGCGACCAGCGATCCAGTCATTGTAGGCAGTGACGAAATCCAGCCACCGGTCGCCATCTTCTGATGTAGGTACCTTCTCCCATACCGCATCCTCGTAGCCGAGGCCCTTGTACTTTATAAGGGCTTTATCTACCTCTTTGATCCTAGCCTTGTCGATCTCTTCACTACGGACCTCCACGTAGCTGGTGTATTTGATGTCTAGGACAATGTCGATACGTAGAAACTCCTCGGGTATAGCGTCCTCGGTTCGCATCTTCGGTCCGTCCTCGCGCTTAAAGAAAGCTTTTCGCATGGCAGAAGCAGTGACACCCCATGTCCAAGCTCCGGAGTACCAAGCCGCGCGGAAATAAGACTGGTTCTCCCATTTGATCAAGTACTGCTTGTCATCTTCGCTGACAAGATCGCACGAGGTTCCAGGGCGGTAGGTTTCGACATCTGACGGTCGCCAGGCAATTATGCCTCCAACTTTCTGGTCCTCCGTGTCATCGCACTCTTTGCACAGCCACTTTCCAGAGTACTCTCTAAAGCGCTCATCTGCCATCTCCTCGTCGTCACGATTGACGTCCATTGCATACTGAGACAGGGGCGGTAAATGGTGGTAATGCCATGCTCGAGAGCATTTGGTACAGCGAAACAGTACGTTATGAGCGTTATTGATGAGCGTAGAAGGCACGTCAACGATCGGGTCTTGGCCACCATTCTCCTCTCGAAGTTTCATTTCCTGCTGTGTCGTCTTGCGATGCCGGAAGGGTTTACAAGAAGCACCCTGTTGGACGCAATCATGGCACCTGGACAAATCAGGGGCGGTAGCATCTTTTTTCTTGTAGAAGTTAATACACCGCTTGCACTGCAACACAAAGCTCTCGTCATCGACCTTGGTGACAAGATGATCACGACTGGATCGGTTTCCTAAGCAGTTCTTATGGTATGCGAGGGAGCAGCCCTGGCAGTAAATGAGAGGCGCAACGTTGGGTCCGTCAAAGCACACTTCGCAACCTTCGGCGTGGCGTGATCGGAAAAGGTCGCGTCGCGGGAGTGTTGCAAATACCTCGCGAACCACAGCCACTTTCTGTGCGCTCACCTTGGGTACAGAGTCTGATCGGTAGATGTCGTCCATAGTAGCCTCTTCCATATTATTGGTAGCACGTGTTGATCGATCAGATTGACGCACACCGGTTCTAGGCATTTTCTCTAACCTCGAAGTGGGTAACGTGCGTCTCTTCCGCTTCCGACCCGGTAGTATGTCCGAACGCAGGATGTCAGAAGCATCAGAGTCGTCTGTATCCTCTTCTTCCTCCTCTTCATCATCGTCGTATGCTTGCACAGGCATTGGCTGTCTGGTGGAGCGACGGGTGGGTTTCCGTACGCCTTTGCGCTTTCGCCCCCGCTTCTTACCTCCGTCTTCGTAGTCGTCGACGTCCTCGCTTGTAGAGAGCTCAACGAGATCGCTTTGTCGTGACCGCGTCCTCGATGAGCGTTCTCTATCCGAATCGCGCTTTGCTAATGTATGGATGCGACCATTGCGCGGCCTTCGTGATGTCGAAGCAAGCTCGTCCTCCTCAGAGGAAGAAAGCGCAATGGTCGAGATGTCTACGAAGCCGTTATTTTGCGCCTTCGAAGCCCTGCCACGGAGCCTCATGTTCTTCTCGTCTGCACTGGTGGATGTAGCGTTCGGATCGTCGTCTGGCTGGAGGCTCTTCAGTGCTTGTGGACCACCTGGTAATTCTAGAAGCTCGTCAAAGTTGATCTGAAGATGAATTAGAAATATATCCTAAAAATGTGGTGGTGGCGGTGGTGCAAGTAGAGCTTCGTGGGAAGATCGAGCTTATATATTCAAGGGGATCACCTCGTGTGGCTATTGCCTTTACACTGCCTTTACCTCTGACGCTAGAGAGTTGTACGGCCTTACTTATGTACAATGGAACTTTCACTCACCACTTTGACTTTGTCGCTCCAAAGCCTAACTTCATACAACATCTCTCCCCTCCTTGTAAACTCGCGTATGATACCCTCTACCTCATCTTTTGGTTCGTAGTACGTGTATTCATTCTTATTGCGGACTGGGGATGGGCGCACGCACAACGCTCTTCGCATTTTGCGGGAACTTCCGACCTGGGAATGGTGTTCCTCGCCTCCCGATCCATCGTCTGATATGAAGTCTCCCGGCGAGAACGATGCTGGCTTGTTTGAAGAGGTCGCAGTTGACTGGCGACCGCCCTGTTTCTTAAATGCCGCCATAAGTTCGGCACCATCCTCATCGCTACTCATGTTGATGGATTTATCGTAAGCTCAATCGACGCGTGGTATAGCCGTCCGCCTATATCGAGCTCATTGAGTGGACGGTCGCGAGTGAAAGTGGGCCGGTGCCGACTTCAGTATCGGCGCGGAAAGATTTGGAGGTGTGAATCCGAGTTAAGAGAATGCGACGGGGAAATTTCAGGGCGTATGGCGCGCATCGGGCATTTAAAGACGATAAATCTCGGTGAATGTTGGTAATGCGGAGGGAGTTATGCGGTACCAAACGCGTGAGTACGTGAATTGGTCCGTGCGAGATTTTGCTAGTGCGACACCTCTAGGTTTTCGTCGCAAGTAATTATAGATCTTGCCAAGCTCACAAGTTTTCGTACACTTCAATTAACATTGTTATGGTATATTCTCTCCTTATTGGTAGCACGCTACTACGGACCCAACGACTGACACTCCCACGTACATTCTGCCGGTACAAATCCATCACCGCAGCGATCGAAAGAGGCCGACAGGGTGGACCTGATCGTTCCTCCCGTCCCCGTACACGAGAAGCATTTGGAGATGGGGGAGATAGACGGGTGAAGACTCGCCGTGAGGAGAGGTTCGAGCGATTCGGCCCGCCGCGTGATGACAACGATTCCTCCGGCAGTCCTCGTGCAGAGCGACCACAACGGGACCGCGGTGAGAGGGTGACAGCGCCTCGAAGCAGCAGGTTTGGCCGTGTGGGCCCACCTCGGCCTCGCGATACTGCACCCAGCAGGTTTCGGGACGAGCGCCCACAGAGAGATCGAGATGATGCCCCAAGACGGCGTCGCGAGGACCATTTCGAATCAGCGCCGGACAGATCTACGGGTCGAGGCAGGGACTTTGGCGGGGAACGAAAGCCCTTTTCTGACCGTTCCAGCTTCAGAGAGCCACGCAGAGAGCGATTCGACGGACGCAACGAGCCGACATCACGACGAGAGAGACCTTCGGGCACACAGGACGACAGGACATTTGATAGAGGCAAGAGCTTCGATAAACCCAGAAACTCATACTCCGATCGTGCTCTGTCAAGAGGTGCACAGAGGGAAGAATCAGGCGATGTTCAAAAAGAGTATAGATCGCAAAGGCTGGACAGACCTTCGAGGATAGATGATGACTCTTCCTATACACCACGTCCTCGGGACAGAACAGATGAGAGCCCAAGAGAGCCACGATTCTCCCATCGTCCTGACTCGAAAGGGGCCCGAAGAGAACGAACTGGGCGAGAGCAGACTGAGCGCTACTATCCCCACGACTCTTCACGAAGCAAGCCGGATTCGCCCTCTGCTACGGGCAGTCCAAGGAGCTCAGTACAAGGACCCGAATCACTACCGTACACGACCGCTGCCTCGGAGTTCATCTACGGATTTTCAAGCGTACTGGCTGCTATCAAGGCGAATCGGCGGAAATTCTACAGCCTCTACATTCATTCTAGGGGCGCAAGTAGAGATGGCCTAATGGCTCGTATCAGAGCCCATAAACTATTCTCGATTACTGAAGAAGTCGGAGACGAATACATGCGCGCTATGGACAAGGCGAGCAGTGGCCGACCGCACAATGGAGTTATACTGGAGTCATCGCCACTTCCTGTACCTCCCATCACTGAACTAAGGACAGCATCCATCACGGATGAGAGTTTCAGTGTCGCCGTTGACAGCCAAAGCGCAGAAGATGCGCTAGTCAACGGCAAGCAGGAGCTATACTCGTACAAGTCGTCTGGTTGGAGACATCCCCTGATCCTCTATGTTGACGGTGTGGTATGTTTTTCTCTCCGTGTGCGGCCCTCTTTCGCTAACATTTTCAGCTCGACGAAGGTAATCTCGGAGCCATTGCACGCTCAGCCTACCTCCTTGGTGTTGACGCTATCATCACTCCCACGCGTCAAACGGCGCCATGGAGCCATATTGCTCTGAAAGCCTCTGCTGGCGCCGCAGAAGCGATTCCCCTGTTCAAAGTTGGCGAGCCTACAGACTTTCTCGGGAAGAGTTCACGTGCTGGGTGGAGGATCTATGCGAGTGATGCTGTACCCCCGGCACCCTCTATCTCACCAGCCTCCGAGCCTGAAGATGACGGGGCTTCCAAAATAGTCTATTCCATTGCGAGGAGTACCAAACGGCTTCCCGCAGACCACTCTCCTGTGGCAGAACACCCGACCATTCTGATGATGGGTGGCGAAGGGACGGGGCTGAGGAGCAGTCTCTTGAACCTGGCGCATTACAAGGTGGGCATCCCACATGGTCGCGAAGTTGATGAGATTGGTGTCGACAGTCTGAATGTTAGCGTCGCAGCCTCGTTGCTCTGCTACGAAATGCTGCAGAAACCCAAGTCGCAGCCGATCCGCAAACCTGAGGACGTTGTGTTTTAGAGCCTCGGTGTGCCCAGAGGAACCTGCCTCTTGTATCATATGTATACCCTCTGTACCAAATATATAATGTAGCTAGGGTGGTGGGCAGGCGGTATCAGCGTCGCATTGCACCATCCAATAGAATATAGTGATGCACTGTCGTTATCAAGATGCTCGCGTATATGCGAGACATAGGCCGATAGAGTGATGGGCAGCAAATCACAGCCAAGGGTCGGTATCGCTTGCTGCAGGCGTCGCAGAGTGCAGATACTGGAGTGCATCCTCCACACTTGGTCTTGCCGGTTACCGTGCCCAGCCCTTCTTATCGCTAAGGCCTCTTACTAAAGCGGTGTACATGCCGCCCGCCGGTAGGAAACGAGGTATTCGGGATGGACAGCGCTCCAGCTACGTCATATATGTCTATTCACAGCAATAGAAGTCGAAAAACTAGCGATCGACCGACCGACACGATTGTGGGTCTGAGAATCAAGGCCTCGAAATGCCATCTGAGGTGTGATGGGAATGTTACCCCACGTGTTCGCACAGGCTAACGCTGATGGGAGTGGCTTGGGGGGTGCACAGAGGAGGAAGGTGGTGTTATTTCGGCGTGATTATAACGGTGCCTGGTCTGGTGATATGCAAGCCAGATACTCTGGCTATGACAGTAGATGGGGACAATACGTTTCTCTCAGGATATTGTCAGACTCTCTTTTGAAGGAGTGATGCTGCAGCCATCGGAGAAGCGCGCGAGCACAGCATGCATGGCATTCGACATTGCATATGGCTAATATACAACACGATGCACACCACCACCAGCCTCAGACGTTGAGAGTGCTCCAACTACATGGTGGTCCCCACTCTAAATTGCCATTTCTTTTACTCTTGAAGACGACACAGACAACGCTAGATCGAGGGCGCTCTACGCGCAACCATTGATGGCTCTGAATTAGCGGTGAAAGTGAGGCCCACCCAACCCGCAAGCGTGGGCTAGATAGTCGTACCCTTGTCGTCATTGTACATCTTTACTGTATTAGCGGCACACGATCGAGCACTTTGGCAGGGTTCCTCTGCGGCAAGCAACCCTCAAGCTTTTCTGCCTCCCACCACGAAGACCATGTCTCGTCTCCCATATCTTTGACCTTGTAGAGCCTGCCTCTCGGCTTTCCCCAACCCTTTTAGTTGGCGCCCCCGCCCTACAGCAATAGCTTTGCAGCTTGCCGACGGTACCACCCTCGAGGCCGCCGCTTGTCTGCACGCCTCACACCTACCTGCCTCACCCGCCCTGTCCTACCAAAACCCCGCAACTCCTCATATTGCGCCACTCGGGCTGTCTTTCAACTCTTCCGCTGCCAGAGAGAGGATACACATCTATTCACCATGACGCGAAGAATAGTGTATGGCGTGGGCCTTGTGCTCGCCATTGTCTGTACGTCTCGAGCATGCGCGTCTTCGAGGATAGGCGCAAGACTAATATGCGTACAGCAACAATCATGACGATAGCGAGTATTGCCATGCCGCGCTGGGTCAGCTATAGCCCTGTACGTACACTTTCATCCTCTTATCCACGCTCCTCTCCCATCTCTCCCATTCTCCAATAACGCCTCTAACAATCAACCTAGGACGGCAAACGCGAATACTCCTACGGCCTTCACAGCCGCTGCTCAGCCGTCACAGGTGCCTGCGTGCCCTTTCCCCGCGACACCGACTGTACCAAGGACCCGTCCTTTTGCAACATGTGGCGCACAGTTGGCTTCCTGATATCGTTTGGTGTCGTCGTAGAGCTGTGCACACTAGTCTCCTTCGTGGTGATCATCTCCGGCGGTGTACAGAGAAGAGCAGCGGGATGGCAGGTTGCTGCTGGTGTATTAGCGTTTAGCGCTATTGTGCAGTGCGCGGGCATGTCCATTGTGGTATGTCTCTCACGCCTGCCCCTCCTCCTGGGAGCTGCAAACCCAGCACCACATTTCCTCCTCTAAACAGAGCACTAATATCTTCAGGCTTTCCTCTTCGACCACGACTCCCGCTTCTGGGACGGCTGGAACCTCGACATTTCCTGGTCTCTCTGCACCGCCAGCTGGGCCATCCTGGCCCTCACATGTCTCGGCATTGTCGCGTCTGCCCTCTACCTCCCCGTCGAGGGCGACTACGAGCTCATTCCAGACCAGTCGCAAATGGAGCCAGACGATCGGTGAGCGCGCACTTCTCAATCTACACGCCTCTTCCGACACACATGTTGAGGAAGATGGTGATTTGTATGTTTGCCAAGGAAAGAATTGTTTTAATGTGCGGTAGGCTTCTTTCACGAATCGCGGCCTGGGATAATGGTTACAAGGGTACGGATTCAGGCATGCAGTATAGCTATCAGAGAGATCAGGATTCAATGAGTGACATCTCCGTTGCTGCGAGCAGTCGGCGACCATCGAGCACCCGGCGATGAGGTCAAGAACAAACACACCACACGCACGAGCGGCGCACAAAACACAATTACGAAGAATACGAGGGACGGGTGGTACACATAATGGGGGTGGATTGCATCTGAGGTTGGGGGGCTGTTGACATTGGCGCAATTGGTCTATTTTGCATTCGCAAATTCTTAGTATCTTGTTATTTTCTGTCGCGTTTCTTGCGATTCTGATACCCTCTGCCTTCCCCATGGTGGTCGGTCGATATATCTCCACCGGCTTCGCTGAAAGCGCAATAGAGCGTTCATTTAAGAAATAAGCATTTTCTCCTCTCCGACGCGCTTTCCATAACGATGATCACTCGTGCGTTCTTCCCGCGCTTATTGAATTCAGCTATCACTTCTTTGCCCTGTTTTCATCAAAAATGCGTTCCTAGCATCGACAGCCCCTTGCGCTTTCCCTAGCTCTATGTAGAGTGCTGCCCGCTTGCTGAGCGTTAACCTTCAGCTTCAAACCTACTTTATCTATGCAGTCGCTTTCTTTAACTACTCTATAAGTTCACAAAAATACTAATTTGAAGCCCAGTTGCTAGTGAAACCTAGATAACATTGCAGTGTCAGCCTTCCCGGCTTTGCAGATATAACTGTGCCAGCATCCGTCCTCTTCATAAGTCGACACTTTCCTCTTCGAATCCAGGTCTAAAGGAGCTGCCAAATGTTTAGTTAAAAGAATACAAATAGGAGGTCAGAACGGTAATGTCGTTGTTGCTCCGTAGAGAAAGTGTAAAGTGACCATTACCTAATATCCTATGTGTAATATTATACTGACTACAGTCTCGCATTCTATCTTTGGCTTTTGTTCAGTCTACTCCAGCTCATATATCTACGGCAACAATTTCTCTGTACTAGATTCACCCTGTGAATCTTCTTCCCCGTCGCTGTTCTCTATTTCATCTTCATCTTCGTTTTCATACTCTTCGCTACCCTCTCCATCTTCATCGTCTTGATCTTCTTCATCCAAGGCCTCCCTCAGACTCTCAATCCAAGCTTCATAGTCGCTATTACCATTGATATCGTGGCTAGCTGCGCCAGCACCCAGTGCCCTCTCATATTTACTTCCATGGTTTTCCTTTACTATCAATGCTCGTTCTAGTACGCCAATCTTTTCCTTACCAAAGCCTTCTTCGTCGCCTTTCCAAACCGCCTTCTTATCCGCCACCAAGCCATTACGCCAGCAAAAGGCCAGCCACTGCCGCCAATGCTCATCTTGTCCGAGAACGACCGGGCTCCCAATGACGAAAAGAGCCTCTTTTGCCCGTGTAAGCGCAACATTCATCTTTCTCTTCTGTCCTATAATGCCTAGTCCCCTTTTCTCATCCATGTCAAGAAACCGCTCTCGAGTTCTAGTCGTGCATATGATGACGACTCTGTTTTCAAGGCCCTGGAATGCTTCGAGCGGGCCGATGTTTACTTCCCATAGCCCTGCGCCGCCACCGTAGGTCTCGGAGCGGATAAGAAAACGCAGGAGTTTGACTTGTGCAGCGAAGGGCGACATGATGCATATATCCTTTTGTTGGACGCGAGATTCTTCGACGAGGGTTTGCGCAATGGAGCATGCGAGGCGTGCTTCTCTGATGTTATACCAGCCGCCGCCGTCGCGCTCGATCTCGTCGGGTCCGATGTGCGGTATGAATAGGACCGGCCATTTGCGGCCGCGCCAGAGGGAGGATTGCTGGAGTGGAGTGGAGGGCGTGGGTGCTTCAGGCATGAGCGTGTCGTTGTAGAATAGCGAGCTAGGCACACTCAAGATTGCGGGATGGGAGCGGTAGTTTCGCACTAGGAGTGTGAACGGCGGGTAGATGATTGGAAGCATCGATCTCTTGATTACGGGAGGGCCCGACGATGGCTTGAGATTTGAACGGCTTAATGGATGATCTTTATACAGCGTCCGCCCAGAGAGACGTGCGAATAGAGATGTGGAGAATTCCGGATCGCGAGACGCTGTTCGGGGCCCGAGTTGATTGTCGTCTCCTGCCAACACCAAGCGTGTTTGTGGAAGGTGTGTTGGGTATGCCGAGGGTGGACACACGACACTGATGGCGGGCAGGACGTCTATCTCGGTGGCTTGGGCGGCTTCGTCGATGAGTAGGGCACCCCAGTGTAAGGATGGTGTTGGTGCTTGGTCTTCTGGATGGAGGGCGGAGAACATGTTCCTTTCCAAGGTCCAAAGGTCATTGTTAGTCACTCGTACTTCTGCCAAGATAGCTACGTCTCTGGAAGATGTAACGACAACGTTGAATGCCATGAGCGTCTTGAAAGGAGGCAGGTAGAACATGTCGTTCTCAATGTAGCAGTACTGCATAAGCTCTCGTGGCACTTCATTATCTGCTCGGCCAGGCCTGTTGAGTCTGAATAGTTGCTTGTTGTTTAGATAGTGCTTGAGACGTAAAGCTAGTGTGTCTGCGGCCGCTTCAGATGGCGCACATATAATCATATGCGCAGTCTTGGTGGTATTCAGTAGTTGCATAGCTGTCTCGACCAGCGTCTTAGTCTTGCCAGTTCCTGGAGGTCCGGAGATTAGGTATGGCAGCGTGCCATAATCACTGGCACAGATATCGTTAACAGCGTGTGCTTGCTCGTAGTTGACGGCAGGATCGAAAAGTGCACGATGTGGAATCTTCCGAAGCCGGGTTTGGAGCTGGCCATCACGCTCTCTCGGGAAGAGCATCCGGCGAACCCAGTCGTTGTGTAGTGCACAGGTGCATTTTTCTGGCGTTCCGGTCGAAGCATACTCCACCTCAGGTACTCCATCAAAGTCAATCCGGCCATCGTCTAGGTTAGTTAAGTTATTCTGATGGAACAAGCACACCGTTTGCCTAAGCTCCAAATTGACTCTTGCCAACGCCCCCCGCTGAACTCCCAGCAGACCATATCTAAGTGGAAAGCTGACATTCGCTTCCAGAGGAACGACATTGGATCCAAGGTGTAGGAAGTCAAGGCCTTCGACTTTGAGATAAACTGTCTCTTGTGCCCTATTGATACTGTATACTGAGCCGTTGTGTTGCACTCCGGTCCAGGTTTTGTAAAAGACTGGAGCATGGCTCGGGTGACCCATGCCGTGGCTTTCCATGTACATTGGCACCGGCATCGGGTTTCCTGCGCTATCCATCCACAGTTGACGAATCTGCAGCGTGTCACCCATCTCGACAACTGGACTATCTTCCCTTAGACCTGGCACTGACAAAGCCCAAATCTGACCATCTGGGGTCGAGATGCGATGGAGTGGAACCTTGTAGAGTGCATGTGTCTCATGTTCCTGTGTCTTGGCGGCACTTTCAATGTTCATTAGTCTATTGAAATATTGGAAGTACGAGTCCTTGATGAATCGCTCCTCGGGTAGTGTGACCTGCTTATACTTAGTCTCTAGAGCATTCAAGGGTCGGTCGGGTATGAAGCTGGTTCCGATGAATGTGTGGGCGTAAGCTTGAGAGTCAATCCAGTATTTTGGCTTGGTTGTAATCACAACAGCCTCCTCTGTATTGATTGATCGTAGAGCTGATGGGATGAACGGAGTAGCATAGACGTCGTACTCCCACTTTACAAGCTCCCTTGTCGTTTTCGAAGTTTCGTCGTCGCCATACCTGGGTGATTTCGCAGTCGTGGAGATTGTCTCTCGTCTAGGGAATGTCGAGTCTGAAGATGCTGTACCAGTTTGGGGAGATGAGTTCGACGGTGCTACGGGTGCAGGCTTCGATCTAGGAGGTAATTTTGGCACGGCGACGAGCTTTGACAAGTCTTGCCTTGCAATCTTCACATTGCCCTCTCCGTGCATATTTCCCTTCGTCGCCATATTCGGGCCTAGCTAGGTTGCCACTCCAAGGCTACGTGGCCGTAGAAGAGTATGTAGAGGTGGATTGCGTAGTTCGTCTCCTGCTATTCTGCGATATCTCATTTTCGTCGGAGACAGTCCACAGCAATAATCGATGAGGATAAAGCTATGACTTTACATGAGGGCAGTGCTGCTGTCCCTAAAGCCCGAGTGTGTGTCGTATCTAGCGTTTCCTCTGTTGAGCGAACAGGACGTACTGGTCCGCGATTTCATGGCCGCTGGCGTGCCGCGACGAAGGCGTGACTGCCTAAAACAATACCACGGTATGAGTTGTATGAACTGAGCGACGATAGTAGTCTAATAACAAAAAATGTCGATTCTAAGATAGATTGGACGACCGAGACTGGGCCTCCAAACGGCTCCAAAAGTAGGATGAGTGGGTGCGATGTCAGAGCTGTTGAATGTGCGGCTGTCGCTGTCAATGTAACACGACTATTGAAGCGCCGCGTTTGCCGAGCCAGAGGCGCTCACGCCCCGAACCACCCCTGCTAATGACAACTACACACCTAAAACGCCACAAAAGAGATGAGGAAAACACATACCATTAAAGGTATTACCGTGTGTTACCCAAAATGCTAGATTTTAGCTCAAGCATCCATCTTACGCACGTTATCCAGCCAGAGACGCTATTTCTGTGACTAAACGCGCATCCTCGTGATCTCGTGTCACTTTAAATGAGACACCCAAAATGTCTCCGGAACGAGTATCAGTACTAACAGCGTCGGTACTAGTAGAATAGCCAATATGCAATGTTGTAAGTGCTTCTAACATAGACGGTAGAGCTTCGGGATTTCAACGTTTACTGGCTACGGCATGGCATCGGGTGGAAAAGAGAAACGTGTAAATTTTCGGTATGGGTTTCACAATTCTATCGAAATTCTACAAAGTCTATGGTGGCTCCCCTGTCAACATAGCGTTGATCCCCTTGTCAGCCCTGCACCCGCTCTCCTTCCCCGCAATACGTCATGATCCGAGGTCTAGAGCCGAAGTCCTTAAAATCAAGACGACTCGTGAGTTCATCTTGTTCTGTAATTTCACTTTTCTGATACTTATCTTCATTTTACAATAAGCCACAGAGTTTTCTACGTCCTCAGACATGTCGAACCAACAGATTGTTCAGACTAAAGGCATCTATCATGGCCTCCCTGTGTATCCATCCTCACTGAAAGGTCTCACGGCAATAATTACGGGTGCGAATGGTATATCCGGTAACTACATGCTACGTGTATTAGCACAGGATCCAGAGCGCTGGAAAAAGATATACTGTTTGTCGAGACGACCACCTACAATGCCAGGTGGCCTACCAAAGAATGCTGAACATATTGCTTTAGACTTTCTGAAAAGTCCAGTGGAGATCGCAGACGTTTTGAGAGAGAAGAACGTCAAAGCGGAATATGTGTTCTTCTACAGCTATGTGCAAGTCAAGCCGAAGGTTGGAGGAGGGCTGTGGAGTGATGCCGAGGAAATGTGCAGGGTAAATGGTATGTAGATTTAAATTGCACCTCTTCATCTTGACATTTGATTGCGTCAATACATCGAGAGAGTTGACGAGTATAGTTTCGCTTCTCCAGAACTTCTGTGAGGCTCTGCCTTTGTCAGATATCAAACCGAAGCGGATCATGTTGCAGACGGGAGCGAAGAATTATGGTGTCCATCTTGGCCCCTCCGCCATCCCGCAAGAAGAGTCCGCACCCCGTGTTGTACTAGAGCCGAACTTCTACTACCCCCAAGAAGACTTCCTCTGGTCCTTCTGCAACAAGCACACGATCGATTGGAATGTCTGTATGCCTGCCAGCATCCTCGGTGCTGTTCCAGAGGCAGCTATGAACCTTGTATTTCCACTCGGTTGTTATGCAAGCGTACAGAAACATTTGGGTGAGAAGTTGGAGTTCCCATGCGATTTAAAGGCTTGGGAGACAAACAGATGTATGAGTAGTAGTAAGATGAATGGGTACATGGAGGAATGGGCAGTGCTAAACGACGGAGCAAAGAATGAGAAGTTCAACACAATGGACGGGACAACGTTCACATGGGGTAACTTCTGGCCTAAGTTTGCGGCGTGGTATGGTGTAGGGTACGAGCAACCCAGTATGGACTCAAATGTATACACCAGTGTAGCGTCAAAGTACGATCCACCTCCACGAGGCTTCGGGCCACCTGCAACTTACCGATTTCGCTTCAGGTTGGTAGACTGGGCAAAGCAAGCAAAGGTGCAAAGAGCATGGGAAGAGCTTAATTCGAAATACGACCTGACAGGTGGTAAACTGCAAGACATGGACATTGATAGGATATTCGGGTTCACAGATGGCGGCTTGATGGGCTCCCCATTAGACCTTACGATGAACAAGGCGAGAAAGATGGGTTGGCATGGGTTTGTTGACTCAAATGATGCTATCAAGGAAGTATTGGGCGAGTTTGCGGATTTGAAGATGATCCCACCTATTGGTAAATAGAGTCTGGAACCGAATCTTTTCTGTGTCAGTTAGGAAGACCAATTTGAAAAGTTCAGCTTAGGCTACAGAGCATAAAGTGTAAGACCGACTGTGTTGGCATGCCAACTCCTCAGTGTCCCCGCGCGTGACTTTCACTGCCACCTTCCACCCAACAGGGCCATCCTTTCACGTATAAATAATCTGTGACCAAGCGTTAGCTCATAGCAGCTCACAAGAACGTTTAGCTGAACCCAACCTCAACTCTTCACCGAACACAAACAACACTATGGCTCAACCATATAATCCTACCGCTAATGCTAGTATGGCAAACCTAGAAGACACATGTACCTACTCAAAGCATCCCAACCACCTCCCAGCATCCAGCTAATTTATTTCCAGCATCTTGGATCAAAGCCGAGCTCCGACTTTCCACACCAGACAAGCGCGCAACATGTAAGCCTCGCACTCTCCTTTCCCCTATTTACACCCAGATTGACTCGTCTCCGCAGATCTCGATCATTTCCACAAGGAAGTCTTAGAGAGTAGTCAGATCCGCGAGACGATGATCCTAGACAACGCAGGACGCATTCAGAAGGCGAAAGCCAAGTTTGAAGAGGCGAAGAGGGTTCTGGAGAAGGCTGAGTATGATGCAGCTTCTAAGCTGAAGGAGCATGATGGTAAGCTCCACGGGCTGGTCCAGATGCGGGACATGGTGGAGGAGGTTATGCGGGAGCGCGGGGAGGTCAAGGGAGATGCGCAGATGGGTGCGGCGCGAACATACTAAAGCCTCCTATTTGGCGAAGTACAGAAAGGCGCTGTGAGGGAATGATGTATGCAAGGCTATGGCCTGATAGTAGAAAAGCGGAGCTATTATACGCTATGGTGGTGGTAGGGTATATTACTTTGCATGCCTCTTGCCTTAAGCCGGACAAGTCGATATCTTACACGCGGCGGAGGAACCAATCCCCACAGAGAACATTCTGAAATATAATTCGTGTCGAATGCCTGAACTTTAGTCGCTAAATCCTTCGAATTCATCTGCAGCCTCTTGCGCTTCTTTTTCTGCCACCTTCTTTCGCATTTCCCCGATCATACCATTTAGCCTCTCTTCTTCCTTTCTCTCCTCGTCTGTCAACTTTTCTACGCGGTCGTGTTCACGTTTTGCCGCCTTCTTTTCTCTTCTTAGTTCCTTGGTAGCTTTCTGATCCTTTTGCTGTGTCCAAGCTGACTCCTTCTTGTTCTCGGTAACATATCTCTTCTTCGTCCCCGTCTTAGTCGCCTCATATTCAGCTTGCTCTACTAGTCGCTGCTGCTCTCGCGCCTTGTCTTTGTACGCGAAGGTGTTGAAGTCCATAGTGACGCCAAGGCTTCGGTCACCTTCCCATTTCTTAAGCTCAGGCATGCTGGGTAACTTGAGAAGCCCCCAAGCGTGGCCTAACTCCGCCCAATCAAGGTCTGTGACACGGAAGATGGAGCTGGCGTTGTGCTTGCTGTATGCGCGGACCCATGACACAAAACCACGTTGCGCCTTGTCGAAAAGTGCTCTATCTGCTCTGACTCCTTTCCTTATCTTCTCGCTAATTGCTTGGGCATCCTCGGGCCTGACTGTGATGTCGAGAGATGTCAAAGGCGATATGGGCGTCTGTCTAACGCGGAGAAACTCAACATAGTCTTCTTCTCGGCCTGGGGTTAGAAATGTGATTGCCAGGCCTTTGCGGCCAGCTCGTCCAGCGCGGCCGCAGCGGTGTATGAATGTCTTCGGATCGCTCGGGGCGTCGAGTTGTAAAACCAGGTCTACTGAAGGAATATCAAGCCCTCGAGCAGCGACATCAGTGGTGAGAAGAATGGAGGGCGTTACGCTCTCGACAAATTTAATGAAATTCCTGCGTCGAACTTTATCCGGATGTTTTCCGTGCAGCGGCACAATCGTATATCCTTTGAGTACTTCCGGTAAGACATGCTGAAAATAGTCGACAGAGAAGCAGGTCGCAAGGTAGAGGATCGACTTCTGTGGCTGCGGCTGTAATGATGAGAGAACCTTCTTGATAGCGGGCAGCTTATGTGACGCTGGCAGGACGAGATATGACATCTGCAGACTGGCCGGTGTCCGCTTGTCCTCCATCACGCCCGCTTCTCCTGTCATCCCGTTGGGTGCGGCTCTTGTTTTGACTTTGACTGCAATACGGACTGGGTTCCTGAGGCCAACGCGAATGAGCTGATCTACGGCCTCGCTTACACTTGCGCTGAATAAACCGGTTCGTCGTTGCTTTGGCAAACGAGATAGGATCCGTTGAAGATCATCTTTGAAACCGAGATCTAAGAGGCGGTCCGCTTCGTCGAGTACTAGCGCATCGAAGGACGACTGCGAACAGTGGACATGCGGCGAGGAAAGCAACTCCAAAAGTCTGCCTGGCGTACCAATGAGCACATTGACTGATGTCTTGAGAAACCTGCTGAGGTCCTGGGCAGGTGTGACTGATCCACCTAGGAGAAGTTGAGGTACGACTTTGAGAGTTCCAGAGGGGAAGGTTGGCCTAGGTGGTGCATCTGCGTCTTCCATGTCCGTGTCTTCATCTTCTGGCTCCAGCATGGCTGCCGAAGCGGCATGGAACTTGAGCAGGGAACAGAGGACCGTATGGATTTGCGTTGCGAGCTCCCTTGTGGGCGATATAATGATTGCACCCACGTGATGCTTCTTCATAGGCGCATCAAGTCGAAGTAGACGTTCAACGATGGGTATCAAGAACCTGATTTTTATGTCAGAGAAGCTCAACTAGGCTTTCGAGAATGTAAGCTTACGCAAGAGTCTTTCCACTCCCAGTGACGGCCTCAACGACAACATCCGAGTTCTTCATGAACATTGGGATAGCAGCATGCTGCACAGGCGTGGTCTTGACAAAGCCCATGGCATTCACGGCTTCGAGAATCCATTCGGACAGTGCAGGCGTCAGAGCACCAAACGAACGGTCAATCTTCGCTTGAGGTGCCATTTTGAGGATGTTTGACCTGGGCTGTCTTCAGGCACGGGTTTGAGGTTCGTACACGAGCCGGTCGAACTTTTGCTCGGATAGAAAAATTGGGGACGTGCACCGCCACTTCCGCACCGCCACTTCTGTTCCGATTCACTGGAAGGCGCAACCAACCACACGTGTAGCGTCAGTACAGCGTCATCCGTGCTAATCTTGGGGGCCTCGACAAGAGCTTGCTTTTTGGCAACGTTTTGGATAAACATCAACGGCTCATTTATCCAGCAGGCAACCATTCAGTCTCGTCTTCACATGTAAATCTGATCTCATCGCCAAGCGGATTTGCAGCTACCCTGTTGATCGGCGCATTCACGAGACAAGATTGTAGCCCTGTAACCAAATTTCCACCCTAATAAGCAACAAGATTATATAGCCGCCACCCTCCGCAAGAGGCCTCCTTTCGCCCACGTACATAATCCTGGCCGCCGTCGCCTGCACGCACTGTGGCATCCTCGCTCCCTCCAGACGATGCGTGGCGTCCGGACGAATCTGCGGCTTCTAAAGTCTGTCTCATAACACCTGATGCTGACATCAATGTTGAAGCCACATTAAGCACCGTTGCACAGGACGCCTACTACACGCGCACTCAGCCTCACGACACGTATTCGCAATTCTCGTATCGGCAGTCTTTGCTAGCACAAGTTGGTCTACTTTGTGCGCGCGCATCCTCTACACTATCCGGCGTCATCCGCGCCCCTCCGCTCCCATACTTTCCAACCTGCTGGCGTGACGCCATGGAGTCCTCCAGACAATACCAGGTACCGCAAACACCGCGCGTAATATCGCCCTCGCCGACACCCTCGGAAGCAGGTAGTGGGAAAGATGGATATTTCGGGCCTGTGACGCGCTCGTCGACGCGCAAGAACAAGCAGCGCGTCACGTCACCCCCGTCAATTGACGAAGACTCGTCAGGCTCAGATCCTGAGAAGAGGGCGAGAGCTAGGAGTCGGAGCCCTATTCTTGGAGCAGGGGTTGGCAGGAGGAGAATGAGTGGTCTGACTACGCGGAAACAAGTCAACGGAAGCCTGAAGAAGAATCTCGCACTACCAAATGGCACGGTCAACGGACATCTGTCCCCAGCGGCCGCAAACAAGAATTACTGGAGGGAGATGAGCAGGAGTCCGAGTCCGCTAGGCCTGATTCCAATCCACCAGAAGTGGCGGTCATTTGTACGTGTATATCGTGTGCATCCTCGACAATAATTGCCTAACTCATGTGTAGATCCATCGCCATGAAATTCCCCGCAAGATCCTCCACGTTTCCATTGGCTTCCTCACACTCTTCCTTTACTGCACCGGCACGCAAACGTCCCAGATTCACAACGTCCTATTTGCAATGCTCATTCCAGTCGCGTTGACAGACGTTATCCGACACCGCTACTGGCAAGTAAATCGCTTCTACATCCGCTGCCTGGGCGCGTTAATGCGGGAGTCCGAGGTCGATGGGTACAATGGCGTCATATCTTATCTCTTGGGCGCATGGATCGTTATGCGCTTCTGCCCCAAGGACATAGCTGTCATGAGCATCCTACTTCTAAGCTGGTGCGATACTGCGGCCTCCACCTTCGGCAGGCTTTGGGGACATCTTACCCCTAGAGTGAGAAAGGGGAAGAGTCTTGCGGGTTCCATCGCTGCGTGCGTCACTGGTATCATTACAGCGGCTGTGTGGTGGGGTTGGTTAGGTCCTCTATACTCGGATTACAACCACGGCGAACACAACTTCGCGTTCCAAGGTGTCCTGGCACTTCCCGCACAGGCTCGGGAATTACTTGGTTTGTCAGTTACCCAGGCTTCTATCACGGGCTACTGGGCCTTGAGCATCATGTCGTTAGCGGCAGGCATCGTGGCTAGTTCCAGTGAAGCGATCGATATCTTCGGCTGGGACGACAACTTGACCATACCTGTGCTCTGTGGTGCCGGTTTATGGGGCTTTTTGAGAGTCTTCGGTTGATTCGTCCTGGTACTCACACTGGGTTCTACTTTAGCCCCCACTGTCTCCTTTCTTTTCTTTAGTTATGTTGCAACATACGATACCCTAGATGCGGGTTTCCAGGGAGCATGGCATCACTGCTCTACGAATGACACGTTGGCGTTCTGGATCATGTTTGGACGATACGAGATGGCATTTGGGTTGCTTCAGGGAGGCCTGCGCACTAGATTCACTGCGATTTCGAGTGGATGTTTGAGTAGATGAGGAAGTTACTCCGGCCACTGCACCGGTTTAGCACACGAAGGCGTTCTAGGGCGTATTGAAGTTTCAAGCCGAGGTCAACCACATTATGCCAACGTTCCGTTCAGCCCCGAAAGGCCAAATACACACTCAACTCGCGCGTGACGGAGCCCAATCCGTCTTTCAGATAGTCGTGATGCAAAGGAGAGAAAGAGGAAGGCTGAGCTTCCAGATGTGATCCCTGTAGAGTGGTTTAAGCTTGGCGGCACACCCGCCACATGCAGCTCATCGATTGGAGCTCGCTCATGACCTCAGATGCTTGCTTGTTCATACTCTTACACTTCCACACCGCCCTGTATTCACTGCAAATTTGCCCGCTTACAGCTACTAATACATCGCTCCCTGGACACTAGACATCTACCGTGAAAGATCTCTTTATCGTTTGCCTGCAATCTACTATATTACCCCGCCATCCCGCCGTTCGCTCTCCCCTCTGACGGAAACGCGCCTGAGCAACAACCGCCTTCTCTCTACGACTTGAGCCTTTGTCCCGAAGACAAACGCGAACTCTCGCATCCTAGCTCTTACACACTTGAATCTCCACGCCCCACCTTCCACCCACCCATCCTACTTTGCATCAACCACCGTTCAACCTACACATACGATCCTCAGCCCGATTGCGAACGCCCCGCGTGAATATATATATATACCTTTGGAGGGACAGGATGGCGTCATCTTCTGCTGCGGCGGGGTTACTATCACGCCAACTTAAGCAAATGCAAAACGACAAAAGCATATCGGGGATAAGCTGTGGCCTAGTAGACAGCAACGTCTTCGAGTGGGAAGTGATGCTGATGATTGACGACGACACCAAGTTCTATGGAGGTACATACACATTCCCAGTGAAAAACCTCAGTTCTTGGACATGACTGACAAGACCGCACAGGAGGATTCTTCCGAGCACGGCTGACCTTCCCGAGCGAATACCCCCTCCTTCCGCCAAAAATGCGCTTTGAGACGCCCATCTTCCACCCTAACAGTGAGCACTGAACACGTCCAGTCCCCAGCACAATCATTTTTAATCCGTGGAACACAGTCTACCAGAACGGTGAGGTCTGCATCTCGATCCTCCACCCCCCAGAAGAAGACAAGTACGGCTACGAATCCGCAGCCGAACGCTGGTCGCCCGTCCAAACCCCCGAAACTATCCTCCTCTCCGTAATATCGATGCTCTCCAGCCCCAACGACGAGTCTCCGGCGAACGTCGAAGCGGCGTCCCTGTGGCGCGATAATACACCGGAGTTCAAGAAGCGAGTGCGGAAGTGTGTTCGGGATAGCTTGGAGTTTGAATAAGAAGGCCAAGGAGAAAGGGCTGTTGATGAATTAAATAGGCGATAAATAGCATAAGCGAGCGCTCTGGTGGATATTGGTTCTAGGGACATGAATTCTTCGGGCGTGCATGGCAGACATCTTTTCGGGCTGGACTGGGCAAGTATATATTGTGTTGATGATGATACCTGCCACCCCCAATGTGCTGGTAGGGCAATACATATATACATATACATATTGAAACAATTTTCCAAACCACAAGTCGGATTAGGTGAACATGGTAGGTTAGGTTGAGTAGGTGGACTGGGGAACTCTGTAAATGCTATGATGCTCATCATTATCATTCAACTACCATATAATGGAGAAGAAGCACGACCAGCGCACTCACGCTCTCCACGTCGGAACATTACTATCCTCACTTCAGCTCATCTCTCGTTAAATTGCCCAGTTGACAAGAACAGCAAATGCGCGAAATAAACAATGACAAAGAGCGCAAGTAAATCCAAACATCCAAGGGTATCAGGCGCCGAAATTCCATCCCGCGGTGAAGAGACCGCTTCTTCCTAAATGCGCCTGCTAAACCCAACCTTACTAACCAGACTGAGATCAAAATCAAATCAAAGGACAGCGCACGTGCTTGAACTTCCGCCTCTTTCTCAACATTCGACTATAAAGTTCACAAACAGGTTATTCGTCCCAAGGGAAATCTTGCTGATCGATCCTCGTACACGTCAGATACGGCAGCCCACCTTCTCTCAGGTCGAGCTCCAAAAAGTTGCGCATAAGCGGCTTCACAGCATCTTTCGCCTTGTTCTTAATCTCATCGATCCGCCTCTCGAAGCGCTTCAAGTTGTCCCGATTATAGTGGTCTGGGTTCAATCGTAAGAACCGTTTGCACTCGTCGTGGCTGAGGTAGCTCGAACCACCCTGGCCGAGTAATCTGAAGATACGACCCGTGTTGAAGGCTGGAGGCGGAGGTAATGGCGCAGACTCGCCATTGCGAGATCCTGGCGGTCGTGGAGATTTGAGGATCGGTGCGGGAGGGGGTGTGGTGTTCTCTGCGAGCCATTGTCTGAAGAGAGAGACGGCCATCCAATCTAACCAGTTATTCGACGGACTGACGCGCTCACCGCGACTTGTGGTTAGCGATAGTCGGAAGAGCTTGACTTCTATTTTCGCTTTCAGCTCGTCCACCTCATCGACCTTGTCTTCTATCAGCTCAATGACTGGCTCTGCGATCTGACCGCGTAGCTGGTTGATCCCTTGTGGCCATTGTCCGACTACGTGCACCATGGCTTCAGCAAAGATAGCTTTACTCCGCGCCATGTACCCGAGCTTGAGGTAGCTGGGCGGGTATTTGGCTATTTGTTTCCAAAGTCTGCCCTGGAACCGTAGCAGATGGTGGTCTACGCGCGGACCAATGACTCCTAGTGCATCGTACATATCCGCGAGTAGCAGGAGCGACTTGCATTCAACATACGCGTTTGCGATATTCACTGCGTCTAGAGCAGGCGGGTAGTTGTAGAAGATTCGGAAGAGATTGTCGTAGTCTCGAAATGTTTCGTCATCGGGGTCGTTTTCAGGAGCTGTAGCTGGGACGTGCAAGGTGGAGAAGTTGGCCATGCTCCGAAAGAAGCCCGACTGCGGTGCCGCAGGCTTGTTGCGCGCGGGAGGCGGTTGTGCAGGCGGTGCATCGCCGCCGAACATTGTAGGCTGAGTCTTCTACAGGAATGTGAGCATAAGATGGCACTTGCTGGTAGAGGAGTTGAGCGCACCTTCTGAACAAGCATGGGCAGATCATCCTCGTTGTTTCCCCAATCCAACTCATACCTCCACGTCAACTTTTCTTGCCGCGGACCTGAGGGGATCCTCGCCAGCGCCGTACCGTTGGTGGGCGGCCCTGAGGAGCTCACGTCACCTGCGTTCGCCCACTCGTCACTTGTGCCAGCCTCGAAGAAGCCCGAACATTGCGTAAGGATGAGCTTGTGTAAGAGATAGCGCTGCTCCTTGCGGCCATTGCTTATTACAATCTCGACGTCGCCCGTGTGCGTAAAGACGGGAAACTCATTCTGCGTTTGCAGCGCAGTTCCTCCAAAGTGCGAGCGGTGCTGGCGATGTCTTCGCACGGTCGAGGTGCGTGAGGAATGCGACGAGACTGAGGGTGGGCGCCGTATTGGGAGTGAGCGCTCGACACTCGCAGAATCTGGGTAGGAAACCATGCGCCGCGACTTTGGCTTTCCCAGCTCTTGTGTTGTTGCGATCCGAGTCGACCAAAAGGCGCCGTTATCCTCCGAACAGCGCTAGGGAACGCTGCGACACCCTGGAGAGGGCTGGAGTGTGGTTGCACCCCGACGGTGGGGAGGTTGGGTGCGTCGAAGCAACTTTGCTGCGGGTTGCGTTGTTCGGGTGGAAAGGCGCAGCTCCAGTGCAGTAGTAGCAGCAGGTGATCGAGTGTTGTGATGCTCCAAGGCTTCAGTCCGCAAGTGAGAGTAGACCGCGATTCACCCCACCTGGGATGCGACCATGCGGTAGACGGACCAGAAGAGACAAAGAGCGCGACGTACTCGAGTCTTGGACTTCAGCGAGGAGGGTTTCAAGCGACCTGCAGCCGCAGAGAGCAGTGGCTGTGGCGATTGCTCACATGGCCGTCTATCCACATGCAGTTGGTCCCATGCATGGCGAGATGCATCCCAGGTAAAGGAGGACTGTGCTCCAATCGCCGCAGCTAACCGGGCCAGGCGCGGGATCAGCCTCGTACGCGACCAGCTGGGATACGGCAGTGGAAACAGGGGATTGGAAGAAAGCGAGTCTGCAAATGCAGGGCAGCGAGCTGATGTTGAGAATTGTGGGCCACCCGTTGCCGCAGTCTTGAGCTTGGTGTGGGCCCAAGAATCGCCTTGACACCCAACCACGCGAGACCGGTAATATATATCTACATAATCGTACAGCATTCCCAGCGATGCGTTCTATAGCCTTGAGTGCGAGAATATCACCCTAAGGACGCCTAGTGCTGTGCTTGGATCTTCTCTTGCCCGCCCATGAAAGGCCGCAGCACTTCCGGTATGGTTACAGTACGCTCTTCTTCATTCCAATGGTTCTCCAAAATTGCCGCCAACACTCGAGGTACTGCGAGGGCAGTGCCGTTCGAGGTATACGGGAACATGGGTTTACCCGCCTTCGAAGTCATGCGGGTTAGCAGTCGTCGACTTTGGTAGTCTGTACACATGGACGTCGACGTCACTTCACCCCATCCTTCGTCCTTCAGCTGTCGGGATGGGAAGAAGGCCTCGATATCTATCTTCCTTGTAGCACTGGCACCGAGGTCCGTCGTGGGCATCTCAAGGATGCGGCAACGGAGACCAAGGGCTTCGAGGATCTCCTTCTGTATTGATAGCATCTCCTCAAAGATAGCTTCTGAACTTGAAGCCGTCGGGCTAGTGAAATGGTCTTCCCCGCCGCTGTCTGGCAATGTCCAAGCAAACATCTCGACCTTGGTAAACTCATGTACTCGGTACAAGCCCCGTGTATTGGCCCCTCGTGCTCCGGCTTCAGCGCGGTAACAACGACTCACGCCAACTGTCTTCAATGGTAGTTCCGAAGAATCTAGCGTTTGGTTTGCCTTCATGCCAGCCAGCGGTATTTCCGCCGTTCCAGTAAGGGCCAACTGGGGCTTTGCCTTGTCCTTCTCCGACTGCTCGATCGCATAAACTTGTTGTTCGCCGTTCTGATCTCTCGGCTGAAAGCCGCATGCTGATCCGATATGCGAGTACACCATTGAAGGAGGGGCGACTGCTTTCCATCCTCTTCTTCTGGTGGCACTTAATGCGTATTGTACTAGCGCCTGTTCCAGCATCGCACCATCGCCCACAAGGAAGTACCATCCCCATCCCGAAGTCTGTGCTGAGCCTGAAAAGTCTAAAATCCCCAGTTCTTGCCCTATGTCTACATGTGAATACCGCCCTTGGGCAACTTTAGTGTCCGCAAGGTGCTCGTTGATGGAGCCGACTACCTCTGGCTCAGTGCCAACTGGAGTAAACGTGCTACTCAAGTTTGGTAGGTCCTGCGCCAGCCCTTCTATCTCCTCCTGCAGTTGTGTTTCCTGGGCGTCGATAGCGCTCAATTCTATCTTCAATGCTTTCGCATCGCTGATCATTCCCTCCCTAACTGGGACAGCTTTTTTCCCTTCCGTATCGTCCTTCATGAGCGAAGCAGTTCTGGATAGGTGCGCCCTGTAACGGTTGTTGCGTTCCCGAAGTTGACGGCTGCTCTGCTGGAGCGCAAGCCATTGCTCGTGAAGCTCGATAATCCGCCATGAAGATTTGCTATGTGCAGCATAATTGCGATCTATGCAGTTCTGTTCGTATAGTCCTGGGTTCTGTCGGATATGCTTAATGTCGATCTGTGGCTTCGGTGCGAATGCGGGTCTTGTGTAGGGACGGCGTGCGGAGCATGATATAGGGAGGGTGGTTCGATTGGAGAATAGGTGTTGTGGTTGGCATATAGGACGGCCTGTTAGAGACCTTCGCATAGCTCTCATTGTCGTGCCATATGAAGAGGGGTGATCGAATGATTCAAGCACAATAGCGGTTCAGCAGTTTTGGAGCTTCACTTGCCAAGATGCTCGATCCCTGATCCCTGTTAATCCCTATCGCGTCCCGAGGTCGCGTCACCCCGCAATCCACTCACTCTCCGACTTGAGCAGCCGTCCATTACTGATGCAGTACTCTTACTCCCCTTGCTCTGAAACGCACCCATCTCATCACCATTCTCTCCGTCCCCTTCACTCCACATGAGTCCTTCTAAAGCTTCTACCAGGCTACCATGACCACCAATCGTAAGCGGCCGGCGCAACTTATTTGGAAAGATCCAATAGTATCAAAAGTGTCCAGGACAATCGACACCGAAGTGACGCCTCCAGTGCCTAGACACAGACTAGCAGCCAACTGCGAAAGTCATGTTGGGCCTCCGCTTCTTAGTACACCAGCTCGCGCACTCGCATCGTCTTCACGTCCAAGCATTCAGTCACTTCCGCCAAGCGCATCAAAAGTAGCAATAGAGAACACTCCATCGAGAGCTTCTCAATCGTCCTTGGTCTCTCAGAAACTAGTCCAAAGAGTAGTACCAGAACTGTCACATACAAGATCGATACACAGTCCGATAAGCATCGCCGAACCCGCAACACACAAACCTAGTATACTTCATCAGCCACATCCCGACAGCAAATTATGTCAGGACTTTCACTGGGTGCCATATCCCCTCGGCCTCATGCCGTATAATTCCTGGCATCATCTTCACCATCGCGAAGATGTTCAGCCATCACTTCCCTTTGTTTGTCCTGTGTGTCGAAGGGAGCGGAAAGCGACGGCACATATGCGCAAAGTCTTCTTAGTTGCCGAACGCCTGACGTGGGAAGAAGGCTTAGTTTCAACACACGAGAAGGATATCAATGAGGAGCTGAACTGGAAATTCAACTACGAGCTCGGCGTTCTTCTCCCCTTTGTTGAAGACGCAGAACACGTGAAAGGTGGAAAGAATAGTCGGGCCAACATCTTCTACCCATATCAGAACGAGCATGAGGCGAAACTTGCTCTGAGATTCATATTCATGACTGAAAATGTTACTGAAACTTCATGGGCCTTGTGGATCGGCATGCAGCTAGATCTCGAGAAGATGCTCGGCGAGCACGAGGGTTCAAACGTTGTGCCAAGCTCATATGAATCGCTTCCGGAAGAACAGAAGTCTCCACAGCTGAAGGACAATGTCACGCTTCTGAAGAATGCTGAAGTTGAGTTGATCGACGACACGGTGTCAGCTGACCGCGCGTCAGAGCCGTCCGCTTCCTCCCATCATAGCAACAAGCGCATCATGAGCTACCAAACCTTGCAAGACTTCTACTCCCTTCTCGATAGGATCGAGCGCACTTCCTACGTAGCAGCGTGGTTCCTGGAAGCGTATGCTGAGAAGCTGAGGGACGACATGTGCCAGGACTGCTGGTTTGATCACAACGTCAAAGTTGACGTATTTTGACAGACACTCGTGCGCCTGTTGTTTCTTGTTTGTGATACCCACTTTGTTGTCTGGGTCGTGGTTGTAGCGGGGTTATGGGGAGACGATGCGGACATAATGCAGTCAGCGACATCAGACTCGATTTATGCGGACTGTCCTAAAGGAACCAGGGCGGCCCTCTCTCGGTTTATTGTCAGCGGGTAATATGCGGGCTTGCTTTGGCGGTCGAGGAAGCTGTGTCGCAGAGATATAGTCAATATAGTTACAGCGTTACGCGCTACCTACTGTGGCGGTGCATTTACCTGACATGTCGAACACCCACAGAATGACGTGGTCCCGTGGCTGTAGAAATGATCTTGCATGACACCAGTCTACGGCCACCTCAACGATGTCGTGTGCCTCGGGCGCAGCAAGGATAGGTTTAGCTCACTACTAAGCGGCGCTCGGCGTGAAGCTGGACCATTTGTGGGCCTTGTTGTCCGACTCCCGCATGCGCACCTTTGTTAGGCAACCTCGAGGACATGCATCATTGTGCTGTCGCGGCGTTGACCTCATAAAGCGCCCTTCTTCCCGTCGTCGTCGCCGTCGTTGCTTTCTTCTCTTACTGTAATTGTCTTTCCTGCTCGTGTGCGACTTGAACGGCCGACGACGGGCCTTGACATCACACCTCCGCACTCACCGCACCCCTCGTTACCACACACACACACCACACAGCAATGCACGACCCGTTCCCACTCCCGCGGCCAGATGGCCTGCTGCCCTACGTGCAACCCGTTGCCGACTTCCTCGCGCTCAAGACACTACCACTGCACTTCCACGAGGTCATGGTGGCTTTCACCCTCTATCATGTAACCAACCGCTTAGTCTCCCCCGCCTTGTCACGCTTCCTCTTCCCGCGGATGTACCCCTCGTTCAACGCGCGCACCAAGCTGAACTGGGACGTCCATGTTGTCTCGTTTGTGCAGAGCGTGCTGGTATGCAGTCTTGCGTTTTGGGTCATATGGTGCGACCGTGAGCGGAATGAGATGGATATAAAGGAACGAGTGCATGGCTATACGGGCGCCTCGGGGTTGATCCAGGCGTTTGCTGGAGGCTACTTCCTGTGGGACTTGGTCATTACAGTGCGGCATGTGCATATCTTTGGGATTGGGATGCTGCTCCATGCTATCTCGGCGCTTTGCGTGTTCTCGCTGGGTTTTGTAAGTGCCCCTCGACCTTCAAATGTGTGCTGGCAGGAGGGATAAAATACTGACCGCAACCATAGCGACCCTTTGTCAACTATTACGCCTCCACCTTCATCCTCTACGAGCTCTCCTCACCTTTTCTCAATATCCACTGGTTCTGCGATAAGCTCAACATGACCGGTACAACCCTACAGCTCGTCAACGGCATCGTCCTGCTCTTCACCTTCTTCTCCTGCCGTATCGTTTGGGGAACATATCAGTCCGTCCACGTCTTCCGTGACGTATACCGCGCCTACACCGCTGGCGCAGTTACGCTCTCGGACCCTGTGTATGGAAAGCTAAACAACAGCACCGTCGTCGGCAATGCAGGCTTTAAACATGACATCCTGCAATTCGCCGAAGGCCAAACAGTCCCGCTATGGCTCGCAGGCATATACTTGGCATCGAACCTCACCCTCAACGGCCTCAATTGGTATTGGTTCGGCAAGATGATCGAAACGCTGCGCAAGCGATTTGATCCACCTTTCGGTACGAAAAGTCCCGAGGGCAAGGAACCTTTACTCGTCCCCGAAGACGAAAAGGTCCTAGTTGAGGGTACACATGTTTCAACTCCTGCAGCTATCGAGAAAGACACTGAAAATTACTTCAACACAGACGCGGACACGGTGAAGCTGGAGAAGCGCGTGAATGGGACGCACTTGGAGGTCAAGCAGAGTGAGGTCAGAAGTCGGACGAGTACACGGAGAAAGGGGTGATAAGAATGGGATGCGGGAGAATGATGATAATCGACTTTGGGCAGCATATAGTACCACATGGAGTGTGTATAGTAACGTAAATAATATAGAAGTGTCTCCTTATTTCATTTCGATTCTTGCGGAAAGAATCATCCTACGGAAATTAAGCCTCTATATGCGGAATAAGTGGGTTACTAGGCTGTACATATTCTAAATGCCCTTTCAACCGTACTAAATAGTGAACCGTATCTGAGCTGAGGGTGAAACACGTGAGGGGGACGATGAGTCAGTCGCCGGCCTAGTGTAATGAACATCCCTTGAAGCCCGCCCTCACTTGAACAGTAATACAACAAAGCTCTTTCTTCCACATCCATCTTCGAGCTATCCAATTTTCTAAAATGGAGTTGGCTACTAATCACAACCCGGAGGATATAAAACAACACGACAAACCAGTAGGTCTGGCTGATCGCATGAAAAAGTACGAGGCGTCTTTCGACTATACCCTCCCTCTCGATTCTCCGATTATTCTTCGCTTAGATGGCCATGGCTTCTCGCGCTTCACGGCGCATTTCTGCCGACCGTTCGATCAGCGCATACACGATGCCATGATATCCACATGCTCGGACCTCTTGAGCTTCTTCCCGCAAGCGACAGTGGCGTACACGCAGTCAGACGAGATCACGCTAGTGTTCCCAGACGGTGTGCAGAGCTTCAATGAGCGAGTGCAAAAGCTGTCGAGCTTGGCGGCTAGTTACTGTTCCGTGGGGTTCAACAAGTATCTCGCGGAATATCTAGAGAGACAGCCGGAACCTAAGGTCAAAGCTAGTGCATATGAGAAGCTTGGTACTGCACATTTTGATGCAAGGTTTTTTGCTGTGCCGTCGGTGGAAGAAGCGCTCAATTGCCTGCTCTGGAGGTGTCGGAATGATGCTGTGCGGAACTCGGTTAGTGGATTTGCGAGGACGTTGTATACGACAAAACAGATGCATGGGAAGAGGACGACTGAGCTATTAGAGATGATGGAGAGCGAGAAAGGTGTCAAGTTTGAAGAGGCGGTGCCGAAGTGGGCCATTGAAGGGTGCCTGGTGAAGAGGGAGCAGTATGAGCATGAGGGTGTGAACCTCAAGACGGGCGAGACGGAGAAGACGCTTCGGACTAGGATAAGAGTCGAGGAGAGGGGTGTAAGAGACTTTTCAGCGGAAAACTTGAAATTAATCACAGAGAGGTATTGGTGGTAGGGCATAGGCGCTTTGAAAAAATCCTCTTAGGGCGGCATTCCGCGTAAAATGATATCGTATACGTCTCTACGATCTCTTGTATATTGCTCTAAGCGCGGCTTGGGGCATATGCTAGCGACCTGCCTTCTTTGTACAGCTTGTCAACGACTCTCTTGCGGCGCGCCGAAAAGTTACAGCAGGACTGACTGGTAGCTAGGCCCTGAACGGCTTCGGCGATGCATGTGCCAGCAAGATCTAATGAGGCTACTCAAGAAAATAACCGCGAACACGATCCTCGGGCCAGACGTGGGAATCAGGCTTTTGCATCTCATCAACAGTTCTGAGCAGGATGGCAATCCGGCAACTTTGTATGTCTTGCTAGTCAAGTGCTCAGAAATGTGCTCATTTGTCATTGATCCACCGTTCAGTGTTTGGTTGGCCGGCAAGGTGGCACATGAGAATGTACTCCAATTGATTACTTCCCCACCACATACCAATAGGCAAACATTTGAATAGCATTAAATGCACATGCATGTTAAGCAGCTCAAATACAACGATTTGATAGTTCGAAACCCCATTCCGAACAATGCTCTGTTTGGCGTTGCACCATTGCTGGTGGGAGCAGCAGTCGCAGCACTTGCAGAGCTGGTCGCAGAGCTCGTCACAGATCTGGTTGTAGAGCTGGCCACAGAGCTGGGCGTAGAGCTGATAACAGCAGGAATGCTGTTTGACAATGCCTCGAAGATATTGAAGACTCCTTTCCCACCGCAGACGGTGTTCTTGTCCCCAGTGCAGGGCACGTTGCAATCGGTTTGATTTTTTGCCCATTCACCACCCACAAAGCTGCTGCACCAGCACTGGTTACCTTGCTGTACACCTGCAAAGGTGTATGCCCCGCGATAGCACGTACTTTTGCAATCTAGAATGGTCAGGGAGTCATCTCCACTGGGGTTCATGTTCTGCTCAAGGATAGAGCGGGCGGGGTCCTGGGCATAACAACCCAATGAGTCCCAAGCTGTTGGAGAAGGAGCCAGAGACGACGCGCTAGTCGGGCTGGAAACGGTCACTGAGGATGATGTTGTCGAGGGTTTGACGCTATCCAGTCTTCTCTGGGTGACAATACAGTATGATTGCCAATCGTACCAGGGAGTACAATCGAGACCAATCAAAGGATTCCATTCATGGAATTCCGCTGGTGTAACTGAATGTTGGAGTTGAGATTTAGGAATTGTCTTATAAGTAGGTTGAGGATTGGGTATTGCTTACTGCCGTATAATTTGCGTACGTAGTCGCAAGTCTCGCCTCCATCGGCAACGTTATGCCACTCGGCGCAGTCTTTCGTTGTATTAGGGTCAAATTGAAGGAGAGGTGTTCTAGTGGATGCCACCAGACGGATGAGAGCCGCTTGCGAGAAAACGAGAAAAGGCTTCATATCGAATGTTTTTTATAGCAACCAGGCGTGCACCAGGGAAGAATGCAAAATTTGCTTTCGAGGGATTTGGACAGCAGGTACGAAAGAGTATCAAGAGTCCATGCTTTGTGCTTTTCCCATTCCAGACCAGGATCTAGAACGCGGAACATGGTGAGGGGATAAGGGTAAGACTTTGTTCGGCCATAGGGCTTATGATATATTGCTCGTGTACTAGACTGTGTACCAAAATGGAGCTGCTCCGGCCCGTCTGTGTTGGATCAACAGGGTACATCCTGCAGGGGAGCGGCGCGGTTTCCAGTGCTAAGCCTGTCCGCTCCAGGTACCTCAGAAGAATCCTGCATGAGAACAGCATATGGTCGCTGTTTCGCATTATCTTTTCAGAGATTCTACCACAGCAGGCTCGCATGCGAGTTTTAAATCATGATCCGTGAGTCAAGCTACGATCTTGAGTCCTAGTGCAACACGCGCCACGGTAAGATTGGCGGCTTGGCGAACGTTATGTATCCCGCTGTACCCTTTTGCCGTGCACGAGTCATCACTTCCTGTTCATCATGCTGGCCTTTGCTATCCAGATCAGTGATATCTCGCAATGTTATCGGGGTTGACCCAAATCGACGAAGTGCAGAGCAAATTTGTAGCTACCTCGGTGTCGGTGTTCGTTGACTACTTCGCAAATTAGCAAAGCACGATTGGAGCGATCGAAGAAAGATTAATATCCTACCCTCTCTAGTCAAGTATGTCACCCGCACATGGCCCCTGCACTACCCTCGCTTGATGGGTTCTTACATTATCTTTGCGCTCAGTCCACACTATCACGTAGTACAGGTTTGTTCCCACCAATCTTCGCTTCGCATCGTGTTCGAGTCGCTTCGTGCCATTCATTCAGGCGGGCCGCAGAACACTTGGCGACGAACTAGGTAGACATTGTTTAGTGATTTGGTGAGCTTTCCCCTCACCTTCTTCTTCTTCTTCTTGCGAAAAAGAGTCGGCGCTGACCATATCGACCACCAGGGATAGCCGGTAGTCACTCGGTCCTTGCATGACATGTCCACCTTCCATCCATTTCCCAGGTTGCCGTTGGAACTTCGCTTAGCAATATGGGAAATGACCGTTGAACCTCGCGAGGTCGAGGTCCGCATTGTGAAGCCGACGCCCGAAGACCCACAGGAAGCAAGGTGGTCACACCCAAGTCAATGGTCCTACATCAGTAATTCAAGATTTGAAGAAGCCATGAGCAAAGTGTCCACCTCGACACGTGCAGGGCGTAAGGCGAGAAGGAAAGCCAGAAAAGAATGGAAGCCTTACCAACCATACGTCCACATGGTTTCATCAACAATTCCTGCGGCGCTGCACACTTGCCGAGAAGCCCGCAATCACGGACTATATCAGCAAATATCCTCGGACGTGGACGATCAGCACGTCATGGATCGCCGATATGTCTGGCTGAACCTGGACATCGATTTGATAAACATAGGGACGTCGTATCTGGCTTACTTTATACCGATTGCATCTTCTTTCAAGCGACTGAAGTTCAGTCGCGCGATTACAAATGAATGGTGGTGTGAATATGAGAAAGACCTACTCCCAAGATTCATAAATGCCGAAGAGATTCGTGTACTCTGCATTGACGGCTTCTGGAATTGGGGGGATGAAGTGTATAACTTTTCTTGGCCTTGTGCCTACGAAAACTTAGTCTTCATTGACGAAGAGACACCTGTGCGTTATCTGGAGGTAGGGCATCCTGAAGTGGGACATCCTGAAGTGGGACATCCTGAAGTGGTACATCTAGAAGTAGGACATCTCGAAATGAGACGAATATATCGGAGAATGTGGGGAAGAGAGTCGGACGACGAGGAGGCTGTCGACTAGAGCACAGCATTCTCCTCGACACTTGTCCTAGTTGAAACAAAATTTTGGCATTTGTGCGTTCGTGTTCAATCAGCCAAACCAGGGAAATATCATAGGATTGCTAGATTATTTACACAGTTGCGAGTAAGGTTGTGTACTTTAATAGGAAACAGTAAGTCTGCATTCTTCTCTCAAGGCTGACCACAGCCACCATATTAACTGTATGTTATCCTCGGAATATGTCGAGCAGTCTTACAAGATCAAGTTGGATATGGACGGTGTGTGAAAGCTTCAGCGACCACTTACGGGATTGGTGCCTAGAGGGTGGTATCGATGTTAGCTTCCGGTCCATAATTGAAGTCCGGATAATTTTTCTTACCAACGTTCTTTGTTACAACGGTTACGCCCGAGAATCAAGTATGTCCCTCGCTTCCTGGATCAAATGGGCGCCATGATCCCCGACACTTGCACCAGAACTCAGTTTGTTGCTGCGTCTAGATGTTCAGAACGACTCAATCCTCTATCAGCATACAATAATGGATCGCATCAGACTCATCAGAAGGTTGATAGTTGGTATTATGGGAGAACGATAATGAGGTTTGAAACTATAGTTGACGATCGTCTTAAGCAGCCTATCCTAAGAAAATTAATGTAAGCACGGATATCTCCCCATTTAAAGTACCTTCACAAAACCAGCGATAACTCAACTAGAGTGTATGCGCTTTGGAAATATTCTCCTTTACCAGCGCTTAAAATGTATCAAAGATGACGCAACAAAATCTCGCAAAGTTTCTTCTATGCGTCGGTCAAGGTGGCCTTAGTTTCTTGTACTTCGGTCAACCCTAGAAGTGTCACCGTCATCAGTATTGGAACATATACCGTCCATGCTTTTTTGAACAAAGACCAGGTAGAATTCGCTCACAGCTGAATAGCCTTATTAATGAAACCGTTCTTCCAACCGTCTCTCTTATGAACATGTTGGCACCGAAATTTCTCGCTCGATCCTGAGGTTGACTAGGCTGTCGCGTAATATACAAGACATACGTTCTCAATGCAGTTGCTTCCATGTTCAGAGAGCAACCCGATGCGGGTACTGACCATACTTGAGGTGGACATGCATTACCCCAGCCATCGATAAGTTTATCGTAGGTTATTCGTGAATTGGCTGCATATGTAAAGAATAGTTTGGGCCTAGCCTCAGCTACCTTGGCAATTTTCCTTACTTCTTGCTTCTTTGTTCATGTGAATGATATTTGATGTCTTCAAGTCGATATTCTTCACCACTTAACCCAATATCCCTTTCAGCTCGCCATATCCATCCACAATACCATCATCCCAGCTGATCTCACGGACCTGGGTGCAAAAGGTTTCACTTGACGCGATACCGCGGAGGGCATCAATGTTGGTTCTGTTTGGTGAGAGAAAGACGGGGGTGATGCGAAAATTGACGAGTTTGTGCAAGGTGCGATTGACCAGGCGCACTCTCCTCAGGTCTCGTTGTGTAAGGAAATTAAACAAAAGGCTCAAAAAGTCGACTGGGAGGGAGATATCCTCCATATTGATTATGAAACGTGGAATATTAGAGGAGGTATGCAAGATGTATGAGTCTAGCTTAATCAACCATAGCCCACTCACCCCGCAAAACTAAAATCATTGCGTCGACACTACTATTAAGATGTGCATGGCATTGCTTAGCGCTATTGCGGCAAATTACGGCCTCATGTTGCGTGACGAGGTCTCGCCGGCTTATTCCGCCCTAGTACCACGGCGACTTCTGACATGCTGAGGCTGGTCGCATAGCTGCCTCTTGGTTTACATCTCGCATCTTCGCGTTTTCTTTTTACTAGCGCGTCTCTCCTCTCGTGTTTCATTTGTTTTTCTTCAGGAGGACCCCTGCACGCGACGTTTGACTTGCGTTCTCGTCCTTGGCTCGTGGGACTGTTCTCCTGAGTTTTAGCTTGCTGCAAGCCATGGCATACATACAGATCGGCAATCCTAATAATTCAAGTTCCCAATCCATACCACTCGACAATATCGAACTAAACACGCGATACGGTGCAAGGACTGACAATTACGCGCCGCCATCAGGGACACCGCCAGACCGCGATACGAAAAATGTTGACTCGAAAACAGCGTTTCGGTCAAGCGAAGCACCTGTTAATAGTTGGCCTTTTCACTCGCAGCGGGCGGCGGCTCTCACGCCTTCAAGAATGTCGCTCATGGTGTTCGATGCGATATTAGCGTCATCGCCTATCATGTTTGTAGGTAAGTTCAGTCAAGAATCTTCGCCACCAGTGTGTTAGGCAATTTCGGTCTCATAGCTTGCGTCACTTGGACAATCTGTTGTTGCATCAAATGTTGGATCTTCAGAAATACTGACCGCTACATGCAATAGCTCTCGCTCTCACAGCTGCTAGTTTAGACGGCAAAGAGGTTTCGCAATACGGGGACCGACTCAGACAGACACTACTTCTCTCGCCTACTATCTTTCCACTCATATTTGCCGCGCTGATGGGTCGGTTCTTTCGACACTTGGGAGTTTATCTTGCTGAGCGAGGCACTACGCTTGGCCGTCTTGAACAGCTGGTCGGCTGCCAATCTGTTTTCTCTGCACTGGAACGTCAACTTTGCCTCCGTTCCTGGTCCGTTGTGGGCCTTTTTTCGATTATTGTGTGGCTCCTGTCGCCCGTTGGAGGTCAATCCGCTCTTCGCTTATTAGGCCAGGAGAGCAACGACATCACGTCAACAGCTACCGTGCGCTATATGGACCCGCAGACAATATCGACCTCTGTCATTCTAGGAGCTAGTTCAGCGAATAGTGGGCGCAGTACCTTCACATCCATCTTCCTCGCGGCTTTGTTAAGCAGCTCTAAGTATCAGGCTACACCTATGGACCTGTGGGGAAACGTCAAACTACCTATCTACCGATACATCGAGAACAGTACCTCTGATGAGTGGAAAGAAATTCAAAATACCACGAATGCAAACGTCACGTATGCTTCTTTAATTGGTGTTCCAATAGTTGGGCCGCCTTCAGCTGGCTTCAGTACCTTCAACATCAAAGCCCGCCAATTCGACATCACCTGTTCCAGCAATAAGATGATGGATAGGGACAAGAGTGGATTTGGCAACTTGACGTCAACGTGGAAGCTACACCCCCTTAATCTGTCAAAGCTCTGCGGTGATAATAAGGACTGTAAGGTTCCGGACTGCAAAAGTTATCCGTGTCCAATTCTGAGCAAATCTATGGCAGATGACACCAACTTTACGGACCTCCAGTTCTCAGTGGCGAATTGCGAGATTTTTTTCGAGTATTTTGAATCTGGTGTGCGTTGCAATGGGACGTCATGCGCAGTTTATAAGATGAAGAAGTTGGACTTGTTCGGCGACGGATACACAAAGGAGCTCGACAACCTCACACGCGGCAACTTTTTAAGCAACGAGATGTCATTCATGCCAACCGTAGACAATTACAATGTGGGTAACGCTGGAGCACGCGGCTCGACAAACATGGAGAAGTGGATGATGGATCCAACGGACTTTATCGGAGCACGATACAACAACGTGGAGTTGTATCGCCTTCCACCAGAGGTCTTCGCTGAGCGTCTCACGATTCTCTACAACACCTTTTTCCAGTCAACATATGGATCGCTAGCCTTGGGTGGCCATTTGCCCCAGAACCTCACACAAACAGGAATGATGACTGGCACGTCGTACGGTTCTAACATCACATTCAATGGGACGGAAGCCACTGTACTTCAAGAAAGTAAGATGGTATATAAAACGAATTGGAAGTGGTTTACGGCACTACTTGTGTGCTCTTTGGTACTGCTCGCCGCTTCATACACTGGCCTTGTACTAAAGTACATTACTCTGGCGCCAGACATCATCGGATACGCATCTTCGCTTGCAATGCTGAATCCTTACGTACCCATACCTACAGGCGGTACGACATTACACGGTTTGGAAAGAGCAGCACTACTGCATGATTTGCCGGTGAGGATAGGAGATGTTTGCGCAAAACAGCCGGTTGGAGCTATTGCGTTTGGGAAAGCAGATGATGGCCTAGTGGCGAGACTGGATAGAAAGAGATGGTATATATAAATTAATGTCAAAGAGCGCGCTGGTAGAATCAGGATTTGCATTCAGCCAACCGTCCAAATATGTCGCCTAAGACTTCTTGACGCGGGATGCACTTGATATCGCTTTGACTGCACACGTGTACTTTACAGACTATCTACTACACAACATCGACTTTCAATAACAGCGCATATTAAGATCGTTCTTAGCGCGCCAAAAGTCCTATCAAGCATCGAAACTATTATTATCACGACCCACACACTTCGGAAATCCAGGATACCGGGCAAAAAGATAGCCTATTAACCAATACCGCTAAATGCCCCGACAGCATAACAGTCGCCTTAAGCGGCTTTATTTGCCCAACTCTGCAAATCTTACTTGAGTTCCACATTGCCCGGCAAAAAGCAGTGAAGCGTTCTGCGCAGCGAATTCACGACATGCTGCGTTTCAGGCAACTCAGGCAACCAGGCAGCAACGCGGAACGCCAACGTCCAGCATTAGGATGTGGACTTGCAATTTTGGTAATCTAGGCATTGCGTTGCGTGTGCACGGTGAAGTATGCTAGAGTAGGGATTTGCGCTGCAAATGGCATTATATATTCGCCCGTGGATTCCGTCGGGGCGTGCTATTATCAAGCAAAACGTTCATTCTAGCCACTTCACTTCAATTTACTTCAGTCTTTCTCTTCTTCAGCGCTCGGACGCACTATTCACTTCCCATATAATCCAAGCAACTATTATTCCAGCCATCAACCCTGCAAATACCCAAGGCACAACCCAACATACAAGATGAAGTTCACCAGCGCAATCCTTGTTCTCAGTGTCGCGGCACTCAGCAGCGCCCGCGTCCTTTACGTGCGCCAGGCCAACTCGCAATCCTTCACCGGCGCTCTCGGTGGCATTAAAGCAACTCCTATCGTCGACTCGGGCAACGAGGACCGACCGTTCCAGGTCAAGGATGCTACATTTGTGAACATTGGGGCTGCACTGCAGCGCTCGTGCGATCAGCAGTTCAATGCATGTGCCAATGCTGCGAATGGAGGGACTGGAGACTTCTCTACCCAGGAGTGCCAGGCACAGAAAGGTATAGTTTCCCCGCTGATGCGCGATGTGGAGTTTGCTAATGAAAGGGTAGATGAGTGCTCGGCGGCAGGTGCTGCTAACTAGAGGTATCGACTCCGTATTTAGAGGGTCTCAACGCCTCATCATTTGAAGAGGGGTGGTTGAGTGCGTAGTTAAGAACAAGAGCTTTGTTATGGCTGCCGAGTGGTTCGGCGCGTAGGTGAGGCCTTCGTGGATCTGTACATTGTCGCAAATGAATCCCAATCATACTCTAGTTGGTGTTTTTATGCATTCTTTGTGAATTGGCTTCAACGCATTGGTGCTGGTTGGCCCGCTTGATATTTGGACTCAACCCCGAGGCATACCTTTCTCTTTCTCAGCCTCATCTAGCTCTTCTTTGTCTTCTTTCTTCGGTAAATTCTTGAGACAGGGTGCATTGAACAGCCTGCCATTCCAAGCACCCCTGGCCGTTCCGGCAGCTACCACGCACCAAAGCAGTATGACAGCAACTGCAAAAATCGTCCCAAGGACTTTGAAGAATAGGCTTGGAAATATAGTTCCAAACTGAATGGTACTAAGTGCCATAACTCCAAGCGGAAATGTAAAGCCCCACCAACCCATGTTAAAGGGGAACGGCCGTGCTTTGTAAATAGATGCGAGTGCGAAGCATAGCCAGGTGAGACCGAAGGCCCACATTATGAGTGCGATGAAAATACCAAGAACAAAGAACATGTCGCCAGCAACCGGCATCTCGGAGAAGAATTCGGTCTGGGGGAAGACGCGGCGGGAAACGTTGCCAAGATACGTGATAGAGTAACCACCCATGCCTAATGGACCCAATGGTAGAAAGGAGGAGACGACAATTTCTCGAGGAGGCAGCTTGTGAAGAGCGAGACGCGTATAGTACATGACTATTACCGTCATTGCCAGCGGTGTCGACATGCCCCACATGATGTAGGATGCAAGTAACGTGCCAAGGGCCTTCTCCGGGTCTGGAAGATGTTCAGCGACCCTGGCACCAGTACCAGCAGCGACAATGGATGCAGCGATTGGCAACAATTGAGCTGCGGTTATGCGATCGAGAGCCTGTCGCTGTGACGCCGATATCAACAGGACGGACAGAGAGATAGTGACAGCTACAGCAACCACAGCGTCAATGATCCAGCAAACCCAGGCGAAAGTAACCGCCCAAGACCCCCAATATGGAATGCATACGGAGCACCATGCTGAGATTAGCGTAGCGAAGCCCATGGGAATTGTTCCCAGAAACAGCGAGTTCACACTATCGGCGATCATAACTGTCCAGATCTCAGGATAGACAGCATATCGAAAGACGGAAATGGAGAAAGCACAAGTGAATAGAATGGTGTTGAGTCCCAGGAAGACTACTGCGAGCCAATAGAGCCAGTTTGCCTTGAAGGGAATAGCGACGAGAAGTAACGAGACAATCCCCGTGCCCATAGTGACTGTTAACCGTTAGGGACAGCACTGAGTTAATGGGAATAAGGATGATAGACCTGAGAACCATGATGGCGAAAAGTTCCTGACGATCCTACGCCAGCCAACCTATGCATTGCTTAGAAGCTTGAAATGAATTTGGAAGATGATCGTGAAACACTTACTTCGTATTTGGTCAGGTTCTCGGGAGTTTCGGCATGTTGTGAGTCTTCAGGTTGACTTGCAGACGCTTTCGTCCAGCCATTGGATCTGTGGCGATTGATTGGCACGCCCTGCGCTGTGGGCGCGGTCAAAGCTGGGTTGTCCGAGGCTATTCGGTCGAGTTCGTAGTCATCCATGGTCGCAATGGGATATCAGTATAGCTGCGTGGCATGTTGCACGCAAGACAGTGCGTGGACTCATTGTGCTTGGTGGTGATGACGATGGTGCTTCCCGTCATTACCCGGCGTTGTTCGATCTTTGTCGTCGACACGTGCGCGTTCCAGTGTTCCAGGCTGAGCACGGGCGGTCCCTTGCATCCCCCTCACGAACTTCACAGCCTCACTTCAACCTGCCAGCCTGTTCTGTTTTCCGTTCCATGGATTTCGAGCAGCCTCCCTCTCATTGTTGCGTATCTGCTTTTCGGGCTCGAGGCTCATGAAGCTTCTCATCCCGAGCGTCCGGCGACATCCCCTCAAGCCCGCGTCCGCTCCAGCGTCTAGCCCCGTCCCCTGCTTTTCCCTGACATCGCATCTAATCGTTTGATCTGATAAACCTCCATCTGGCAATGCCTGGTTTCTTGGATCTGCCTTTGGAGCTCAGGAATCATGTGTATGAATTGTTACTGGGGCAGGAGTTGGAGCCTTCGTTCCGCGGGGTAATGGTGGTCTCGGAACAGTATGTGAAGAACGACTTACCATTGCGATGTTTTCGAAGTCTCCTGCGAGTCTGTCGACAAATAAATTGCGAATTCGAGCACGCGATACAGCATTTAGTGGCGTCTAAACAGCTCGACTACACATTGGACATTACCTTCTCTCACGGCCGGCCGTACTTCTCTCTGACTTGGATACGCTTTCCTTCCTTGTCACCAACTATAAACCACCTTTCCATCAACGTCGATCTGCGTACGCGGGAGCCCCTCAGAGACGGTCTAACTGAGTCGTCCATGCCTAGGGAAGGAGAACTAACCCATCTCCTCGAGGACTCTGGCAAGAATTTTGCCGTCCAACTCTTCGACTATATTGCTATACTGCTCAAGACATTAGCGACACTTCTCTCCCACGGCAATTCCAACTTCAGAGTTCTATACACAGAAGTCGTTACCCTGAATTTTCGGACCCCCACCAAATTGATTCTACCCATACGTAGTGGCCTTCACAACGACACCCAGTACACCCGTCGTGTTCACGTCGACAAAGCATCAGCTCAATCGCTACACGAAACAATGCAGGATACGCTCAAAGCTACCTCTCAAAGATTTAAGGCATTCAATGCCAGCGAATGTGACCGACTATTCCCATTGATCCAAATCGGATCGCTGCGTTTTGCGACCGAAGGGGAAGTGTGGGGTGAAGGGCATAACCTAGTTCTAGCACATGATGACTTTCAGTGGCTCCGATATTGAGCCATCCGATTAACGAGACACGAAATCAACAACAACAACAACAACAACAACAACGAGCATCTTCTCATAAGTAAATAAAAAGCAACATTGATAGCGTTAGGGCGGTATTACTTGTCGTACTTTCAAGCGAAGCCAGACCTCAGCCATTGGCTCATCATGGGCACCCATCACGCATACACTCCTAAAACATTCTTTCGGGCCATTTCAGATGTCAGAAGTTCTGTATATACTCATGACATGTTCATCGCATTACTTGCATTATACTTGCTCAAAAAGACATATCACTGCAGAAGGACGCACGCTACCAAAAAGACGCCACCATGAAACAGGCACGTGTTCAAGCCAAAGCGCCCATCGGATCCCACAACTCCAGCATCTTTGGCTTCTGCCCCAAGACCTTCCGAATAGTCGCATTGACAACACTTGGGTCAACAACGACTTGGTACACAAACTGGTCCATCCACGCATCACTCATGACAAAGTATCCCTTGTCACCCACTCTATCACTCCACGAGTTCTCTACTCTCCACCTTACTGGCTTCCCATCAACAACATGCACCGCTGTCAAGACCATGGCATGCGTCATCTGACTTTCGCCAGTCTGTAAGCGCTCCGCTTTGGACAACCCGAGTTTGATATTGAAACCGAGTTCATACTCGAAGAGATTTGTGTCCATGATACCTTTGGTCGAGTCGGAGTATTTTCCAACATCTGAGCCAAAGAAGACCGGTATACCTCGTTTGAGCGTGGCGATGCACGCTTCCTTGATGATCTTCATATCAACGTTGACGTAGGTCACTGGTCGGCCGTTCCACACGTTCCCGAGGCGCTTCACGCTGAGGAGACGATTGTATGGGTTCCGAGGGTCGTTGACGAGGGAGAAGAGCTGATGTACGTCTGTACCCGAGAGAGCTCGAACAGTCTTATTGTCGGAAAGTTCTTTGGCGAAGGCGGTGGGGCGAGTGCGTAAGGTGCAGAGATTGCCGTCCTTGTCGTAGTATTCCCAGGTAAAGGCCTTGTCGGAGGGCGGCGGAGGACCGAGCATCAGAGTTAGGATTAGATGAATCTCTCGCAGCATTTTCTCCTTCTCAGTAGCTATGGTAGCCTGTATGACTTCAGGCGACGTGGCGCTCGTTGCGATGGAGCGTAGGCGGACGGCATCTTCGCGGAGCTTGGTGGTGATTAGACGGTCCATAGTTGATGAGTTGGTGGCATTGTACGAGTCTGGATATAGTGACTGAGGCACGAGGCCATATTTCTGCACGAGGTTGGCAACCATGTCCCACTGTCCTCCATCGCCAACCGGGCTCGCCATGAGTGCTTGCACGATGCGGCTATCTATCTCTTCAGTCTTGGTATCAAGTATGCTCTCGAGAAAGTAGTTGGCCTTCTCGATCTTATCCCAGTAGAACAGATATGCCTGTGACAGCTGGAATTCAGAGAGCTTGTGTTTCTTCATTATCGCGATACGGAACACGTTGGTGGCAGCGAAGAGCCAGCACCGACCAGAAGAAGCTTGGTTGGTGACGGGGGAGCCTTCGACTGGGATCTTGATGTTGAAGTTCTGGGTGTCTGAGATTGTGGCTGATCGCGAGGATAGTACGGCGTTGGCTGGGTTGGAGCTGAGAGCTGCAAGGGCTAGTCGGTTCTACTCGCATATCAGATTCTGTAAGGAGGGACGCGATAGATAAGTGTCACACCTTTGGGTCTTCCATGAGCTCTCTCTCCCACTCGCCGATAGAGGCGGCAGATACATCTTGGTGGTGTTTTGCGCCCGGTGTATATTTGGACGCTTTGGGCAAACACGTCAGACTTCATCCTCGTAGTATCCGCAGCGAAGAGACATACGGGCTTCCCCTCCAACAACGATATAGCCATCCTTCTCATTCATGGGGCGTTCATCTTTCATGTGGAGAGCTTGTAGCCGCTCGATGAGCTTTTCGTTGATGGCAGCATCGGAAGGCCTGGATTGGTTGGCACCCATGATGATATGCTGCTGCTGGGGGCTTGAGAGGTGTGTAGATGGTATCTCGCAAGAAGACGGTAAGTCGACGCTGTGGTGTTGATGAGCTGGCCATCAGGGTGTATCGCCCATTATCGAGCTTATCGATAGGGAGCTGCGTCGCGTGCAGGGGTCTCGTGCCAGCCCCACCAACAATCACATGGGCTGGTGCCGGAACGCGTCTTGGCTCCTTACAGTTAGTAGCTATATTTACTTATCGTATGGCGACGGGCTTCGAATGTTTCAAGACCACTAGTCTGGTCTTCATCTGCTCTGCTATATCATGTTTGATTTCTCCATGTTCGTTTCGCGCCCTGCTCTATACGAGCTCGCCTATAATGCCTGCTCCGCGATGTCCGACACAAGGCCCTTGCAAGCCTTGAAACAGCTGTATTATTCCTTGTCGGAACAGCCTTGCCTCTTGACACATTCCAAATGCTCATATTCTTATTGATGCGCACCTCGTTCTTTACAAATTACAGTCATGACATAGTTCCCGCCTGAAGGCCAAGACTGGGGATGAGGATGCGCAGGGTCAGCCACGCGTGTTTCATCGGACGTTCTCCCCTGACTAGCACGTAACCCAGCCGCATGTTAATCTTCGAAAAGTGCAAACGTCTTCTGGGGGCCATTCGTTCACTTCACTCATTCTCTTCTTACGTTCATTGACCGCACAGTTCCCTTCCACCTATAACTCAGTAAATTCGCGCGCGCATATATCCATATCCGCCAACCTCTACCACCGCATCAAAATGGCGCAACAACCAGTACTGTGGCAGAAGCGTGTCCTCGTGCCCTTTTGGACTGTCCGCATCTTCATAATGATAATTATTATTGCCACATATGCGTGGGTATTGCAGAGTGTAAACAACATCAAGGACGTCGCGAAACCAGCAATCGCGTAAGCCGCCTTTGACACCTTTCAGAAGGACAAGATGCTAACAGCTTCAGATCTGTCGTCGTCTTCATGCTCTTTATTATTATTGTACTCTTAATGGATATCCTCGCCATTGTGCTCTTCCTCCGCGATGCGCTAAAGCCGGGCAATTTCCTTATAATGAATTGCATCCAAACTGGGTTCTGGGCAGTCGTCCTTATCATAAACTTTGTAGCCATAGGGAGAGGCAAGAGTTCAGTAGGCATTGGCTTCAGCATCTTTATCTTGTACGTTCAATTGCCATTTCGTGTGCGCCTAGATATCTAATCTGTTGCAGCCTTACCTTTGTCGGCCTCCTCATATACTCGATTATCGGTTACACTCGCGCGAAAAAGGCAGCCCAGCTCGGACAGTACGCTCCCGCGCACAACCCTGCGGCTCCAGCACCGGCTACCTACCCAGCGCCTTACCCTACCCAGTACCAGAACGCGAATCCGTACCAGCAGACTACCGCATATTCGCATACGCCCGAACCTGTTGAACTGCAGGCTGGGCACTTGCCGCCATACCAAGCGGGTGCTGCAGGAGACTACTACAGTCAGCAGCCTCAGAAGCCGGCTAATGTAATGTAGCTGAGGCTTGAAGCTGACGGGAAAGATGGACAACTTGCACAAAAGGCGTTTTTGAGAGATTGGGAAAGCATTGCTTTGTGGCGCAAATGAGCGGGTTTTACTACGGTTTGCGCGCTGGAGGAGTTAAATACCAATGCGATGATTACAGGAATTAGGTAGCAAGCCATCACGCCGATGTGGCTGGCTTCACGAAATACGCCTATAATGTCTGAGGAACACATCACACGCCATTCTCTTATTGGTACGGACCAATCATGGCTAAACGACATTCTCGCGCAACACTCATGTGGATGTCGGTTTCTTTAAACTATGGAACGGGCCGTTTCATCTAGTTACTGTCCATGGCAAGCATCTAATATGGAAGGTGTAAAGAACCATGACAGTAGATGTGTGCATGCGAACCGTATACAAGGGCCGACTCGGGCAAATTGGAGGGTCGTTCAGGGAATGGGAGCTTTCCAAAGTCACACGTGCGAACGCGCATCGGAAACACCTGCCAAATCAGATCACACAACCGAGGCGCTACAACTCATTGGGACGTGAAACCCTATAAGGGTCTCCGCCTCGGAGCACAACCACCACTCACAGCTTGAAAGCCGGCATCTGCGACCTTCCAATCTATGCGGCGGTCAATCATAGGACGAAGACTGGCACGTTCCTCTAACTTTGCGACTTTGCCATGGCTTTAAGTCTCGGTTTTTATGGGGAGACGAGCATGTGTTTAGGGTTGGCTGCCGATGGCTAGTAGCTAGACCTCAGCGGCTGATATTACAATGGATTCTTATATGTATAAACGTAGGGACTCCGCCTTCCTGTCTGTTTAAATAGCCTGCCTGTGGCTTGTGTGTTTCGTCCGGTAGTCTTTCGCTTTTTACCTCAATCGTTCGTTCAAGATGCGGTCCTTTGTCCTACTCGCCGCTGCGCTTCCTCTCGCTCAGAGTATCCGCATCATTCAGTCCAACGACGATGGGTGGGCAGAGGCGAATCTTCGGACCTTCTTCGATGTCTTGAATTCCGCTGGCCACCAAGTAGTGCTCTCAGGACCGGCTGAGAATCAATCGGGAACTGGTTTGTTCTACCACATTTACTTTGCAACCCCTGCTGACCACAATAGGCTCTAACGATGCCGCACCGAAACAAGTCGACGCCGATGGCTGCATTCATGCGTCTTGCCCGGGAAAGAGTCCTCCTACTGGAGCAAACGCAACTGATCCGCGCCTCAACTACGTCAACAGCTTCCCAGTCACATCCATCAAGACTGGCATCGACGTGACTGCTCCCAAGCTCTGGAATGGTGCCAAACCCGAGCTTGCTCTCACAGGCCCTAACGTCGGAGGAAACGTCGCAGTCCAGGTGCCCTTTTCTGGAACCGTAGGCGCGGCTACCTACGCAGCAAAGACGGCACAAATTCCCGCAATCGCCTTCTCAGGCCAGACTGGTAACCCAACCGCCTGGAATGCACCCACGCCTCTGCACAGCAAGGTGTACGCCGACTTGGCTCTCAATATCACCACCACTATCATCAACAGCGGCAAGCCCTACCTCCCCGCCAACACCTATCTCAACGTCAACTTCCCCGCTGTTACTGAGACCAAGTGCAATAAGCCTAGCGAGTTCAAGTACATTTTCACGCGCATCAACACTGGCGTGCTCAGCTCTCGGGATGCGAACTGGTGCGGCAGCACGCGTCTGCCGTGGGAGGCCGATGTCATCTTGCTGAGGGGCAGCAGCTGCTATGTGACGATCAGCCCGGGCGATGCGAATGACAAGTCGACGGTCAATGATGCAGCGGTCCAGACGCAGATCATCAACAAGCTGAAACCGCTTCTGTCTTGCCTTCCGTAAAAGATTTTGAGTGGGACAAACGTAGACAAAGATGAACCAATTTAATTGATCTAATGATGTATCGTATGCTTCCCTCTACAAAATCGATGCTGTGAAACTTGATTTGCTGTTGTGGACTTTATTTTCTAGTGCGCCTTGTGTTCCTTGTTATAATGGTCACGTGACCATCAAAAATTCTGCCCCTGACCACCCGACGTCCCACAAACCCACCACCACCATCCAAACCTCGATCAAAGGGCAAAAAGAGGGTATTTCCGACACCGGGAATCGAACCCGGGCCTTGCCGGCACTACAGGGAGTGAGCTGACTCTGCGATGAGAGCGGCAAATCCTAGCCACTAGACCATATCGGATGTATTTGATTTATGAAGGTGTTCCAGATTATCCAAACCATATTCTAGGTGCTTTCTACACGTCAGACAGGGTCGACGGCATGTGAGAGTTCTTTCAAGAAAATCTGGTTCCGGTTTTTGACTAGTTTGTGAGTATGCATGAGATAGTCTTTTTGGTTCGGCTATTTCAATCCAACCATTAGAAGTCAAAATGGACATTGGAAGATAAGCACCAGAGCAACAGCAAACTGTAAAAACCATGAACTTATCGTAGTCTAGAAATTGAAAGATAGTCAGTCATTGTGTCGTCGAGTCATCAAAATGCATGCTATTTGTAGACTACCTTAGGACCTGAATGACTCCCGACATCGCCGCAGCGCTGCCCCGCCATACAAAAGTTCCCCGCGAACATTAACTTTAGTTACAATCACGAAGCCGTCTACTCTCCTACCTCCACAACTCTCTCACAATGGCTCCAAAAAGGTCGCCGTTTGATCTGCAGAAATGCGCAAGACCCAACATCCTAGCATTGGAGCCGTACCGCTGTGCGCGCGAGTAGGTGAAGCTCCATGACTCTTTTGCGCGGTACGAAGCTCACAATCGCGCAGTGACTACAAAGATGACGGCACGAACATCCTCCTCGACGCAAATGAAAACGCATATGGACCTGGATTAGCGCTGAGCGGCGAGGGCAAATTCTCAGGCGCGAACGCCAATGTTGCATCGGGTTCATCGTCCGCAATCAATGTCGATCTACTGGGGTTAAACCGATACCCAGATCCGTACGCGCACCGTCACTGACCACCATCTCCATGCGAAAGCTAACAACACTCTCCTAAAAGTCACCAAGATGAGCTCAAACAACTCCTCTGCAACCTCCGCAACACGCATGCCCACACGACGAAAACGATCACGCCCGCCCACCTCTTCGTCGGCGTAGGCTCCGACGAAGCAATCGACGCTCTCATCCGCGCTTTCTGCGTCCCCGGCAGAGAAAAGATCCTCACATGTCCGCCCACATATGGAATGTACAGTGTTTCCGCGCAAGTCAACGACGTCGACCTCGTCAAGATCCCACTACAAACCCCAAGCTTTGATCTCGATGTACCAGCGATAAAGAAAGCGCTGGACGAAGACAAGAGCATAAAGCTAGCCTATCTCTGCTCACCGGGTAATCCAACGGGGAAACTTCTGCGGAAAGAAGACGTGCAAGCGATACTCGAGCATGAGAGCTGGAACGGCGTCGTAGTGCTCGACGAAGCATACATTGACTTCGCGCCCGAAGGCTCCAGTCTAGCAGAGTGGGTGGCCGAGTGGCCCAACCTCGTCGTCATGCAGACGCTGTCCAAAGCGTTTGGGCTGGCGGGTATACGGCTAGGCGCGGCATTTACGCATCCTGCCATTGCGTCCCTGCTCAACGCTATGAAGGCGCCGTACAATATTCCCAATCCGACGAGCCAGCTTGCGCGCGCGGCGCTCAGCCCGAAACACCTCGACGTTATGCGGAGGAACAAGGACCTTATCGTCCAGCAGCGAGATAGGCTCATCGCTGCTCTTCCGCAGATTCCGGGCGTGGGGAGACTACACGGCGGCGTGGAGTCGAATTTCCTGCTCTACCAGATCCTCGATGCGCCGGCGGACAAGGGGGGAAAGCCGTCGAACGAAGCGGCGCTTGCGGTATACGAGGGTTTGGCTGAAGAGAGGGGCGTGGTGGTTCGGTTTAGAGGAAAGGAGCATGGGTGTCTTGGGTGCTTGAGGATAACCATCGGCACGGAGAAGGAAGTGGATCGCTTTCTGCAGGAGATTCGCACGGTGCTTGAGGCGGTTTATCGGAGAACGGGTAAGCTGGGCGGGAAAGAGGAGGAGCGGAGAGAGACGGAGGCGAATGATGTGGTTGCATAGAAGGGCCATGGCGCAAGCCACCTGTTCTTTCATAATAGTGTTATCATCCTGCATATCAGGGGAGGACCAAGGTCCTACTTGGTGTAGAGTAATCTTTCTCGCCGGTTACATATGAGTGCGTGGCGAAGTGGAAGGGATAGACAAGACATGCAAATCATATCAACCTACTTATCAAGCTTAGAAATGCCATGCATTGACACTTGTACGTCATGAGCTAACTAAAGCTACGTACAATAGAATACTAATCGAACCTAGTATCAATCATCCTCCCCTTCTTTATCCAACCTCAGTATCCAAGGATCCATCCATCCTCCAGCAATGAAAACAGTCCAATCTTACAAAACTCGTAGTCCTCCACCCAGCTTTCCCACCCCCATTATTCGAACATGCGTCGCTCCACCCGCCCAACCCGCGGCGGCGTCTCATCCATAACATCCCTCTGCTCCTCCTCTCCATAACGCGAATTGATCGCCCCCTCCTCCCTTCTCATCAGCGCCATTTCGCCCTCGCCCGAGTTCTCCTGATCTTGCTGGCGTGCAGGGATGGCTAGACGCGGACGTACAGATCTTGTGCGAGGAAGAAGTGACCGTGGTCGTCTGCTGGTGGTGCCGCTGCCATGATCCAGGGCCACGGAAGTCAGAGGACTATCGAGGGTGGGTTGGAGGTTAAGAGTAGATGGCCTGCGGCGAGAGCGCGTGGTGTTGCGAGGAGGCCTTTCGTCGGGCTGCAGTGAAAAAGAACCGCGCTGAGGTAGAAATCTACGCGGCACTTCGGGCGAGAGTCTGGGTTCTCTATGTTCTGAGGGTACGTGACCTTGTGACGGTCGTCTAGGCTGGGTGATGGGCAACGGAACACTTGTCCAGTCGCCATTGGGAGGGCGTGGTGAAACTCTAGAAGCGAAATGATGCGGTGGCTGCGGTTGCTGCGTACGAGGCCGGTTTGATATGTCACGAGGGACAACCTCCTGAGGTATGCTGCTGAATTGGGTGGGCCCAGGCAGGGGTCCTTGACTATGTCGTGCGTTCATTCCTTGTATGGCTTGAACGGAACTCTGATGACCATGAGCTGCTCGAAGCGGTTGACCTTGCCAGTGAAGAGAAGATGGTGCTTCGTCGAATGGGTTGGGTCTAATTGGCTGGCTGCTTCTGTCGTAAGACTGTGACATTCGTATTGGTGGATAAGGCACATGCTCGGAGGAACCAAGGGTGGAGCGAAGAACGGGCGGCTGTGGTTGGCGATAACCCGTAGACATCGGCCCATACGGATCTTGAACAGTACCATATGGACGGCTACCTATACCTTGGCGTGGCATGTATGTGTTGAGCCCGTCAAGCTGGCCGGGGTATGATCTTGATTGGGCATGTGTCCTCTGTGCGGCGAGCCGAGCTTGTAGGGAACGTTGATACTGCTCGGAATAATCGTCAAGAGGCGAGCGAAGATCTTGCGCCGCCGCCGTGGCTGCATCCATGGGATTCCCACCTGTAACAACGCTATTGACCAAGCCAGGAGGGGGCTGTGGAGAGCTCTGGACGCCTTGCCCACGAGTGTAGGGCATCGATGGCAATGGCGAAATGCCATGTTGAACAGACAAAGCTAAATTCGGCGATGACCGGCTTGAGCCTCTTCGGGACAGCGGCCGCAGGAAAGGGTCACCAATCTCTAACGGGCGAGGTGGGGGGAAACGGTCACCAATTTCCAACGGACGAGGTGGATTGTGTGCAGCGTGACTAACATGTCTTGAAGGAACAGCACCATCATACTGAGCAACCTGATCCGGTGCCGATTGTGTGCTACTCGAATTCCGCGATGCAGGAAGATCTGAGCCATAATAAGAGAATGCAGCACTGGCACCTGAACTTTCACTGCTGGGCTGTCTCGATCCCGCATTAACCTGATCAGCCTGAAAGACATATCTGTACACATTATTTATGCTTGGTAAGGAAGATGCATGATTATGCGTATTGAAGATACCCGGAAAATGAGTCGGAGGACGCATCGGAGGCTGGGGCGCTGGTATGATGCTATACCCATGGTCTGTAGACAACCTGGATGCATCTGGCCGTTGTGGTAGAGCGAAAGTAGGAGCGCTGCCTGAAGAGAAACTGCGCGTGAGCATTGGCTGACGACTGCTACGGCGAGGTGGCTCGGTTCGTGGGTGAAGTTCCTCGAAGTCGTAACTGACCCCGCCAGGGGTTATGTTAGGGTCTGTGAAAAATCCCTGTAGATATATTGTTGGATGTCTTTCGTTCGGACCTTGCTCGGCATCGACAGCGTTTTGTGAACGCTCTTGTGTCCCAGGCGAACTGGGTCTCTGCCCCTGTTGCGACAGAGAGGGAGCGCGGGGTCTTTCTGGTGAGGCAGGGGCACGATTTCTTCTGGGTCCACCACCTCCTCGTAGTTCTGCGGGGCTATTAGGAGAAAATTCCAGGCGCGGCTGGGAGGTCCTTTCGCTCATGTTGACGGGGCTGGATGTCCCAGCTGGGCCAGGCGTTGCATGATTCGACGCGTCTGTAGGCGCTGGCTCGTCAGGAGTAGATGCTGTGTGCGAGGCTTGGTGATATCGTGTGAGCCTGAATGGAATATGCATGCTACGGAGTGCCAACGAGGCTGCTGTGAGTGCGGATACCGCCTGTCCGTTCGATGCAGGTGGACTTGTGCCTATAGGAGCCTCTTCGACTTGAGAATGATGGCTGTGGTCAATATCCTCTTCCACGGATGTGTATACAGCTTGCTGAGACGAAGGTCTCAGAATAGGAATGTCCCCGAGGGCAGTGATGGCATCCTGAGTTGATCTCTGCGGACCACGCCTGAGGATGGGCCGGCCAGGGTGTGCAGAGGCTCGAGATGGTGCAACAGTCGTGGCTCTTGACGAGTGCCTATGTGCTATGCGGCGAAACGACTCGTCGACATGCTCGGGCGTCAGGGTGAGTTCTGAGGGCCTCAAGCGTAACATGTCTTGCCAATGAGTATGGGCAAATGGAGCCTGGGGTTAGCGAGTCTGGGAAGAGAAGAGAATAAGGTGAAGGCCAAATGGAGAGTGTTAATGCTGGCACGACCTACTGCGGCTTTGATCGTAGTTTCTATCCATGATGGTTGAGAGGGAATAGCTGGCACGACCTACTGCGGCTTTGATCGTTGTTTCTACCCATGATGATTGAGATGACGGTAGCTGGCACGACCTACTGCGCTTTTCATCGTTGTTTCTGCCTGTGATGATTTGGGATATGCGTTTGGAAAGGCTGGCTGGCAGAACAGGTAGTGGACACCACAGGCAGGTGACGAAAAGCTCTTGCCAGACCATGGACAGCCATGTTGTTTCTTGCTTGCGTGTGACGCCTCTTTCTTGTTCGAAAAACGTATACAGTTGTTCTTGTCGTAGCAGCACGTGTGTGTGTGTGTGTGTGTGTATGTGTATGCGCACGCTGCGGGAACTGAAGCCATACCATACTCTTGCATAGGTGACAGCATCGTAATTACACCGAGACGGTAACTCGACATCTCATCCATCCACGGGGTCAGCTATCGGATATGGTTGATTGAGCGAGTGGTGAGGTTGTCAGCGGTTTTGCCGAGACACGACATCAGCGGGCTACGCTACGACGCTACAGGCACAGGCACAAGGCACAGGGCTCGGAATCGCTATCCTCAACCCCCAACGGCAATAATCCCCTTGTTGGACTATACTGGCCTCTGGGCGCTCCCATGCCTTCGCTGCCCCCCCTGAAATTGCAAACACGCCGATCTACCTAGCGTCGTCGCGCTACGGCTTGTCCCCTCGCTGCCTCGACTGCTTCCTTTCGCTCGTTTACCGCCAGCGCAGCGCAACGCTGCTCTGCTGTGCTCTTGCTCTGCCCAGTGGCCGCCCACGATGAATGGCGACCTGAGCCTGTCGCAGTCCCTCGGCGGGCTGCGCATTGCGAATCCAGACGAAGACGAAGACAATGCCTCGTCCCCTCCGCCGCACCGCCTGCCCACAGAGAGCCAGACTGCCCAAGCCCCGGCCCGGCCTTCGTCATCGCCCTCGCGCCCATCGTCGTCGAGTACCGTCACAGAGAAGGACAGGCCAAAGCCCCAGGACGCCGCCCCATATGCTTTGCCAGACGAGCCGCCCCAGGCAGGCGGCTTGCTCGGCATCAACCCGCATGCCTTTGGCACCAGCTCGCCCTCGTCGTCGCCCTCGAAATATCCCTCCCCGCTGGCTGAGACCAGGTCGTCGTCATCCTCGCAGTCGCCGCGCCTCTCCCACCGCCAGTCGATGCCCTTGGCCCACCAGGCCCAGCACCAAGCTTCCTACCCTCCTCCCTACGCCCAACCGCCCATGCTGCAACAACGCAATGGCCCGCCGCCGCCCCAGCCGATCCGAGAGCGGCCCGTTTCGACGAGCATGTACCAACATCCCAACCTGTCCACGAGCTCCACCACCGCCCCAGGCACCTATCGATACAACGACGAGGCAATGGCGCTCGATGTGCGGAGGACGTCCAGCTCGCGAGTTGCACCAAGTGCCATGCCAGTGCGAGAGGCCAGCCGCCGAGACCCATATCGCCAATCCGCCCAACTGTCCGCCATGAACAGCCCATTGCCGCCCCGGAGAAGTTCGAGGCGGATACCCATGGATGGAGCCCCCCCGCTTCTGCCACATCTGTCCAGCTCACCCTACAGCATCGAGGGCGGTCCATTGTCGAGTAGCGAGGAATGGAAGGACAGGGGCGCAGCCGTGAGCACACGGCAAGAGGTGGATCAGAACGGCAGACCCATAACAAGAGTGGTAAAAAAGGGCGTCAAGGACTTTACCTTTGGCAGAACACTGGGTGAAGGCTCCTACAGCACCGTACTCGCCGCTACCGACCGACAGACGCTACGCGAATACGCCATCAAAGTGCTCGACAAGCGTCATATCATCAAGGAGAAGAAGGTCAAATACGTAAACATTGAAAAAGACACACTGAACCGATTAACCGAGCATCCCGGCATCGTTCGACTATACTACACCTTCCAAGACGAGCGCTCGCTCTACTTTGTCCTAGATTTGGCAGCCGGCGGCGAGCTGCTGGGCTTTCTCAAGAAGATGGGCTCTTTCGACGTCGAGTGCACACGATTCTACGGAGCCCAGATACTCGATGCCATCGATTACATGCACAACAAGGGCGTAATACATCGAGATCTCAAGCCCGAGAATGTTTTGCTCGATGATGCACTACACGTCAAGATTACCGATTTCGGCACCGCCAAGATCTTAGACTCAAGGAAGCCAAATGGTGTTGGTTCAACAACTGGGGATCCGCTGGAAGGCGCGCAATCGGATCGCGCACAGTCTTTTGTTGGAACAGCCGAATACGTATCGCCAGAGCTGCTGACGGATAAGAACGCTTGTAAGGCGAGCGATCTGTGGGCGTTTGGATGTATCATTTTTCAACTGCTTGTTGGCCGGCCTCCATTCAAGGCTGCGAACGAGTACATGACATTTCAGAAAATTGTGGGCTTAGATTACACTTTCCCCGACGGATTCCCGCCACTTGCGAAAGACCTAGTCGAGAGGTTGTTAGTTTTGGATCCACTGACGCGCTTACCGATGGAGCATATCAAGAACCATGCCTTCTTCGACGGAGTTGTATGGGGTAAAGGGTTGTGGAAACAGAAGGCTCCGCGTCTGAAGGCTTATGCACCTCCTCCGCACGAGCCCATCAAACTCAATGGTAAGTACGGTTTTTTTTACATGAAGACGTTCTCGTGGCTAACACAGCACTAGGTTCATCAACACCCGCACCATCAGTGGCTGGTAGTCAAGTCCGACCTAAGCCAAGGCTCATCACTGAACTGCCACCTCCCAGTCAACTTGACATTGATTGGTCCCCTGTCCTGACCAAGAGAGATGAGCGGATTTTGAAGCTCGGCAATATGTTTGTTACACAACATCCCGCGGGTCACCCCGTAGGCGGAAAGGAGGAACCCGCCGAGCCACCCAAAAAGTTCTCGCGTTTCTTTGGTGGAAATACGATTAAGAAACGTTCACGCCTGGTGATGATCACCTCGAACGCCCGTGTTTTGATGTGTGCGGCAGGCACAAACGACAAGAAGCTTAAAGAGGAGGTTTCGTTGTTGTCAGCCGGTTGCGCGTGGAGATCGTATCAAAATTCAAAGGGTCTCACTGCGTGGCTTGTAGAAACAGTACGTCAACATATCCATCTAGCCATGGCAATATACTAACCAATGTCTAGCGAGATAAGCAATATGTCTTTGAAGACCCCAAAAGCACCACGAGCGACCCCGATGGTAGTAAATACTCTAGCCAAGAATGGCTCGACAGCATCGAACAAGCTCGCGACTACGCCTTTTCACAGACCATGCAGAATTCTGCGTATGCTGGCGATGCCGCACTTAATGAGCTCGGCTCAAGCCTATCCACCCCAACAAGTACGTTGGACGGAGATTCCGCTCTAGATGGTGTCAACATCCCTACTGCAAGACATGGCCATGGCCATCTTCGTAAAGACCATACCGACACTGACTCGCTCAAGGGCAGGAAGCGCTTTAGTAAACGTCACAGCAAGAACGGACTTGCAAACTTTTAAGGGGAGAAAAGAAGGTCTATGAAAATTGGAATCTTGAAACACCCCGCGCCCTACCATAATCGGATAGACCCAGTGGCCTCTCGCCACATCCCCCTCGGCCATCTCGTCCACCAACAAGCTCCTCTCGCAACTACTCCTAGCATATGTTTATCGCAAAGAAATCATTCGATCATCTAGCGACCGGCGTTCTGGTGGGTGTTTTATTCTTGACGGCCATCATACAGCTCTCTTGCCCCGGGTATTCCCTTTGTGTTTTACATCTTTCATTCTCGTACAGGTATGACAGGCATTACAAGATTCTTCTTTTTCACCAAGAGATGGATTCGGTTGGGCTCAAACTCCAACTACTTTCGCATTTAGCGGCTTTTGGGCTTTTTTAGCGGGCAGAACAAAGTTTTATTTATTCGTATTCTTTTGATTTCTTCTGCCACACCCGCCGTGTATGTTTGCTTTTGGTGGGTGGATGGGTGGATGGGTGGGTTGGTTTGAGAAACTTGTCGCGACAACAAATCCGTTTCTATCTTGTAGCCGCGGTTTTGTCCGTATATGGACAGTTTCTTTTTCTTCTATTACGCTGCCTCTTCGCTTTTGTGCAGGCTAAGATGCTGGGTAGCTGGGGCTGCGCGTAGATTGGGCTATGATGCTGCTGCTGCTGCTACTACTACAATATTTTCTTTCTTGTACTTACCTCTCTCCCTTGAGTGACTCCATCTAGATTCTGCCACAGACATATGGCGTCGTATGGAGGTTTTAATGGAATGGAACTTGGAATGTTTGATTTTGACAATTCAACAGCTCTTCGCGCGACACCCTTCTTCTTTGTTATATGCGCTGCCTCATGCCGCGCGGGACGATGACAACAAGATTGTATCTATAGAACTCTGTATGCCGTTTAGCGGGTTACTTTTATTGTTACTTAGTTGGCACTGTTTGCATATCTACATTAGTCCTCCTATGCGTGTGTGTGTTAACACTTACCACAAGCTAGATAGAGGGGCAATTGTCAAAAACCTATATCAAAGGGGCTTCACAAACCTGACAGCATGAACGACTATATTAATAGTTAGTTATATTAGTATAGACGAGACACAAGACATGCAAACGCAATACGAATGGACCAAATAAATGTGTAAATTCGTTTCCTCCATGCGTTGACCTTAATTATAGTGAATACCCCGAGCTAAACGTGATGGATGCATATATGCGCTATAAGGACAGAACCCGAAAACGCCATACGATGCCATGTTGTGATGCAATGCGAACGCCAATGCAGCTATAGAAACGAAACAATGTACAAAAGAAGCGAAATGTAAAGAAAATCAATGGCGAACGTCCTGCACCCAACGATCAATTTGATCTCTCTGTCTCGGATCCATGGGCTGCTGCATCATCATCTGCGGCTGCATGCCCATTCCCATTGGCATGCCATTCATACCCATGCCGTTCATGCCCATGTTCATACCGCCCATCATTGGCATGTTCATCATAGAGCCCTGTCGCATCATGCCGGGGTTGCCTTGTGGGTACTGCATACCCATCATGCCCATGTTCATAGGCATCATTGGTTGCTGCATGGTATTCATGGGCATGTTGAGGTTGGGCTGGGACATCATGCCCATGCCGTTCATGCCCATCATGCCAGGGAGGTTTGACGAAGACATATTGGGCCCACCCATCATTTGCCCGTTATTGTACATCATGTTCGGAGACTGCCCTATACCAGCCATTTTATTCTTGTACGCCTGAATCCTGGCGGCGAGTGCTTCGTCTTCCTTTATCTTCTTATCATCAACATTGCGTAGCAGCGGGTCCATATTTCCATAGCTTGACGTTCGCGAATTCTGCGCCAGGCGCTGGGCTTTCCGACGTTCTTCAGCGATGACGTTCTGGTGCAAGAGACTGCCTTGAGGCAGGTGTGAAATTAACGCTTCGTTCGAGACGGTGCGGGCTTGGTCTGTGGAGTCAATGGGATTGGCGGAGAGGACATCAGCCAAGCTCATAGACGATTGCGGGCGGGCAGGACGAGCGGCAGCCTCGGCTTGTAGTCGAGCTCGGCGCTGGCCCAGGGTCTCTTCTTCTTCGATACCTGGAGATGGTGTGGGTTGAGGGCGCTCTGGCTTCTTTTCATCACCTTCCGAGACACCGAACTTCTTGAACATCTCGGAAGCAAAATCACCACTAACCGTGCTCTTACGGACATCATCCCCAAGAGCTGCTTCGAGCATCTGCTTGTCCTTGAGGCGGCGCATACGCTCACCCAAAGTCTCGCCTTCCTCTGCATCAGATTCGGGTCCAGGTGTTGTCGTTGTAGGGACACCTAGGTACTGCATGCCTCGTTTGCTGGGACTAAGCTCTCTTGATCTTGTCGGATCTCCTCCTCGCAACCTATTGCGGCGGCTGCTGAGCGGCTCACTGTCTTCCAGCTGTCGCTGCGCGATTAGGCCGAGAGGCTGGCTCGGTTCCTGATTTTGACCACCACCCTGCTTGTAGAGTACTCCAAGGGGCACATCGTCGTCGGAGTCATCATCATCTTGTGCTTGTGCTTCCCAGGCAAGATGCACCTTCTTTTTAAGACGCTTTTGCTTCTCTTTCTCGGCCATGTCATCCATTTGGAGGAGAGTCCTATGAGAAGTCATCATGCCTTGCTCAACCAGAGTCGCGTAATTCATGTTGCGAGTCTTCTGTTTCGCTTTGCGCAGCTGAAGTTCGGCAAGTAAGGTCGTTGGAGCACCAAAGTACTGTTCTTCCTCCTCTTCCTCTTCCTCTAGAGGTTCTTCGTCCTGCATATCATCTGGATCACGATCATCGTCGTCCTCGAATGAGCGTCTCGTAGGCGTAGTGTCATGCTCATTTTCCGGGCCCCTTGCGTGCTCGTCACGTTCGTCCAGCTCACCGCCCAGGCTCATCCGGCTTTCGCTCGCCTTGACAATGAGTAGATTCATATCGGCAGAGCTGTTGCGCTTCTTCAGCTTGTTCAACGGATCACCACTCGAGTTGCGCTGTGTGTCAAGAACATTGAAAGAGCTTCGTCTCTTCGTCTCTTGTAGCGTCTGTGGTGGCTCTGGGAACTTTGAGGTCCTGCGCTTGTGCTCTGGGCCGTATACTTCTTTACCCACCTGCCCCGCGAATGGATGATCCGTAAATGCAGAGACGGGGGCGTTTGCAGAAGCATCTAGAATACTTTCGAGAGTAACCTCAGCCGATTCACCTTTGATAGCAAAATCTTGTGCAGGGGCAATTTGGTCAAAATAGGCACTCGCGCGCAGCTGCGGAGGAAGAGCCATCAAACTCTGCCGGCTTTTCCTGTTGTTGGACTTTGGAGGATCCGCCATCTCGGCAAGCAACGCTGTAGACTTTCTCTTCTCTTGCTGCATTGACTCCAGTAACTGTGTACGTCGCTTGGCTTGTACACCTACGGCCGGCAACTGCGACAGCCGTTTCGGAAGATTCAGCATTCTCGGTACTGGGGCGGGATAGAAAACCATGCTGTCGTCTGGTGGTGGTATGCCCATGGCGGGAGCATCGGGGTTGGATCTCATTAGGAAGGACTGGTTGGAGGAGTGCCGGCTGTGACTGCCATGGGAAGGTGCAGGCTCTTCCTCAATAACGGTATCTGCGCAATGCGCGCCATCGAAGTCGTGCCATAGTGTGCGGGCTTGGTGGGTTGTATCGGTCGAGGCGGCCGTGGGTGGCCGATCCAGGAATTGCTGGCGGCCAGCGTACTGATACTGGGTGTCTTCCTCGTGTTGCTGTTGGACATGATCTGGTGGTTGGCTTAGTCTGACGCTGTTTCGCAGCTCTTCGGGTAGCCCGTCGGCGACTTCATCGTATATTCTCGTAAAGGACGAGACTGTCCGTTGGCTTGCTGGTGGCGGGGAATCGGCCTGGTGTAGGGCGAGCGGGGCGGATCGTGGCGATTTGGGTGACCCAGGGTATGCAGGATATTGTGACATGTCGCCATCGACTTCTTCCGGGTGCATGACCTGACCAAGACGCGAGGCCTTTGACTCCGAGCGTTGCCGCTGTATGTTAGTCGAAGCATTCGACCAGGAGTTAGAGTGGAGGGAGCCGACAGGCGACGTGACATAGCCGCCGGGGGAATAGCCACCCCACCGGGCCCCTCCATTCAGATCCACGATGGAGTTAGCGTGTGAGCTGGTCGAGACGTTACGGCTTCGGGTAGTGAATAGTCGCGTCGGCTCGTCCAAGGGCGCTGACGAGTAGACCGAGGATTGCCGGCTGGTGGACCGCTTCAGCTCTGAATAGGACTTCCGAATCTCCTCTTGCAAATCCGAGCCTGGCTCACTCATGCGCTCGGCATGTTCCTCGAGACGTTCAATATTGCCAACGTAGGCTCCCTGCAGCGATTGGAGGTCGGGGACCGGATGGCGCAGGTTGTCACTGCTCTTCTTGGGCGATCGGATGGGCGCTGGCTGCGACATGGGCGGCGGCGAGGCCATGGCGGGAGAATTGGGCACTGAGCGAGGGCAATGTTGTGAGCAGAAGGCGTAAAGGAGAGAAATGGGTATCCTGTAGAGGGACCGAGACGGGGTTCCAAGAATAGCACGCGTCGATGCAAGGGTGACGGCTGGCGCGCCAACAGTGGCTCCTAGCGCAGTCACGCTTCGCTGTAGCCTCACCTCCGCATCCAAAATTTATATTATTGCACGCCATCTTGCGACACTGCCACCCGAGGCGCGCATGCGCATGAGCTGCACCTTCACCAATCTCATACACAAGACAATCGAATTCACCACACTGTGACGTCTGTAGCTCGCGCGACATCCGGGCTGCCTCCTCGCGAACTCCAGGCTGCCTACTGCACAAAGTCAGTAGCCACCCATTCGCCGACCAGCAGCTCAATTGCCACATACGTATACCCCAGACCGATTGTGACGCGCTCGCAATCTTCTTCTTCTTCAACATGGACGGCGGCGAAGGGGTCAAGCGGAAGCGCACTTTTCGGCAGGAGTCGAACAAGAAGGCAAAGACGGACGATGGCAGCGCAAAGCTCAAGTCGGGCTTTGGCGCAAAGATGCTGGCCAAGATGGGCTACAGAGGAGAGGGCGGGCTGGGAAAGGAAGGAGCTGGAATTTCGGAGCCCATCCAGGTGGTGATGCGAGGTACCAAGGGCGGTGTTGGTATCGTCGCCGAGAAGAGTGAGCAGCAGAGGCGGGAAGAAAGAAGGAAAGCAGAGGCAAATGGCGAGACCTACGTCGATACTTCCGAAGAAGAGCGCCGGGAGAGGAAGAAGAAGGCCAAGGCGAGAGGAGAGGCGCGAACAACGGCCCCGCGACCGAAAAAGACGCTCTTCGAACTTGAGGCGGCAGGCATGCACGTACCGCTCGCGCTACAGTCCATAATCGACGCGACGACGGGCGCATCTACGCCTACATCTGGCGTCTCTCTCCGCGGCACAGACGTGGTTCCCTTCGAGAGCTCCCTGCAAGCGCGTGTACGGAGAGACTTGAACAGCTTCTCTGAAGCCTTTGAGGAGCTAGAAATCGAGTCCAAGGCTATTCCGCCACAAGAATACGCCCTGGAGAAAGAATTGGAAGCCCTGGAAAGACGACTAGATGAGGCCGAAGACATGCAGGCTCGACTCGAGTCTCTTCGTACGGGCACCCTCGACGTTGTTTGCGAAGGCCTCAAGAGCCTGCGCGCCGCGTACCCATCGAAGCCGCTGCACCGAGAATCTATCGCCGTCATATACCCACACTTCTCCAGAGTAGTAGCTTTATGGGCTCCCCTCGAGGACGCCCTGGAGGAAGTCGCAGCATCCTTCTCTGATCTAGCCAACATAATTCAGCCGCGAAGCCGGAGGATTATTTCTCAGGCATACACTCATCCCTCGGAAGCTTTGGTCAGTCGCACCAACATCGACGAAGAAGACACTATCAAGCGCGGCACTACTTCATCATACGAAACCATGATGTTGAAAGTATGGTTGCCTACTGTGAGCTCAGCAGTGACACAATGGGACGTCAAGGACCCACACCCAATGGTTCACCTTGTGGAAGCTTGGACACCCGTCTTACCACCTTTCGTGGCGAAGCGGGTGCTTGAGCAGGTCACACGTAAACTCTCTACTTCGGTGCACGAGTGGAATCCACGCAAGTTCAAGAAGAGCCCACATACATGGATAGTGGAGTGGCTGCCGCTCCTAAAGCCGGCTGATCTGGATCCTAAAGGCTCAGGCCTTGTTGCTGAGATTAAGCGCAAGATTCGACATGCGTTGCAGTCAATCGACCTCTCGCGTGGCCCGCTGCCGGGTATGGATAGTTGGAGAAAGGTGTTTGGAAAAGAGGAGTTTGATCGACTCCTCGTAGCCCATCTCGTACCGCGCTTTGCAGCGTATCTACGCGACAACTTTGAGATCAACCCGGCAGAACAAGACCTGGCTCCCCTAGAGGCCGTCTTCGCCTGGAGAGGTTTGGTCTCGAACCAGGTCATTGGGGAGCTTCTCAGGGCCCAATTCTTCCCCAAGTTCCTCGGTATCATCCACCAATGGCTATCTAGCGAAGAGGTGGTCTTCCAGGAGGTGGAAAAGTGGATCGAGTGGTGGCGGGACGAGATCCTGAAGGAAGACATCAACAGTCTACCTTCAGTCGCGTCGGGTTGGAACGAAGCATATACCCTCATCAACCAGGCACTGGATCTTGGTGATGCAAGGCTGACAGACCTGCCTCTACCGCGGATTGAAAGTACCGGCGCCTCCCCGGAGACGCCGCAGCTGTCCAAGTCAATCAACAAGGAACCCCCGCGCCCAGCGCCGCAAGTGGAGGAGGCGACGTTCAAGGACGTTGTGGAGGAGTTCTGTGCCGAAGAGAATCTGCTTCTGATACCGCTTCGGGAAGCTCATGAGGTTACTGGGTTACCGCTGTTCAGAATCACAGCAAGTGCTACCGGACGAGGGGGTGCAGTGGCCTATCTCAAGGGCGACGTCCTTTGGGTACAGAACAAAAAGGAGAAGAGTGTATGGGAGCCTACTGGATTGGACGAAGCGCTCACTGCAAAGGCCGAGGGGAAGTGAGCGACCGACAATGGACTCGATATTCCTTCCACTCTGAGGAGCGCAGCGTCTACGGCAAGTAGCAGATGCAGTACCTTTTTTTTGTATAGCGTTGATGCGCGTCCTTTACGGCAGGGTAAGCTCCCATAGCCTCTTCTGGGCAGATAACTTTACTATCATTCGCTAATCCAGCATCGGAGCGATGCATTGTTAGGTAGCCATCTTGGGTGCGACGGCGGACCTTCGCAGAGCGGAGATGGGGGGCGAGAGAGGTTGACGCGGAACAATGGAAAATACCCATGTCGTGTGTCTATCTGGGCACACACTCCTTCTCCTGATAATCATGCTTTGATGGTGACAAGGAAACTCTTTCATATGCTCTTGTATCTCACATGTCGTGGAAACGGCCAATCTCCATTGCCGTCACAGGCGATGGGGGTGATATGTCCTCGAAATAGGTCGCTAGTGCTGTGCTGCAAGTAGCCTGTGTGATACGACTCGCATTTTGCATGAAGATGAGAATCATCGCGTAGAATTCACACCACGAGGCCAGACGCAGAGGGTCTTGTAATAAATAAAGCCGAATGGCTCGTTCCCTGGTCACACCGCAACGAAAATACATTGGCCTGTGTGATACGTGATAAGGAGGGTGACGGAAAGCTGATTCGCGTTAGCGGGCGCCTAGAGATTGAATTCTGGACGAATGGGATTATGCGATTGGGGTGCCTTTTTGGACTTTGCAGTTGCAGGGGCCGTCTTTCATGCATGCGGACCGCTCTTCCCGCGAACTGTGCCTCGAGTGGGCAGAAAGGCAGATCGTCCGGGAGGTTGGGTGAAGTTGATCGTGTGGGTGCTCGAGCGCTGCGGCACGGCGAAACTTGTTTTATAACCAACAGAGAGTCGAGTCACCACCAAGCGCACTCTCAATGCCAAAAGCAACACAACCCAAGGTCGTCGAGTCGACAAACGCGCAGCCAGGTGTCAGTCGGCCCTGCACCGGCCGTCTCGCTCTAGTTCGCATAGAAAGGCTGAGAAGCGGACCCCGCCTCGGCGGCTGGTAAGATGCCTCCACTGGACGCCTGCATGTCGCTCAAGAAACATGCTCTCCAATCACACGCCCCAACGCCCTCGACAAGCCCATCACACCTAGTCCTTCGTTTCCTCGTTCCATCCACTCGCAGGGAGAGGCGGCCGTTTTGCAGGCCGCTGGCCAGACATACTTACAGCACCAGCCGCCCACCATGTCGCCAGCTGTTACACTTTGCACTTCACCCGGTTCCTCTCTGTCGGGAAGCGGGCAATTTGTGATTCCCTCTACAGCCCTAGATCGTCGTGATCCGCGAGAGAGAGAGAGAGTGTGTGTGTGTGTGAACAAACACCCCTCGCTTCCCCCCTCTCATTTTCTTCTTTAAATCATGCTGGAGAGGGCGCTTCCTCCAGCACTCCTGTCTTTGATTCTGGTCATTTCAAGCGCCTCTGCAGCACCCTACGACTTCACAAAGAACTACCGTGACCCTGCTCCCTCACCGCAGGACGGCCCTCCTGCCTCCTATCACGCAACTCGAGACCGGAACCGTTTAGCATACGACGTCGGCGGTGTTGTCGGCGGCTACGTCCTTACAGTACTTATCTGGGGAGTATTACTCCTCACTGTTGGCAGAAAGATGAGACGAAAGGCACTCGAACCGCCCAAGCATCTGGAGCTGGAACTTCAGGACAAGCCGAGTCCATTTGCCCTCAGGTCGCCAGGGCCCGCCTCGCCACCATTATCGGCTCGCTCGTGGCTCAGGAAATTCAAGAAGACCGACTCTGCTGTTGGCAGTCCGCAAAGCCCAATGGTTCAGTCGCCTGGCTCCTTCGACCAAAGGGTCCTTGACGCCCACAAAAACCAAGCGCAGGCCGATATGGAGCGCCTGTACGCCGCCGTCATGGACCACGATGCCCAAAAACACTACTCCAACGTCAGCGTAGAAGAGGCCCAGATGATTGGACAAGAGCGACGAAGACCATCAGCTATCAGCGTTGCCCGACCACCACACGACGACAGTCCTATATCACCCGTCAAGGCCATCTACCCACCGGACTTCCATAACGGGCCCAAGGCCGCACCTCTACCTCGCGATCGCCTACAAGAGCAGAAAATTCCCGCGAGTCCCCGCGGTGTCCTCTCCAAGCGGGCACAGCCGTCCCCCGCCCCCAATAGCAGCAAGAATGCGCGCTTCAACCTCAAGAACCTGCGCATCTCCGGCCCTGTGCAAAAGTACCCAGGCGGAGACTCGGATGACGACGCGCGCACACCGCTGTCCCCACGCTTCTACCAACCAGGCGCACCTCCCTCGCCACCAACGCAGCCAAACTCGCCCACAACACCCTATGATCCAGACGAGGAACTCGACCAAGTACAACCCCTCCCCCGCCCGGCTCCCCAGCGCCTGCGACCCCTGACCACCAACCTCGCCCCGCCATCTCACGCGCAAACCCTAACGCTCCCCAAATCCGCCACATCGCCCAAATCGGCTACCTCAACCAAATCGTCGTCGTTACCCCTGCGTAGCTTTGCAGAACCCCTCCGGTCCCCTGGTATCCAGACGACCGTGCTGGACAGGCGCGTGGAGAAGCTCTCCATGACGACGCCCAAGACGGGTGTCCCGTTCACACCGTATAGTGCTTACATGCCTTTTACCCCCATCACGCCCGTCACACCTCACCTGGTGAACAAGCGGGACCGCAAGATGATGCAGAAGATGGAAGGCAGGAGGCGCGCAGCGATGAAGGAGGATATGGTGCAGAGTCCCAAGGAGATCTTTGGCGATGCGTACTAACTTTGCATGTTTCTTTTTCCAGTTGGCATTAAACTCTCTTAAGCGCTTTTTTTGTTTTCTTCTTGTATACATATGATCATTGTTTGGTGAGTCGGTTGGTATGAGCGTAGATCCATGTGAGTTTTGCCTTGCTGCTGTTGGGCTAATGACTTCCTTTATCGTATCTTGCATATGGTTTATATCTGTATATTTAGTTTCCGATGTGGATTGAGTGGAACCCTATCAGACAAAATTATTAGAAGCAATGCTATGCACCATAAAAGTAATCACGATTTGAATCCATGTGCTTCTTTTCACTGGTTGACTCGTGGAACGGAAAGAAGAAACACCTAGTTAGTCAAGTGGTAGAACGGACCACAAGCGAAGACATTCGACGTTAACTTTTTGCACATAAATTGCTATAAAATCATTAGAAGCCAAACCACACTTTGACCCGTCCTTCCGGCCTCAAACGTTAAGCTCCGCCACACCAGCCTTGTCAATATACGCCTTATACGCACCGAGCTTCCCCTCAAGCACACCACCCGCCCCACAGAACTGTTCCACAATCTGCTCGCTGCGCCCCGTATACAAGCTAGAATCCAACATGGCATCCAGATCGCCCCAGATGGGTTTGAAAAACGCCGTTTGACGAATACGATCAACCAGGTCATTCGATTTACCCTCGTTCTTGACCTGGCTGCCCGCCTGGTGGGACAAGACGCGAATCTGCTCGTGGGCTTCTTGGCGGGACTCGCCCTTTGCGACGAGTTTCATGATGATGCTTTCTGTAATCATAAAGGGGAGTTCTTCTTGGACGCGGGCGTCGACGCGTTTGGGGTAGACGACGAGGCCGGATGTGACGTTGTCGAGGGAGAGGAGGATGGCGTCGGCAAGGAGGAACATTTCAGGGATGTCGATGCGGCGGATGGCGCTGTCGTCGAGGGTGCGCTCCATCCATTGATCGCTTAGCGTGTTGGCGAAGCTGGCTGGCTTGCTCATTAGTTCGCGGCTGAGACTGTAGATGCGTTCTGAGCGCATGGGGTTGCGCTTGTACGCCATGGCTGAGCTGCCGATTTGGTCCTTTTCAAACGGCTCTTCGAGTTCCTTCCATGCGGCCAGGTGGCGGATGTCTCCTGTGATCTTCTGGGCCGAGGCGCCGAGACCGGCGATGGCATTGGCGACAATGAGGTCGACCTTGCGGGTGTAGGTTTGCGTCGAGATGGCATAGCAGCTTGGGAATCCGGCCTTCTTGCACAACAGCTCGTTCAGCTGATCGCACTTCTTTGAGTCGCCGTTGAAGATTTCAAGGAACGAGGCTTGCGTTCCGGTGGTTCCCTGGGCGCCGCGGAATTGCAGGCCTGCACGAACATGCTCGATGGCTTCGAGGTCAAAGAGCAGATCTTGCGCCCATTGAGCGGCGCGCTTGCCAACGGTGATGAGTTGAGCAGGCTGCAAGTGCGTGTACGCCAGCGTAGGCTCGGCTTTCCACTGCAGGGCGAATGCAGAGAGGTTGGAGATGACCTTTGCGAGTTTGGGAAGTATAAGGTCTATAGCATCGCGCATGAGAATCAGCTCTGCATTGTCGGTTACATAGCAGCTTGTTGCCTGGAATATTACAGTTAGCAATCCCATCTCTCATCTTAGATCCGCTTGGTCAAATAGAAGAGCTCTTTGTCACCACACGTGACAAAGACAGACACCCCCCACTAGGTTATCAAAATGAAGAGAGAAACATACCCCGTAATGTATAATTCCCGCCGCACTCGGCGCAACCTGCCCAAAGGTATGCACATGCGCCATAACATCGTGCCTCCTCTTCTTCTCCTCAACCCTCGCAATCTCAAAATCCCGGTCTGTTACCGTCAAATGATCCCTCATCTGCTGCAGTGCCTCTTCACTAATCGTCTCGATACCCAGCTCTTTCTCCGATTCAGCCAGGTACAGCCAGAGTTTGCGCCAAGTCGAGTGGCGGGACCGCTGGGAGAAGAGTTGAGACATTGCCGGACTGCAGTAGCGCCCTGTGAGGGACGTCTGGTACGTGTCGAAGACGGAATTGCCGATTTGGTTCTTCATGTTTTCGATTTGGCGTTGCAGGTCGAGCACTGCGTCCTGGTCATATGCCATCTTGTAGGTGAACTGGTGGGGTCTTGTGCTGACTCTATGGTCTTCCCGATTTGATCAATGTTCGTAGATCGCAGAGGTGAGATCGGGTACGAGAAAATAAAATTGAGCAAGTTCAAGAGATCAATTGGGTCGTGCGGGGGATGTATTTAGACGTCTGTCGCTGCGAGGGCCGTTTCTTTTTCTTATCGAATGAGTGACGTCCTGTCTCACGTGTGGAACCGAAAGTTTTTGGGCCGCTCGCCTAACCCCACATTTCGCAAGCACACCTTCGGTCAGTGGGCAATTCAATTGGCATTATCGCTCTTCTCTACTATCGAATTGATAGTATTGGCCCATCTCGTAGGCTGGTCCTGGCTAGTAGAATTTTCTCCGCGGTGGTCTCTAGAGATTGTTCATCTGATTCTGGCTACAAATCTTGACATAGTTTCCTACTTCATAGCTTGATTAAAATCTTAGACATCTAAAAGTATGCATCCCAAGCCTTCGGTCAAACAAGCCCCGGGTGGACCATGTTCATACATGCGGTTGAGGGCAATGGTTCGCGCCAAAGGAATTTCACTTCCGTGCTTTCCCGATGTCGGCTGTGAAGAGTCTAGACTATGTTCAAGGCTAGTGCGGCGTAACCACGACACAATCGTGTTATTATTCTCAACACAATGATTCATAGATAGTCTGAATGATATCTAAAAGTCTTGACTGCTTGTATCAAAGACCTGCTTCTCCACAGACTGCGCTAATTCAAAAGCTGAGCACATCTTCTCGACCCGACTCCATAGAACAAACTATCCTACGAATTACAATGCCGGGCCTTTCCAAACGTCCCTGTTGATCTTGAACAGGTTGCTCTGCTTGTGTGGGAGACTGATTTCGCGCTCCTTGTAGAAGCCGGCGTCCTGAAGATAAGTCGCAAGTCTAGTATGGTTAGCATGGAAAGCTAAAGGTAGCGGGCGCCAGGAGTTACTTACTTCTCGTTGTCTACTCGCGGCTCCAGCATCACCCTCTCCGTCCGGTTGTCCGATAGCCAGCAATAGTGCACCAATGCACTCAACCAGATCTTCACCCGATGGGCACCCCTGAACTCCTGTTCCCCAATCAGGCAGTGGAAGCCTCGATCATACTCACCCACGACAGGCAGGTATTTTCCCACGTTGTCCTCCTTGACCCAGTATATCTCGAAATAGCCAAAAGGCTTGCCATCCCAGCATCCAATCACCGGGAACGAGTTCTTAGACCGAAGACCATTCTTAAGGAACTCTTCTTGGTGTGATTGCGGACCAGCCTCGCCCCAGAAATGTGCCACGCGGGGGTCGTTCATCCACTTGTGCAGGTACTCGGAATCGGACATGTCCAAGTTCAACGAGCCCATGGTAGGGATGGTGGAATCTGAAGCGGTACTAGGGCTGCTTCGGTGGGGTGTGGATACGCGATTCGCTACGGGACCTCGGTGTCGGAGCGGCTTCGAGGAACAGGAAGCTACTCGAAAGGTGAGATATTGACCGACACTGGGGATATAGCGCGTATAGAAGATCTCGCCTTGTCGCGGTGGTTTGGGTCGTATTGGGTGCCGGACGTTGTTCGAGAAGACATACTGCGCTGGCGGAGGCGGATAGTATGTAGGAAGGTGGGAGCTTGAGTGGAACGGCCCCGGCGCTGTAGGTGACCACAAGCCCGGCGATACTTGATCAAGCTGGTGTTCTTTCCTCGGTGGTGTGCCATCTATGGGTGACGACGGTCGGGATGGGTATGGCGAGCCTGATGGGAAGGGCGAGTTGGCCAAGGGGGACAGGGTAAAGAGATAGATTCTGGGATCCAGCTGCCAGAATGACCTCCGACTGACAAACATCCTGGTCCAGCCCTCGGGCGAGTTTTCCTCTTGGGCGCAGCCTACTGTCGAGTCTTCACTCGCTACCAGACCCATTCTCTCCAGCTTGGGCAGCACGACCTTGCCCTTGAATATGCCCTCCCTGTTGATGTTGATCCTCCAGGCGCCCCTTGGCTTTCCTGGATGCGCGGTATTCTTCGATACGGCATTGGTGACTTGCAGCGTGGGCTCAGGCTGGTGGAAGTACCAGTAGAGTGTAGCCCAAAGCATCATGGCGATCTGGCGTGTGGGCGACGCCGCCGCCTTGTATTCGCTGCTGCTAGGGTTCGATATCGACGAGATGTAGAGGTGGTCGCCATTGAGCGTCGGTCGTCTATAGCGGTGGACATTGCGTGGAGGAAATGAGACCTCTTCGTCATCTTGCTGCCGTCGCTCTTGTTCCTCGGCATCGACCTGCTCTTCTGAATTCAGGACAATGGTCCAGCCAGGCGGAAAGGGCGAGTGTAGGCTCAGCGACTCGTTTGATTTGAAGAAGAGGCCGCCAAAGACTGGTGTAACGGTGATGTTCTGGCCGTTGGGCAGGTGGACGACGTTTGCGGGGGCCATGGTGACGGCGGCGGGGTAGCTAAGCCGTGGAGGAGAAGGATGGGTGAGATGGAAGCGATAAGATATATTTCTCAGTCAGTCCATCAATCACCTGTAAATCGCGTGAGAGGCACAAGGCACGGCTACGTCAACAACAGCGCCCGCCATGCGAACTGACTGTCAGAGACTGCTGTCCCCGACGCCAATACATACCGTCGTTCGTCAATACACCGAGAACGGCGGCGGGCCAATTTGCGGGGCATCACAGCGCCGCGACGGCCTTTTTTTTCTGAAGTCTGCTGAGAGGCGGAGATTTCTCCCGCTCCCTCTTGTCTGTCGCATCGTGAACAAAAACCATGCTCACTTGGTGGTTTTCTGCGCACTGCACACGCCTACCAACATGGCCCACAAGTGGTTCGTGGTGTTGTGTGTTGTCATTGGCCCTTCGGGTATGGAGGCAGCATGGACTTGAAGCTCGGCGCTCGGACAGGGTTCAAATGACGAAATGCGATCCGATTATCCAGCAACTACTTCCAGAGCTTCCGCAACTATCCTACATTACCAATAGCTTCGTCTAAACACCAATTGATACTTTGCCAGCTCCAACGTACATGATGAACTCGACACTCCTTCGTACCTCTGCCCTGCGCTCGGCCACAAGAGCCGCCGCGCCCAAAGCTTCCCGCGCTGGACTCGCTGGAGCCACATTTGTTCGTGGAAAGGCCACACTACCTGATCTTTCGTGTAGGCAAGCCCTCGACTGTGGCTCGATGAAATGAAAGCTAACGGCGTGGTCCAGATGACTATGGCGCCCTCGAGCCCTCCATCTCCGGCAAGATCATGGAACTCCACCACAAGAACCACCACAACACCTACGTGACGTCCTTCAACAACTTCAGCGAGCAAATCGCCGAGGCTGCAGCAAAGGAAGACATCCAGAAGCAAATCGCCCTGCAGCCGCTCATCAACTTCCACGGCGGTGGCCACATCAACCACACCCTGTTCTGGGAGAACCTGGCACCTACCAACGAGGGTGGCGGTGAGCCCCCGACAGGTGCCCTTTCAAAGGCCATCAACGACAGCTACGGAAGCCTGGACGCCTTCACAGAGAAGTTCAATACGGCGTTGGCAGGCATCCAGGGCAGCGGATGGGCATGGTTGGTGCAAGACACCCAGACCGGTAGCATCTCCATCAAGACCTACGCAAACCAGGACCCAGTCGTAGGCCAGTTCCGTCCTATCCTAGGTGTGGATGCCTGGGAACACGCTTATTAGTGAGTTGATCTAAGCAAGTGGTTATGAAGATTACTAACCCTGTCCAGTCTCGACTACCAGAACCGCAAGGCCGAGTACTTCAAGGCCATCTGGAACGTCATCAACTGGAAGGCCGCGGAGAAGCGCTTCCAATGAACTTGATCAGTATGTGTCTAACGATGGGTATTTCCGGTTGCTTCGTGGAAGGGCGAATTGCTCTTTCAGGCAGCGCCAAGAACTCAGTAGCATACTGTCAGAGGTAGCTAGCGAACAGAATGTAATCGCTCTTTACACCCATACTTGTTATTTCTGATGATCTAATAGGAGCCTGTGATATTCGTCATGTGAAGGTTTGTTACATAATCTACTTCACAACAAGGCGGCACACTGTTCGCCAAAACATCTCGCCAGGCCAGTCTTAGTGACATGCCCCTCCATAATCTTAGCATCATCCTCCCCTTCAGAATACACAAACTCGTTGCCTCGAACACCATTGAAATACAATCTTCCTAACCCAGGCAATCCCATTGGGTGTACCCATTTGCCCTTTCCCGTCCAAAAACGCCCATGTACAATTCCACGAATATTCCTTACGAGCCTAAACGCCGCGCCATGCACGCTAAAACAACTGAAAACGACTGGAACGCTGAAAGGAGCCACCAACCAAGCAAGCAAGCGGGTGTCTCCTACGTAGGCGCCTCGACAGGCCTCTGCACGCCATCAGCCTCCACAACACCACATTGATTCATCCCAGGATACTGAGGCACGGCATTAGACGACCGATGCACAGCGCCTAGATGTTGCTGCTGCCACAATTTATGGTCGTTCTCGACGTAATTGGTGTGAAAGCCAAGGGGATTGTGTTCCGCCATGACGTGAGAATGATACTGTGTTTTGGGCTGCAAAGTAGACTCTTGCTGTGCTTTGCGCCGCCTATACCACACGAAGACAGCGAGCGCCATGATGCTGAGGAAGACGCAGCCGCCGATTGTACCGCCGACTATGGTGCCTATGTTCTGCTTGCTGGATGCTGACGAGGCTAGCGTGGAAGTGGGTGTCGTGACCGCGGACGCAGTGACCGTTACAGTGCGCCGTCCCTCGATACTGGAAGAAATACTTGGTCCCCAGCTTCTTTGCGCTGTGATGGTGAATTGGCTCGATGCACAGCCGTGTTGTGTCATGGTTGTTGAGGGATACTCGATTAGCCACTGGTAGCATTCGCCTAGGCCATCGGCTGTGCATTTGACTATCGCGGCGTTGCTGGAGCATGCGGCGTCTGTACATGTAGCCGACATGGCGGTTTTGGCTATGCATGTTGTGGGTATTGAGCAAGAGGAGAGGCTGGCGGGGTCGCAGCAGCCGTGCACGCCGTAGAAGGTGTTTGTTGCGCAGATTGCGGTGGGGTTTTGACATGTTAATGATGATGCTGAATCTCGTGAGTACATGCTGAGTTTAATCGAACTTGGGATTACGTTTCGTGTGCATACCTGATGACCCGGACACAAAGCCGCATGTGTTGTCGGTTTCGCTCTGTTGCCTTCTGAAGAGGTCCAAGCCGGAAAGGTGTGGTGCTTCAGTGGGCGCTGGACTCCAGGCGTCGACTGCTGGGACGAACACTGTGGGTTCTGGTAATGCCCATGGAAAGGCTGCTGCCCTTGCAAGAGCGGGTGCCAGCACGGCACATAGAAAGTGCACAACAGTCATCGTGTTTACATTTGGCCGACCACCTCTTTGCTGCAATATGAAGAATCCAGCTCTAAGTATTAGACTATTAAGTAATTAAGCGTAGAATAGAAAGCTGAAGGTAGGATGTAAAGGCGCGGAGTGTAAAGCTCACGAAGATCGCTACGCAATCCGGTGCTATAAGAAGCTCCCAGCGCTCGCGGCTGAGCAAAAGCTCAAGCTCCCTAGCACAAGAGGCAGGGTAAGCTTAAGCTCCCTGGCTATGATCCGACTATGACCCTAGCGATCCAATCCCATCTTGTGTCGTTTTGGTGCGTCGTTAAGTCATGCGGGTAATCCAATGTTGTCCAACTATATACCCCGAACTTACTCATCTCACCCAATCATACCTCAAAGATTGCGCCCTGTACTGCAGAGCTTAGAATGCAACCACTGATTAGGCTTGAGGTCGAGTACACGGCCACGAAGTAGGTCAGAAAGTGAGCCATGGCTGCGCCGCTTTTGGTATGGTGGGCTGTAGGGTGATAGGTTGGGCGTGCATGTGGCTTGCCGAATTGTCGTAAATATAGCCCAACTGAGCTCGTTCGGCGAGCGATGCACATTGTCGATGCAGTCATCCCTTGGTGTTTTCGATCATGTTATTGGGTGTTGAGACTGTCCGAGGACCGACGGCCTGGAGGCGAGGGAGGATGAAACACATCTCCACGATCGCTTTTCCACGTGTGGTGCACTGCCCCATCTGATATCTTGCCGCGGGTAAAGTCGTCTACGACTCTAATATTCTTGCCAAGTTAGCTCTTGGTAATTCGTAGTTGTCTTTGTGTGTACCAACTTAACGTCTGAAGAATATTATACCATCATAAAACCCAAGATCATTCCGTGGCGCGAGGAACATCCTGTCATATTGAATTGGTTGCAAAAGAGTTTGCCACCTTGCATCCTAAGACAACGATGGTCGAGAAAGGTAGTCTGTGGCACGCCTTCCTTATGACATTCTCCAGTAGGTGGGCTCACCTCTCAACTTCGATGCGATCGTCTCAGTTATCCCTTGTTTGCTTCTCGATTTTCAATATCGCCGCCAATTGATAAGTCTAGGAGATGGCGCTTCGGTAATGGTTTATTTGAATTTTTATTGTGATCTGTCGGCTATACGCGTGGATCATTCGACTCTTTCTAGTGCGTACGTACAATAATCCAGCCTAATATGAACGCCAACCCAATGATACAGAGACGACTTGCCTCTGTCCAAGCGTGTAGGATAATGCTTCGTAAATTCCGCCTCTTGCAGGACAAATAGTGTACAGTTCGATGAACAGGGCGGAGGGACTAGTTCCGCTTATGAGGGCCGACGATCTTGGGGTACATTCTCGACAAGTGGTAGTTGATGTTGTTCTTCTTTGGGTTCAAATCGCGCTGTCACAATGGTTAGAGGTCGTTTCGTGTTAAGTTATTGCTGGTAGACATACTGGCGCATCCATGCACTGCCGTAGCTTTTGCTCAAGCTGTGCACAACCTTGAACACTATATCCTGAGGACGCCCAGCATCCTGTAATCACAAGTCAGCCGAGTGGTTTTGCGATACCTCCATGCTATTGCTTCATTTCGCCAGTCCCTCGACCCCCTCTTCTAGCGGTCGTCCCGGCTTCCCAATGCAAAAATCCCGCAGGTCGTCACGTACCCAATACTGATGACATTGCTCCTAAACATGGATTTGCCTCAGGCTTATTCGGTCGTCGGACGCGGAGCTTCGGGAGTGGAGGTAGCGGTCGATGTGTGACCGACTGAACGGCGGCGCCTTGCGGTTTTGGTACCATCTCGAGATGTGCGCTCGGAGGATTGGTTAATATGGCGATGTACTGCGACGACTATCTAGCGGACGGCTGGCGTGTGCGGTTGTATTGTCCATCGCCATGAGGCCATCCTTCAAAAGTTTCCCGCGGCGGAATCTCGGAGCGGTTTAGCGTGCTTTCATCAACATGATCCCTGCTTTGTTTACGATCGTGATTGCCTAACGACGGACCATCCACGCACACCCATCCCCTACCACTGGAGCGCAGGCGTTGGAGTTCGGAGCTCATGTTCATACGGCGTTAATATACTTACCTGCAGCATTATTCGATCGTCGCCCGCCATGGTGCTCTCGCCACGCAATCGCGCGCCGCCCACAACAATACCTACATTCAACCAAACATGGGACGACAACGGCGCTGCCTACCTCGATCCCAACTCTCTACCCGTCTCCAAGATCCCCCGAGGCTGGGAGCGCAAGCAGGAGGTCAAGAGACTGGGTGAAGGCAAAGAGAGAAAAATATGGCGCAAGTTCGGTCTCAGGTCGCGTGCAACGAACACAACGGAGGAGGAGGACGAGGAGGAACAGCAAGATTCGCAGTCAAGAGCAGTGAAGAAGCTGCAACGTATGAGCCCGAAAGCTATGGAGAAGACCACTACTGGACTTAATGGCAAGAAGCGCACGTTCAAGGCAACCCGCTGGGACCGAAGGAAGAGTGTTTTGCCTAGTAAGCCCTTCGTTCGATAAACGATGTCGCAACTAACTAACATGATATGTAGGGAAAAAGTCCGCGCCTGTCGAGGAAGTTTTGGTTGATACAGAGGTGGAAAACGACATACACATCCAAGATAGAGACGATAGCCATTTAGAGCTAGAAGTCACTGGTGATCAGCTTGTAAAACCTGCTCAGAGTTTGCTACCAGAAGTCAACGATCAGAGATCCACTTTTACTTTTACTATAGACGCGCCAACGGTCGACGGCCTCCCTGACTACGAAAGTTTGAGCGGGCTAGAGGATACTGGTCAGACAATCGACCTTGCTCCTACAGAGGATACAACACTTACCAACCTGTTCCGCTCACCTGCCAAGTCAATGCGATTCCGAGCATCGCCAGGGAGTATCGAATATCCTGAGCTACCTTGTAGCGATAACGAAGAGACGGAATTAGAGACTCATATCGAGCCAAACGGCATAGCTGAAGAGATGGAAGAGGCGATTGAGAGTAGTACTGCTGAAGAAGCATCTTTCAAAGCGGAAAGGCACGAGAATCATACCAGTGAGCTTTGGGAGGCGGTCGGAGCGGACGAGGAAGTCACCCACAGTTCTTTAGAAATACTGGCAGTTCCAGTTGAGTTTGCCTACCCACACCTACCAGTGGAAACCCAAGAAACCATAACGCCACCTACTTTCGAAGAGAGTCGAGGTGATAGTGATTTCGCCGAGACATCAGGAACTACGCTAGAGTCCCATTTAGCAGGCGAGGAACTGCAATTCGACGACACAGGCGAAGTCTTATTGAACTCGCCCAAAGGACAAGATTCTGAAGAAGAACTCACGGAAGCCTCCATTCAGTTGAGTATCCAACGTGAGTACGAAGAGGTACACCAAGAAGAGCGAATCGCACCAATCGGGGTCGACAAGGATAGCCAGGCGGAGCAGACGGCACCTGAGATGGACGTTATTATGGGTGATGAGCTTGGGTCTGTGGAGGAGGTTGTTGAGGACTCAAAAGAGTCTGAAGCTCTCCAGGATTCCTCGTCGCCTCCTAAGGCCCATGAAGAATTCCAGCCTGAGGTGGCTCCTACTCCTCAAAAGCGAGGCTCTGTTGAAGCACCAATGGATGACATCGCGGACGGGCTTACCTTGTCGTTCACATCTGCAAAGACGCCATCAGCCGATCCAACACCACGAAAACTACACTCTCCCCCACCACCACCCCGGACTGAATCTGGCCCAGAGGATGTAACTATGACTGTCGCCATAGATGATGATACTGCTATTCTAAAGGACTTCCTCAACCGGGCTGCTGCAAGCAAAGCAGAGAAAGCCGTCACCGTCACCCATCGACGGGAATCACTACAGAACCGACGCGACTCCGATGTCATCCGTCACGCTTTGGCATCACCTCGTAAAGTTCTGGAAGACAAGGATCCAAATTCGCCGTCAAAGTACGACAATGAGCCGACTCTGGACCTTTCGCAAACCCTCACGCTTAGTATGCCTACTGATGTTATGGTGTCTCCGATTCCCGAGCATGCAGATGCTGAAGGCCCATCTAATGAGAAATCACTACGCGGTTCGAGGCGTTCATCCAGAACAAAGAAGTCAAGACTGCCTGCTCCAGCATCAGTAGCGCAGACACAGGCCTCGAAGATTGCCATTCGCCGCGCCGATGGCAATGAAGTCGTCGTGCTCAAGAAGAGCGATACACAAGAGGTAGCTACGATGACTCGAGCCAACACACGTAAGAATAAACAAGGAGCTTTTGGAGTCACTGTACGCTTACTCAAGCTTGCCCTGGACGCTGTGAGTCTACCTCCAGTCGACGATTCAACAAAAGAGTTGATAGTCGGAAAGAATGTGCGTTGGGACGAGCAGCTTGCGTACTACCAAGAGAATCCAGAGACGGTTGCGAATCTTCTTGCCGAGGCCGAGTCTCTCGCCACGCCGGATGAGCTTAGCATATCTGACCCTTCATCAACACCTACAGCGAAGAAAAGGACTACGAAGAACTCAACGCCTAAGAGTCGCAGGGTCCGAGGCCTAGGTACCGCGAACGGTACACCGGGTAGAGGGCTCCTTGCGCCAGCATCGTTGCTCCCAGATGCGGTGCAAGAAGAGAAAGAAGCATCACAGGCACCGGCTCAGCAGCTCCCGAAACCAAGGGCTAATAAGACTAAGAAGATGCCCGTTGCCTCCACTTCGATTGATAGTGGCCTTTCCTCTAATCCATCGGACACTAAGCTACCGGCACTAGACATCGTGCCTGTCGGTATCGTGTCTGCGACGCAGCGTAAGAGTCGTCTCGCTGCACCTAAGAAGGTTATGCTACCGCAACCGATTTCTGCAATATCTAGTGAAGGCAAAGAGAACACACAACGGCCGGGCATCGGCGATGCGACACCTCGGAAGGGAATTCCCGCACCAAAGGTTATTGTGCCGCCGACTGCGGGTATGGAGTCTGGAATGCCTAGAAGACGAGGTCGGAAGTACTAGAACGCGAGCTAGTTCGATGATTTTCAAGGGTTGGATTACGTTGCTTGATGATGCTGTTTCAGATCTAGGAGTTCTATACCTTCTCTTTTTGCATGTAGGGCGCGTTCAGCGATGACTTTTTTGGGCGCAGCAGCTTAGTTTAGCATGGCCATGGTTTTCCTATCGGCATAATAAGATATTGCATAACTTACTTCCATGGTACTTGATACTGATGACGCAACAAGCGAAGCAGTATGTTACATGTAGGGCTATTACCCCGACACAGGTGAAAGCCCGGACATATACTGTCGTGACGCCATACTAGAACATAACCCTTCACTTTCCGTTTCGCCTAATTATGTTCTCATTGCATATGCACGTACCCGTACACCGCCCCCACCTCTACCTACAAAGTCCCCCAACCTGCTTGTCCACTTGTTCAATTGTCCACTCAGATAGACCTTCGTCAAAATGACTAAAACTGTTCAACTCCACTGTCCCTCGAGCAAAAAGACAGTGGACAACTTCGTCATATCTCCCTTCCAGATGCACGAGCAAGTTCGTAAGTAAATATGATGGACGAATTGAATGTGAGACGTATACTCACTCCGTATCTCAACTTTTAGTCCAGGGTATCCGTTTGCGTCTCGGTATCAACCACGCCGCTCTCTACACCGTCGATGCAAAACACATCACCAACCTAGAATCACTGCAAGACGATCAGCGCATACTAGTAGCTGCAACGCCTTCGGAACACATGTTGCCTGATGCGCCTCCCGACTTTGTACTGTATGATGGGGAGGAGGGTGAGGATGTAAATCCAGAAATCGATGGTTTCGGACAGCCATGGGAGGACCTCACTGAGCGCGAGAAGTGCGACCACATCCAGAGCGTGGTTGAGCAGAAGCCAACGACGAGGAACAAGCTACGCATCACCCGACCTTATCAATCTGTACAAGCCGACTTGACAGTTCTGCACAATGTAGCGCCTGCTGAAGCCGAGGTGAACATCGATCAGCGTTGGCGCACGACTGTCGAGCACTTCCTCCCGGACGCGCTCAAGCCCAACAAAATGAAGATCTCTGGCAAATTCTGGGACGAGCAGGCTCTTGCCGCCTTGGCCCTACTAAGCAGCTTTACCCACGGCCAATCCGAACTTGCGCGAGAGTTTCTAGAGGAGGCTGTCGCCATGCGAGCAGAGGAGTCCGATGGTGACGAAAAGTCCCCAGTTGTCCGGAGCCAGGATGTCCTTGACGCTATCACGATCATATACGAGCGAGCTGGTGTGATCCCTGCCAAGTTGACGAAGCACAAGAGTGCGAAGACGAGGGAGAAGGAGCGACGGAAAGCACTCAAGGGGCGGAAGAAGGCAGAGGCCAAAGACAAGGTGGCTGGAGTTCATTCCTAGAATGCTGCTCACGAAGGATTTCTTATAGAACTCTATGGGTTTTCGAGTAGGGTGGTATTGGCGTTGGCGATCGGCTTCACTACCTGGCCATGAGAGGCTATGCATTACCCCATGTATACCCGCACTCTATTAAGTTAGCTGCGACGACGTTCCTATATGATATGTGCGGATGGCTCTTCTCTACACTTCCTTTTGATGGCGAATACTGCGACCTTGATGAAAACAAAATTGCCCCACAAAAGCAATATGGGAATGGAGATATCGTTTGATTAACTATTGGAAAGTTGTGTAACAAACAAGGTACTTAAATCTTGTTGCGTCGTAACATCCCGAGCAGCGGATAGGTGAACTAGAAGCCGCTGGCTCGATGCATGTTTGGAGCTTGGTTACCGAAGCTATGAGTTCCATCCTCATCCTCTTGCGGCGAGTGGGAGTAGGTAGTACATCAGAAACATGCCCTCGAGGCAAGTCGATATGCTCTAGCAAGACATACGTGATGGGTTAGACAACGGTTTTAAGGACATGTTTGGTCATTTTTTTGCTTGTCAACATCTATCCAAACTCATGCATACCTTCCGGCATCAATCCATCATATGGAACAGTAGGCTTGTCGGTGCTGCGGCTCACGCAAGCTTTGCTCTTTTTACAAAGGGATTCGAATGTTTAGGAGCAGCCGCAGTGAAGTCGAATTGGAGCTAGCTAGTCACGTACTCGCAGTTTAATTGGATCCTCGGACTTTTGTTTGCTATGCGCCAGGGAAAGAGAATATAGCGAAGGGCGTGCTTTGCCTAGGGACGACCAAGGCGGACGTGGCGGATCTCCAGTGCACGCTAAAGCCTCACACGTGAGTAGGCGGAGCAAAGCGCACAGACGCAGCGGATCGACTTGATGCGTTTTCCCTCAAGACAAATACAATACATCTCCGATGACTCTAAAGGTGTTCCGGGGCGATTTGGTGTTTTCTGCGCAGTCTTAGTGTTTGTCCGCCTCAACTGGCCATCACACCCGGCCATAAAGCTGACCTGTCCCATCGAGACACGTAAGCCTGGCAGCGCGCTTGGTCAACATGTTAGCAGACAGCAAGATAGACTCGCTCGACACGCACCTGGAGCAGTTTAAGCTCAATGAGCAGAACAGAGAGAACGATCTACATGTTGAGCAAGCTTACTTCCTGCGCTGGAATGATACTAACCGCAGCCAGAATATCCTAAAAGAATATGGCCAGCTATTGAACGACTATAAATTGTTGAAGAAGGCTTTCGAGGAGAAGGGAACGAAGGCGACGGCTAAAGCCACTACGATAGCACCCGCACAGAAGGCTCCGAATCCATATGTCCTCGTGCTTGTTGACGGCAACGGTTACATCGTACATTCTCCAATCAGTCCCTCAAGCCTATTGCTGACCTTTACAGTTTAATGATGAGTTGATCCGCGAGAAAGAAGAAGGTGGTATGCGTGCCGCCCGGATGCTGAATGACGCAGTAGAAAAGTATCTACATCAAAACGTCCCCGAAGCCAAAACTTCACGCGTAGTTGTTCGTATATACGCGGACCTTACGAATTTGTCGAAACAGCTAGCAAAGTCGAAAGTAACAGGGCTAGAGAAGCGTTCAATTGCGCCATTCTCCGCTGCCTTTACACGCGCTATTAGCCTTTTCGACTTTGTCGATGCTCTGGATGAAGAGGGTACCAAGTTTAAGATTCGAGGTATGTTTGGACTCGTCTCTGTGAGCCTCAAGAGAGCATGATTCTGATACGAACACAGAACAGTTAAAGCTCGCGTCCGAGGATAACGCTTGCAGCCACATCTTGTATGCTGCGTGCCATGATAGTGCCTATCTATCTCAACTCGTCCCTCTAAGAGGCGCACGCGACAAGGTCACACTTGTTCAAGGGGCTGGTTGGAACTCCGAGTTCCATCAATTCAACTTGAATGTCACACAGTTTCCAACGATCTTTCGATGGTCTGAACTACCGGCCACCACACCTAACACAAAGACACCAACATCCAACGGGTCTGCAGGTCCCAAACCTAATGGAGCGCAAAAGGCTACCGCACCGTTCATAGCACAAGGTCCTCGTCAATATGACTACTGGCGAAGCGGCACCATGAGTCCTGGAGACCCCATTATCGAAGTCGACCGGACGTCCTCGATAGATACCAATGGTTTTGGGGGTGGGAATGGAGTGAGTTTGGGGAATAAGGCAGCTAAAAACCAAAAGCCTTCACAAACGCCGTGCAGGTACTTCCAAAAAGTATGTTATTGAAGTGCTCCTCGCATCTTTTGGTACTCTACTAATGTCATTAGGGCTTTTGTCATTTCGGACAAAAGTGCAAGTACCAGCACATTCCCAGTGGCCAAAGCAACCTGAATGGGTCCGCAAAGCCTTCGCAGAGTCTGACCATGGATCGTTCCAACATAACCGCTCATCTGCCTACCACCACCATACCAGGCTTCATCGCCCTGAATAAAGACGGTCAACGCCTAGACACATACATCCGACCGCCCACCCAGGAAGAATGGAAAGTCTACAACACCCGCTTCGCCAAGCAAAAGCCTTGTAACAGTTTCCACCTCCAGCGCATCTGCACCACCTTCGGATGCCCCTTCGACCACAACGAACTAGAGCCTGAGTCGCGACATGTCCTCGAGTACGTGTTAACGTGCAATCCGTGTCCGCAGCGGAGCGCCTGTAGAACATCAGACTGCTTCTATGGACACATTTGCCAGAAAGACGACTGCGCGGGCCAGATGAAGGGATGTAGGATGAAGACTGATCTTCATAGTGTGGATCCGAAGGTGGCGAGCATGGTGCCGGCTGAGGATGAGCTGGAACATGATGAACCCTTGGTGGATATGCCGGATGAGAATAACTTCCTGTGGTAGACCGTCCCTGCGGCTACTGTCTGTTAGCTCGGATTAAGGTCGAAAGTAACTCAGTGGGCGAGTGTTTGATGTGAGGATATTTGGCAACATCTACAAATTGGTAATAGGGCTGTGCGAGAATTTAGAGATGCTAAGCTGAGACAAAAGCCAAGCGCATCTTCAAGCCAGGTATCCTTTCAATCTAGTTTTCATATTTCGAAAATCGCACTCTTGACACTTTTTGCTGGAGAAAATGTTGAGCAAGCATCTTACTCTGTGTACCTGCGACCTCCCCAACTATCCCGTCTTACTGTAATCCAATACCTCAATCTCAACACCTTCCTTGAACTCAGCCTCCAACAGCTCCTCCCCACCTTCCTTCGTAGGCCGACACACGTACCCCGCAATCCCCACACTCCAGCCCTCTTCATCCGCAAAAATCCAATTAATCTCTCGTAGCGGGCGCCTCTCAATCTCCTTGCCCTCCGCATCCCTCACAATCCAGTAGATCCATAGACTCTTGCCAAGCGCGTCTTTTTCACGGCGCGCCTCAATAGTAGCACTGGGCCTACTGCTATTATCGGTGAACTCAGGCATGGGAGTCAACGACCAGTCCGCCCAAGCATCACAGCCTACTGTCGCGACATAAGGTTTGCCATAGTAGAACTCAATACCAGTCTTGATCCATTTCGTTTGGTTGTCTGGGACGCCTGGCTTGGTGATGTGCAGGAGGAGACCTGCTTGGTCATATTGGCGTAACTTGTCTGCTGGAGGGAGGGCGAAGGTTAATTTCGCCCTTTGGAAGACTTTCAGGTCGTAGGTGGGGAGTTGAGACGGGTGAGTGGGTGCGTTGAAGGCGTTGTGAGATGGAGCTTTGCGCCAGATGTCTGTTCCCGTTGGGGAAGAGAGGTTGAATGGTTCGATGGTCGTGGTGGCTGTTGCAAAGGTCATGGTGCCTAGATGGATGAGTGTGAGGAGTAGAGACAAAGAGGAGAGGTTGAAGTGATTGATTAGAAACATTGCGGGAAATGGTGTGGTATTTATGCCCGTTGTTGGAGCATGTGTGATGAGCGTGTGCAGTGTTTTGTCAAAGAGCTGTTCGGAAGGACCAACCGGCCTAGGAATAGTCTACTAGACGGCTTGAACGATCTTATAAATAAGTGACTTACGGTACCGCAGATGGCTACTCTGATCCCCTTACGTCGTAGTATGCAGTGATCTCGTGAGAGGACGGAGGAAAGCGGGGTGCAGCTCTTGGCAAAAAAGTGCGAGGTCCTAGCTGTAGGGGTGCGAGTCACGGTAGATATGATGTACTGCTGCAGGTGGATGCTCAGGTAGTACCTTGTGATGAGTACCTGTGGAACCAAAGGTATCGATCTATGGACGTGGAGGTGCATTAGACTGCACTTGCCTGATTGGGCGGTAGAATGCGAGGTCCACTTTGAATGTCGGCCCGACACCGACTCTTCTATTCTTAGCTAAACAGGTTTATGGAAACCAACTAGGAGTGCGCTTTGAATGTCGAATTGTTTGAAATCTAAATAGCTTGATTCGAGATCAAATAGGTGGGGTATACGTAAGCACTACGCAGCTCGTGTATAAATTGGCTAGATTGTCTTGTCATTTCCTGCGTCGTGGCCGTCTGCTTCGCGATTTTAGAATACTCGGGCATAATTGATAAGACGGATGAGCTGATGTTGTACAAGCACGTTAATTCGAGGTATATACAGTGTAATCCTTCTAGTCCTTCTATTTCTTTTGCTCGCCCTCTTTTGGTGGCTCGGGCTTGGGTGTTGGTAGTTTGAACTGCACATTGGTTAGCGACTTCGCGACAACGAGTTTGTTTGCTGAGTAGGCAAGAAACATACATTCTCTGGTTTGAGGTCATCTCCTTCACCGACCTGCTCCCATGCTGATGAGCCGCCACGGAAGTTCCTAAATGCTTGCGTCATCTCTAGAGGTTCAACGACAATGCGTTTCTTCTCTTCGTCATATCGAATCTCCGTGTATCCGGTCATGGGGAAATCTTTTCGCAGAGGATGGCCGTCGAACCCGTAGTCGGTCATGATGCGTCTCAGATCTGGGTGGCCGACGAAAAAGACGCCAAAGAGATCGTATACTTCTCGCTCATACCAGTTGGCTCCGTCATAGAGATCGCACAGACTGGGTACTGGAGTTGCCTCGTCTGCGTAGGTCTTGACCCTCAAGCGGTTGTTATGGCGGATGCTAAGCATGTTGTAGACAACCTCGAAGCGCTGGTCCTTGGTGGGGTAGTCGACGGCTGTAATGTCTGTGATTTGGGTGTATTCGGCAGCAGTGTGATACTTGAGGAAGGTGAAGGTAGGAACGACGCCCGCTGGAGGGATGTAGATGGTCAATTCGTCCTTCCACACCGAGAATCTGCATTCTGATTAGGCCCAGGAACTTTTTTTTTGTAGAATTGACGTACTGCTGGACGTATTTGGGCAGACACGACATGAGATATTGTCCGTATTTGTGCAGCGCCTCGCCCTTGTCTTTATATTTGTCTGCCGGGTTCACGAGGGCTGCTTTGAGCTTGCCTTGATCGTCGCGAGGAGCATACTGCGTGAATGGTCAGCCGTCGGCCTGCTCCTAGAGTGCTCTGCCCTACGCACCCGCATATTTGGCGTCTCGGAGCTCTGTCCCGTAACTTCCTTCGCGCGGAGTGCCGTCGCAGCAAAGGTGCGCACTGCAGCGCGAGGACAGCTCGATGCGCGGGCGACGGTGCCCAATGGGCGGGCGACAGCGAGCCGCATAGCCATTGTGTACGTATGCAAAGTGGGATGCTGCGCGGTGCAGCAGCTAGAGGCGACCTGGGGTGATGATATCGACGACAGCGACGACGTGAAGTTCGCCCTTCGAGCATCCAGTCGCCTGCACGCTTATGTAATTAGCGTGGAAGCGGATCCTTGGTGTTCCATTGCGCAGGTGCAGCCTCTGAAGATTGAACCCCCATCACCACCATTGCATACCTTTCCTACTGTGTGCCCTCACGGCCGGCGTTTGTTTATGCTTGCGAACTTTTCCTAGCCGTCCCACTTCGCATCCCGATCCGACCCCAACCCACGTTGCATACGACCCTTTACGTTGGAGCGCCACCGTCACGTTGCGACCCATCCACAACACTTCACACGCTCCACCATGTCCCGACTACAGCAAGATCAGTTCGTCGATGACGAGGAGGAGGAATGCTGCCCGCTATGTGTCGAAGAGTTCGACCTGTCGGACAGGAACTTCCGGCCGTGTCCATGTGGCTACCAGGTACGCCGGCCTCTCAAAAATTTGGCGACGCCATCGTCAGTAGCTATACTAACACCGACGTCAGATATGCCAGTTCTGCTTCAACAATATCAAGACCACTATGAACGGGCTGTGTCCGGCCTGTCGACGCCCCTACGACGAGGCAACAATCGAGTGGAAAACTATATCCCCCGAAGAGTGGGTCCCTCGCACCTTCCCTTTCTGATCGCCTCTAACGTCCAACAGGATGGCCAAGCACAAGCAGCAAATCGCGCAAAAAGCAAAGAAGAATGCGCAGATACGGCAAAAGGAGGCGCAAAAGGCCGAAGCGGACTCGCTCAGCCGCAAACACCTGGCCGGTCTGCGTGTCGTTCAGAAGAACCTGGTCTACGTCACGGGCCTCACGCCAACCATACGCGAAGACCGCCTGCTCGACACACTCCGTGGTGAGGACTATTTTGGACAATACGGCAAGATTATCAAGATTGTTGTGAGCAAAGCCCGGGAGAACGCGCACCATCAGCAGTCGGTGGGTGTCTACGTAACATTCGCTCGTAAGCACGATGCCGAGGCGTGTATCAAAGCTGTCGACGGCTCGCAGAACGGGGACAGGACATTAAGGTATGTGGACGGTTCTCAGCCTCACTTCTATTCTAGCATGCTTACCCGCCTTGTAGAGCGCAATACGGCACGACCAAGTACTGCTCAGCATATCTTCGTGGCGAGCAATGCAACAATCGTAACTGCATGTTCCTGCACGAACCCGGCGAAGACAACGATAGCTTCACCCGCCAAGATCTCTCCATGATGAATTCGATTCAAACGCAACAGCCCGCTCTATCATCGACATCTCGAGCCGCACCTCCCTCTCATCCTGGTCCACCCGTTGCCGCTGCAACTCCTATGAACCGACAAGACAGCAATGACACCTCGAGCTCGTCGCAAGATGCGCCAGGTTTACCAGCAACCGCGAGCTGGGGAAGCCGGGCAGCGCTGGAGCGTCGTGCGAGCCGCTCAACTATCGCTTCGAATCCCAGTCCGATGGTGACGAATGCCGTTCCTGCACCGGCAGCGAAAACACCAAAAGTTGAGGAGTTGATCAAAAAGAAGGCCAAGGAAAAGGAACAGGAGAAGGAGAAATCTGCGCAAACGTCAAAGTCCCCTACCCCACCGCCCGCTCCCACTCCCGCTCCCATCGCACGCTCTTCCAAACCTCGCGACAATGTTCTCAAGGATTTTCTCAAAGCCATCTGCTCGCCTGACTTTAAGTTTGTTTTCTCTAGCGCGGTTTTGTCAGATGACGAATTCAAGGCCATCACTGAGTTTCCTCAACTGCTGGATCCTAACGGTGGGGCAAAACGACGTGCTATGAGAGAGAAGGAAAGAGAGTTGGCGCTACAGCGGGAGGTCGAGGCCGCCGAGGCCGAGGCGAAAATTCCCTCCCAACAAGCACCAGCTGCTGAGCGGGAAGATGTTGACGAAACCGTCGGGGGTAGCTTACAGCTTGGCGGAGAGCCAGAGGAGGGACACGGCGGCAGTACGAGCCATGCAAACCACCATACAATCGCCCCACCCAGCCAGCAAGCCTTCGGAGGCAACTTGTTCGGGCAGAATCCCTCGTTGGCTGAGGATTTTAGCAGTCTTGGTCTAAGCAATCGGGGCCTGACGCCACAGCAGCAGCAGCAGCTTCTACTTTCCAACTTCAAGTCGGGCACTCAATCCACCGGACTGCAACCCAACACGCAACCTCAGCAGCAGGGGCTGAGCGGAAATGCCCAAGGCCACACTAGACACACTTCTCGATTCAGCTTTGCCAACGACAGCGCGTCTGCTTCTGCAAATGTACAACCTGTTGCGAATCAGAAGTTGATGAGTCAACAGAACTCAATGATGCCGAAGAACGCAAACCAATTCAGCCAAATTCCTCAGCACCAACAGTTCTTCACTAATGTGCAAGGACCGCCTCCTGGGCTGAAGCCCACCGGCACCCCACCTGTCAGCGGGACTGGCATGTTCGGTCAAGGTCACGGATTTGCTACTGGCGGTCTCGCTTATGGCGCGAACGCTGCTGGAAGGAACAACAATGATGCAATGTATCAAGACTTGCTCCGAAGCAGGAACATGGACGGTGCCAGGGTAGCGGATGCTGGAAAGCGTGAGTCAATGTTTCCTTCTTTTCTTAATCAACACTCCACAAGCTCTACGCCTACACCTGCCCCTGGTCTTTTAAGCTTCCCTTATGGCCCTTCGCCTGGCGCTTACCAGGAATCTGGTTCGCAGAAATCCAAGAAAAAGGGAAAGAAACACAGACACGCTAACACTTCCTCTTCTGGAGGAGGTGGTCTAGCTGATGTCCAGGACCCGAGTATCTTGCAGGCGAGGTTGCACCAAGGTGGCATGGCCGGGCAGGGTTTGTACGGCCAAGGCCAGAGTGGGTTTTCCTCTCTATATGCAAACAACAACTACGGCGGCGCTGGGCGATGGTAGTCGTTTTCTCCTTCTCCTACATATCTGTCGACCACCTGGTCAGATGCCTTGTCTTAGTAACTCTCTGTTCGACGATGGCTGCATGGCGTTTGGGTTTCACAATGAACGCATCGGCAAAATATCCGTGCTCCGACACGGATATGCCTGGCGTTTCTGAATCGGTTTGGTCCCGTCACACTTTGCTGGCTTTGGCATGTCTTCACGGCACTTCAGTACCTCCATATCTCTTTTCTGCTTTGTCATGCTTTGGTGGATCACACTGTCTTGTCGGATGTCTAGGACAGCCTCTCTCGTCGTCTTCGTCATGGCCATCGCATGTACGTAACTTCCCCTTCCTGCCGCGTTCAAGTCGGCATGCTTACTTTCTAATAGAGAGATGGCTTCTTCATTATCCCTCTGCCTCCTTCAAGTGACGAAGATACTCGAGAGAAACACTTCTGCAGCCTGATGTACCTAATTTGCTTGCCGGCGTTATCATATTTGACCATCGACTGGTGGCCGCTGTAGTCGTTGACCGCACCTTGCAGACACCTTTGATGTAAAATTATGCGAGAAAATGAGTAGCATGCTGACAGTCATATATAGAGGACATCACACTCAGCGCTGAAGAGCAAGCTTCATTCAACGTTGACGCGCTAGTGAACGACAGCGAGAACGAGCCAATTCGCAACACGCCGACCACCCCACTGAGTGCCCAATTCTTTGAACATCCTCGACGAGCTACTCCAGCCATACCACCCGGTTTCACTGCCTCAGCTATACCCCGAGCAGTGGTTGGGGAGTCATTTTCTCGCCCAGGCTCTCGACCGATGTCTCGAACCGCCTCCGCAACCATCACACCCGCTGTGCCTGTTATACCCGTTACGCCAATTCGAGCTGCGACGCCCATCAGGACGAAGACAGGCAAACCGAAGGCCGATACCGTCGAGTGTGCCACGCCAGTAGAAGCCCCTGCAGCAAGGCCGCACCCCGAAACTCCCACAAAATCTACAACTAAAGTAACAGTTGCGAAGCCACATGCCTCCAGCGAAGCTATTAGGGAGGCCAAAGAAGATGGCATTGTACAAACGAAACAAAAGCAAGGGGACAAGAAGGTATCGCCTGAGGTAGCTGTAAAAGACACATTGAAAAGCAAGACTCCCAGTAAAAGGAACAAAGTTGCTGCTGAAGTCAGTCCCAAGAAAGAACCACAGAGAGAGATCAAGGTTTCACCTATCCCTGCTGCGAACCCTGCTTCGAGTAAACGACAGCCCCCAGGAAAACTTGACATCACAGCTGCCACCAAGATGCCTGAGGATGAGCAGTCCGCACCCGCAAGCTCTCTCAAAGGGGATACTCAGACGAAAGGTGTTCGCTCGCTCCCTACGGCGTCCACCAACTCTGTACCACCAAGTCCTGCCGCTGTCGTCACTGGATCTCCTCTCAAGCGTTCAATTGCGCCAAGGACTCTGCGTGTCATCCCAACACCGAAGACTGAAGTCCCACCGCCTTTGTCTGCGGCGTCCGCGCCATCATTGCCCCACATACCGACCGTAGATAAACTCAGATCAAGACAAGCCAGCATCGCGTCAATCACTCAGCCTGGAACACCAGGAAGTGAATTGATCTCGGATACTGCCTCTATCACTTCAACCTCCTTTTCAAGGGCTAGCTCTCCCCCACCTATTGGCGGCAAAGTCGGCACAGCCCCAGTTAGGAACAAAACAAAGTCGCAAGCAAAGAAGGATAGGCAGGAGCGAAAGCGGCAGATTGAAGAGGAGCAATCCATGATGGAGGATGGAAAATCCGACGTTGAAGTTGTTCAAGCCCCAATCATCGGACGCAAGAAGAAGGCCAAAAAGCCTGCAACTGCCCCCAAGCCAATAGCAGCCGCATTCAAAAGTCAACCGGCTTCCCCAAAGCCCGCTACGGTCGAAGAAGAGCATTCTGAAGCACCCGTGGCGTCATCGAGGAAAGTATTGTCTACAAAGGCTTTAGCGAGAGCAACACCAGAGCCAGAACCGGAGCACACTCCTGAACACCCCAAGGACCACCGCGAACATACGGCGCAGTCTATCATGGCCGATCTTCAGAAAACGGGCGAGCTACTTGCGTCTACTCTCGAGTTTTTCAAGCCGCTGTCTTCGTCTCTTACTCACACGTCTCGGACTGCTCAAACGATGAACGCTTCAGCTCCTCCAGATCTCAAGATACATATCTCCGAAGCAGATCTCGAAGCCCTTGCGAAGAAGAAGCCTGTGCGTCTTAACGGCCACGATGGAAAACATGAGTCGCGGACGTTGATCACGCCAAACGGCAAGTTCTTTTGGGGCCTGAACGACGAGCTAGAGCAAAAGGCTCTCGACTTGGAAAAGCAGATTGAAGAACTCAAGGGGCACGCTCGTTTCCATCCTCGGAAGCAGGCTACACATGAACACAATCACAACATCAGTGCGCAAACACAATCTAAGGATGTCCTTCCCGCTATCGCTACAGCCCTTAAGGAAGCAGGGAAGAAACTCAACACTAACACTAGCCAACAAATGCCTAAGCTCGACCCTTCATCCGGGCTCCTCGGTTCAGCAGCCCTCCCACTTCCCCCTGTCCCAGCTTCAGAAGTGTCAGCATCACAGCCCCCGCCTCCACCACAGGAGACTCCTGCCGACGCAGGCCGATATCTCAACCAGTTCGTTCTTCCCAAGACAGACAATCCCCCGCCCAATCAACCGAGACCTGAGATGGCAGCCGTTGGTGGCCGGCCAGGCGCAGGAACAGCGAACATCTCCGTCAACGCGAACAAATTCGCCAAAGCAGCCAAAGCTGTCGTCGAAGGTGGCGCCGTCGGCAGCACTGAGATTGATGGCATGGGTATCATGGCCGCCGACCTTTTGGGCGGTGTGTTTGTTCAAGGTCTCGAAGCGCTTGTGGGCGCTGGTCTCAGCTTCCAACCCAGTCAAGAATTTGGTCTTGACGGGAATGGTAATATTGCGCTCGGAGAACGAAGCGGAGAACTAGATGTGCAAGATGTGCAGCGTCTGATGAACGCCATCGAGACTACAGGTGGTATGGGTAACATGGCGATGGGAGGGTATGGTGGGGAGGGAAGGAGAGGGAGGGGTAGTGTGCTCAGTATGGAAGAAGCGGAGCAGGCGATGCATGCTGCAAGGAAGGAACACGATGTGTTAGAGAAGAAACTAGCCACGCTTATGAAGAAAAACAAGAAGCTGGCTACTGGGGCTGCGAGGGGATAATGGCTAGTACAGGGCGATTGATGGATGTATAATTCTGCCCTGTTGCGAATACCCATTGTAGAAAGAGAGTATAGTCAGATAGTCATGAAGACGAGTTTCTGGATCAATACCCTTGCCTTGCTTTCAGCGGTCAGTATGTGTTGTGGCAGTGCCTCGCTATATTAAATACCATCTAGATGACCCTTCAAGACCAAACGACTATTCGTATTGCCTTGAAGCTGTCCATATTCATGAGATGCATACCTTCCTTTACGCTGTAGACTATATTTCTACGCGTATTCCAGCTCGTGACTGTGAGAGAGAATATTAGTGGGCATCAAATCGGTCCCAGGTGTCATTTCAAGGGATCAGAAACGCTCTTTGTAGGCGAAACTATCTGAATCCTCTCGTCGTATTCAGCCATGGATGGCGCATTGTGTTGAGACAACAGGGATGAAGAGCCGGTAGTTTTCAATGCACATGACGATGCGCCAGCCAAGCCTTCCACACCGCCCTACTAACGATTTCAAGGGTCCACCAGCTGTCCCTTTCGGAGGCCAGATTCGCAATTGCTCTCTTTACACCCTCTTGCTCTTCTGACGACTCCCTTCAAGCATTCTACTCACAAGAGCCTGCCGCACACACTCGAAAACGCCACAATGAGTCTACAACCGCCCTCCCTCGCTGTGCGGTCCAAGTCACAGTCTGGCGGCGCTACCAAAGCCGTTATTCTGGTAATTACTTCGAGAAACTGTACGACGCAATGCATACTCATTACACCAATAGGTCGGCGGACCGTCCCGAGGCACCAGATTCAGGCCTCTGTCTATGGAACTGCCCAAGGTATGCCACTATACAAATTACATGGCCCGCCCACGCCCCGCTAACACCACAACAGCCGCTCTTCCCTGTCGCAGGTCACCCAATAATCGAGCATTGCTTCCGCGCTATCACCAACGTTCCCGAGGTCAAGGAAGTCTTCATCGTGGGCTACTATGAGGAATCTGTCTTCCAGCCCTTCATCAACTCGGTCTCGAACAGCTTCCCACACCTGAGCGTCAAATACCTCCGCGAATACCAAGCCCTCGGCACCGCGGGAGGTCTATATCACTTCCGCGACGTTATATTGAAGGGCAAGCCCGACAAGCTCTTTGTCTTGAATGCAGATGTCTGCTCGTCATTCCCGCTGGTGGAGATGCTTAAGCTGTTCGAGGACAAGGATGCGGAGGCGGTGATGCTGGGTACGAGGGTCGCCAATGACGCAGCCACAAACTTTGGTTGCATTGTCTCGGATGCGCATACGAAGCGCGTGCTGCATTACGTTGAGAAACCCGAGTCGCAAATCTCCAACCTCATCAACTGCGGCGTGTACCTCTTTGCGACAGACTGCATCTTCCCGGCCATCCGCAGCGCCATCAAGCGACGCACTGAACGCCCGCGGCTGCTGTCTTACCCGTCCTCGGAGAACCTCGAGTCCTCTTTCTATCAGGCCGATGATGATGATGACAACAAGGAGAATGCTGCCATTCGCTTGGAGCAGGATGTGCTGTCAGACGTTGCAGACAGCAGGCAGTTCTTCGTTCTCGAGACGAAGGACTTTTGGCGTCAGATCAAGACTGCTGGTTCAGCCGTACCCGCAAACGCCTTGTATCTGTTGAAGGCCTTCCAGTCAGGGTCTCCGGAGCTTGCTGCTCCCTCCGCAAACATTCTACCGCCCGTCTATATTCACCCCTCTGCGCAGATCGACCCGACAGCGAAGATTGGTCCCAATGTTTCGATCGGTCCTCGTGTCGTAATCGGAGCTGGTGTTCGCGTCAAGGAGTCTATCGTTCTCGAGGACTCTGAAATCAAGCACGACGCGTGTGTGTTGTACACTATCGTCGGCTGGCACAGTAAGATTGGCGCTTGGGCTCGTGTTGAAGGTACACCGACGCCTGTCACCAGCCACACCACCAGCATCATCAAGAACGGCGTAAAGGTTCAGTCTATCACGATCCTAGGTAAGGAGTGCGCTGTCGCCGACGAGGTACGCGTCCAGAACTGTGTCTGCTTGCCGTACAAGGAGTTGAAGAGGGTAAGTTTATCTCCATTCGAACGTGAGACTTTACTAATGCAATTGCAGGACGTTTCGAACGAAGTCATCATGTAGTAGGGTATAGCATTGGGTAGCATTTGGGTAAGTTATGAGTATTCATGGAACAACGAGTAAATGTCGGGGTTTTCTGGGTATTTACAATGCATGAGGTCAAAGAATGTGGCACGGTTACTGGATAGAAATTTATACCACCACATATGGAAGATTTACGGTCAAAAGTCTTCACGTTGGCAAATTGATCGTGGTATTTCGTTCCTGTGCGATGATGCTTGATATCTTGAACTCCGCTTTCCAGGTCTCGAGGCCTCGGATAGCCGCGTCTAGTCTCGATAAGGTAGCGCCACCCGAACCCTCTCAACTCCACTGATGAGTTCCATTTCTGCACTCTGATCTGAACCCATGTGTCAGAAGATAGTTCATTGTGCACATAGCTTTTACTAATACTCAAGTCAACGAACGGCTGCCAACCACATCGCAAACGACTCGTGGTCGACAAACTGTGCCAATACAACATCACCAACACATTAGTGTAGTATTGGTCAAAGAGCAGGGCAGAAAAGGAGGTATCGATAAGGACGCAATATGTCGGATATGGAAGCAGCCTTGAATGCCGCACGAACTCGACAAATAGGTGGTGACAATCTAGGATCAAGTCTCAATCCGACGCCAGACTCTGGGTCAAGATACGACAAGCCCATCGTTGCTGCACAAGAAGACGGCCTACCAATCATTGACATCTCTGCATTTTTGGACCCGTCATCGTCACAGGAAGCACGTCAGACCACGGCCAAAGCCATCAATGCTGCCTGCGTGAACTACGGATTTTTCTACCTCACCGGACATGGCATACCAGTATCCAAGCTTGATGAGATTGTTTCCTTAGCGCGAGACTTTTTTTCACTTCAATTGGAGGAAAAGAACAAGATCAAGCGCTTTGATGCTGGTGGCCCTGAAGGCGGCGATGGGGCCCGGGGATATCAAGGGCTCGGCGAGAACGTCACAGGCGGCCTGCAAGACATGCAAGAAGCGATCGACTGGTACCGGGATTGGGACGAAGACAAGAAAGAGGCGGGAGATGGCGGACCCTGCTCAGTGAAGACGCTACAGGGCTCGAATCTGTGGCCCGAGAAACCGGCAGAGCTCAAAGAGGTGTACTTGGACTACATCGAGCGGGTGAAGAAAGTTGGAGAAGCCCTCGTTCATGCCATGGGTGTAGCCTTGGACCTCGGACCTCCCGCCCGCACCACAGAACAAAACACAGAGGACGAGGAAGTCTTTGTTCGCAACTGCGACACCTCTTTCTGGGTAATGCGCATGATCGGCTACCCACCCCTGACAAATCCCCACACCCCTGGAACAGGCATCGATCAGTTTTCATGCGGTGCTCATACGGACTATGGCTGCGTGACCCTCCTATTAACCGACCCCACGCCCGGCGCTCTACAAGTCCAACTCAAAGACGGCACATGGCTGAACGCAGACCCCATTCCTGGTGCCTTTGTAGTAAACATCGGGGACATGATCGAGCGGTGGACGAACGGGCTGTGGAAGAGTACTATGCACCGCGTCATTCATAGGGGGAACAAGTCCCGGATCTCGGTGCCGTTCTTTTACGAGCCAAATTTCGATGCTGTCGTCAAGCCATTGAAGAAGTGTGTGGAAGAGACGAGTGGGAAGCCTATTCATGAGGGGAGCACGTATGGTGATCATTTGCTCACGAAGGTGTTTAGCAATTTCTATTATAGTAAGCGGACGGATTGGTGAGGATGTACGCGCATTAGATATGGGGGGAATGGGTTGTAGCACTTGAAGAATTGTCTCGGGGATCAAGATAGTGGATCTTTGTACGTGAGCTAATCTTGTTCGAAGACAGTTTGAGACTACCATTTCCCATTCATTTTGAGCTTCTACGAGAACTAATATACCGTATAGATAGTTCAGTAAATGCGTGTGTATAGCACACGAGCGTTGAAGCTGTATCCATATCGTATGATTCCACCTTTCTTAGAGGAGGTATGCTCTGAACCTACAACCATCCACTAAGCCTCAGTCCCAGACTAAGCCTCAGTCCCAGACTCAGTCCCAGCCTCAGCCTCAGCCTCAGCCTTCGCATACAGCTCCCTACCAACCTTGACAATATCCCGGACCTTTACAACCTTACCGCGCCTCGCCTTGACCGCATCAATGACCAGCCCATTGATGATATGGCCTTGCCCAGCAGTCGCATCGCTCAACAACGCAAGCGCAGGCAGCAACTTGCTGTTCCACGACTGCACTGGGCCGTACGGTTTGATCATACCCTGGAACCCAAGGAACTCATCGAGTCCCATGTTCCAGTTCTCCTTGATGATGGCAACGCAAGCGTCAATTGAGCTGGTAGGTTCGGCGGGAGTCGAAGCTAGTGTGTCGCCGGCTAGGATCGTGGCAATGCTAGCAGTCACGACGCTGCCGGGGACAGTGAGGTACGTCTTGTCGCCTGTGACAGATGTCTCCGAGTATAGGAGTGTGGCGACGTGGTCGCGCTTCTGCACGCGAGACAGGGCCTGTAAGGTAATTAGTTATCAGTCAACAAATTCCTAGTTCCGTGAGGGGATTGGTACGTACCGCCCACGCCCGCTTAGCAGCTCCCTCTGTGACTACTAAGACATCATTGTTCGAGTCCGACAGTGGCTTCTCGAAGTAGTCTGTAGCGACGAGAAGCGTCTGGCCATTCTTCAGGATGCTGAAATCGTCGACTGACTCCTGCTGAAGAGTGTACACCCAGATTGGCTGGTCGATGCCGAGTAGTGCACCGATGTGCTGGACACAGTAGTCATAGCCGTTCGAGGTGGTGATGGAGACGTTTGGCAATCCCTTGTCGGCAGAAGGACAGCACAATTTGACTTTCGTGAATGAAGACATCTTATGGTGATTGCGAAAGAGTTGAGAGCTGGAAATTGGAATTGAAGTTGAGATTGACCCAGGGGTGTTTGTGGGATTGAGTTTAGAATGAGCTTGGGGGTTTATGAATGCGCAAGGCGGAGGGCTCGTCGAATTGGCTCGAGGGTGAAAGTGTCCTGTCCGCACCCTTCACTCCGCGCGCTCGTATCTGACCATTCGGAGTGAAAGCAGAAAGGGTCAGCGTCACTTTTGACCGTGACATCTTCCAGGATTGCGCGCCGAGAATGGGCTGCTGAAGGCGTGAAGCACAAGATATTCGAGATGAAACTAAGCGTAGATACTCTGTAGTCTTCAGAATAGCAAGTAAGCTGCATTAATTATTCCATGATGAATCACCCCCAAAGGGTAGAATACAGGGCATATAAACATACTAATACAGTCAAAGTCTACACACAACCATGGCACCAACTCTTCAAGCCGGCTTCACACCCTTATGTATAGCCGCAATACCATTCGTTAAGTCCTCATACCCCTTTCCAGGAACGAGAAATCCAGCGTCCTTGATCATATTGCTGAACTCGGTCTGGCTGGGGAACTTGGCAATGCTCTCTACTAGATACTGATAACTATCTCGATCGCCCGCAACCAACTGGCCAATCAAGGGAATCGCAGCGAAACTCCAGCGCTGGTACACGGCGTCGAAGAGCGGGTTGTTGACTTTGGAGAACTCGAGGCATGCGAAGACGCCGCCGGGCTTGAGGACGCGGTACGCTTCTTTGAGGGCGGCTTCTTTGTGCGTGAAGTTGCGGATGCCAAAGGCGACGGTGTACAGGTCGATGCTGCTATCTGGTATCATGTCCAGCTTCTCTGCGTTCGCCTCGACGAATTTCAGTCTCGGTGACCGCGCGTAGGGGGTTTGTAGTGAGCGCTTCTTGCCCTCGGCAAGCATGTCTGGGTTTATGTCTGCGACTGTGACTCTTGTGTGCGCGTCGTTGTTGATGGTCGAGGCGTGGTCGAGCATGCGGAAGGCGATGTCGCCAGTGCCGCCTGCAATGTCGAGAATGTTCCAGCCTTGCTCGGCGGAGGGAGAGGATGGTGAAGACGTGAGAGGGTTGCGGCCGGGGTTGAGATTGCGCACAAAGTGGTCCTTCCAGAGGCGGTGGATGCCGAGGGACATGAAGTCGTTCATCGAGTCGTACGAGGAGGCGACGGAGGAGAAGACAGCGCCCACTGGTTTCAGTCAATCATTGGAGGACTCTTTTGGGCATTGATGGGGTAAAACATACCTCTCTGCTCCTTCAGCGCCTCAGCAATCGTCTCGAAGCCGAAATGCGTCGTTGATGGTCCATCTTGCGGAGACTTGGGAGGAGGCGGCTGCTGCTGGGCCTGCCTCACCGAGCATGAAAAACACCTATACGGCTCCCTCGCGACCCTCCTCTTGCTCGCCCCCAGCAATTGGCGCCCCAACTGTGTTCTTGATGACTGCATGTTTGCGATGTCTCGAGATGTCGTCTGCGATGATCTCTTGGCACGAACTTTCTCGCGGTTGCGGCGTGGCTCGTGCGGGCCGCTGGCCTGGATTTCCTGGGGTATCACAAGCCGACGCTGGCCGTTGTACCGAGCGGTATTCACTCTCGCCCCGGATTGTCAAATACCGGGGCGCCCGCACAGAAGATGTAGGCTCACAAAATGTCTTTTCGATACACTTCGCGAATACTACGGCTGCAGAGGGGTTTGGGTGTGCAGACAAGCCGCAATGGCTGTAGAGTAGCGACGAACGCGCCTGTATGGCAGCACTGCCGAGCTGTTGCTTCAACAGCGAATGCTGAGAAGTGAGTATCAGATGTTAGGAGTGCCATGGAACTGGAAGTCTAATGGCAAGGACAGAGTGCTCTTCCCTGGTGCGCTGAACAGCGAATTCACAAGTACCCTCGACTTCCTTCAACCGTCCCAGACCCAGGCGATATCAACCTACCGCGTCATGAACCAGTATGGAGAAATCATAGATAAAGACATTGGAGTGGAGACTACAGACGAGGAAGCGTTGGACCTATACAAGAACATGGTCAAATGTAAACAACCCCCAACTATACTAAATCTCCCTAGGAGAAAACAACTGACTCTCTGCAGTAAGCATAATGGACCTCCTAATGTTCGAAGCCCAACGACAAGGTAGACTGAGCTTCTACATGGTCTCCGCCGGCGAAGAAGGCATAGCCATCGGCTCTGCCAGTGCCCTCTCTCCCGCCGATGTCATATTCTGCCAATACCGCGAGACAGGAGTATACATGCAACGCGGCTTCACGCTATCCCAGTTCATGAACCAACTCTTCGCCAACGCCAAAGACCACGGACTGGGTCGAAACATGCCCGTCCACTACGGTTCAAAGGAGCTCAACATCCACACCATCAGTTCAACGCTAGCGACGCAGATACCGCATGCAGCCGGCGCGGCGTATGCGCTGAAGATGCAGAACATGTGGTCGCCAGAAACAGAACCGAGGATAGCAGTGTGTTATTTCGGCGAGGGCGCAGCGAGCGAGGGAGACTTCCATGCCGCCCTGAACATCGCAGCGACGCGCCAAGTACCCTGTATCTTCATCTGCAGAAACAACGGCTACGCTATTTCCACGCCCACGAGCGACCAGTACCGCGGTGACGGCATCGCCTCTCGCGGAGCAGGATACGGCATCGCCACCCTACGCGTCGACGGCAACGACATCTTCGCCGTCCGTCGAGCGACCAAGGAGGCGCGCCGCCTGGCGCTGCACGACGGCGGAAGACCCGTCCTGATCGAAATGATGGCCTACCGCGTCGGCCACCACAGTACCTCTGACGACTCATTTGCATACCGCCAGCGCGTCGAGGTCGAGGACTGGAAACGCCGCGACAATCCCATCACGCGCCTGCGCAAGTGGCTCGAGGACAACGCCCTGTGGGACGAGGACAAAGAAAAAGCATTGCGGAGCGTGACGAGGAAGGAGGTGCTCAGGGCGTTTGAAATAGCCGAAAAGGAGAAGAAACCTAGCATCAAAAACGCGTTTGAGGGCGTGTGGGAAGAGCTCACTGAAGAGCAGAAGATGCATGTCGAGGAGCTCAAGGATATTCTTACGAGGTATCCCAAGGAGTATGACGTTGAGCAGTATGAAGGTGGCATATCAGGACTGGACGAGCTGTTGGCTCAAAAGAAGCAGACGTAGACGGACGCTCTATTTGCGCTCGGAATGATCATGCCTACAATACCCAAACAAAATCTAAATCTTATGAGGTCAATTGCAAATACTGATCACTACTCCCGCTACTGCAAATGTGTCACGATCCGTTTTCGCTCATCACAATGTGCATCATCTCCGCAGCGTTGCACTGTAAAGTCTTTGTATATAAGAGTCTGAGATCTAGGTAGCATCGACCAACCAGTCGGGATCCGCATCCTCATCTTCCGGATCTTCCAAGGGCAGCGAGCCAACGTCCGACGACGAAGAGGAAGGCTGTAATTGCACTGCGATGTCTTCCATGGGGCTTGCTTCCTCTGCAATTCGCTGTTGGAGCGGAGAAGATACTTCTACACCTGCTAAGTCCATATTTGTTGCATGTTTATCATGCTGGAGGGTTTCTCGTCTGTCTCCGGGAATAAAGCCTCCAGGATCATCTGCAGCGCCGTCGATCTGTGTGAAGCCGTCGTTTCGATCCTCTGGTAGAGTGGACGGTCCCGCTTCCGTAGCAGATGCTTCGCGAAGGAAACCACCACCACCACCTTCGTCGTCGTCATCATCTGACGAGTAGACCTCGCCAAAACTGCTCCTACGCCGAGGTCGAAGCTGTTGCGAGTCTAAAATTGAGCTTTCAAAGCTGTGCTGTCGGTTCAGACTCAGAGCGCCCAAATGGCCAACTTCGTCTGGGACGAAGCCGCCGCTCCCATCGTTAAAATCAGTATCCGGCAAGAACCCACCGTTGCCATAGTCCTGCTGTGGAGGCTCATAGCCTCGTGACGGTTCTGCATCTGCAAAGTCGTCTTCGTCTGGAAAGAAGCCGCCAGCCATCTCCTTCTCAACCAGACTCTTGTCCTCCCTATTAATTGCATCTTGCACATCGATGACCGGGCCTTTCTCGCCATCAATCACAATCGCATTGACGCGCTGTGCGATGCGGAGACCCAGGAAGAAGCGTCTCCATAGACGAAGAGATTCTGACCTACGCGCCGCGACTTCCGCCGCCTCTTGTTGATATTCCATTCCGCCGATTACTGCTTGCACAGCATCTGCGTATTCTGAAGCCACCACGACACCCTGAACTATCGCCGTGCCATGTCGACCTTTGAAGGAGAAGCCTGTAACGGCATCCGCGAAGTCGACGCCGACAATGCGCGCGGCTTTTGATGCCAGTTTGTGCCGTATGTGCGTACCGCCTGGTGGACACATGGACGGGACGTAGAGATCGAGGTTACCGTACACATTGCGAGGTACTCGGCCTTTAGTGACAGGAGGTGGCACATAGAGCTCGGTTTGAAACTCTGCGTAAAGCCCGGCACCCGCTTCGTCTGTTTGCTCGTCGACATCCATATCAGGTCCAATAGAAGGTCGCCTTGCACCCTTCTTAGGCTTTGCATGTTTGAGAGGTTGCTCACCACCCTTAACGTCTCTGCCCATGCGATACCACTTATCTGAACTCCGAACGATGTGCACATTTGTGCGCCGATAAATCGGCTCCATCTTTGGGTTCATAGCAGTCCCACAATTGACTCTACCAACCTGATTCAAAGGGTGAATAACCTCATTGTACCTAAGATGCCGCTCAAGAACATAAACAGGATGACCTTTGAAATCCTGCACATTCCTCGGAATGCCCTCCGCGGCTTCTTTGCGGGCAAGAGTGGCATCTTCAAGTTGATCTCTATCAAGTGTCGTGGAGCTTCTGAAGAACTTCACTGCTCGTCTCCACCACTTGTCACCGTCTGGGGTGCATTCGACACGAAACTTCCGAGTTTTGGCGTTATACGCTTTCGCGTATCTTCGGGTCACGTCTTTTGCTATGTAGTCTTCATCAAATGCAATGGCATAAGTGAGGCTGTTCTGCACGAAGTTTAGCGGCGGTTCCAACTTCTCAGGTGCGTTGACTGTGAAGGTAGAATGTGTATCGATGGGCACCCATTTCTGGTGAGCAGAATTGAAGGCCTCGACCCAGTATACAGGAAAAGGAGTGTGGTAAGCTTTCTGCTTCTTTGGGGCTGCACCCGTCTTGTTTAGGACCGCGTGCCGCTCTCCCATTACGCGCTCCAGACGTGACAGCTTCTTTGGCCGAGGTGGAGCATGTGTTCTAGGCCTGGTCGGAGTAGTCTCTGCTGGCTTATTGTAAGGATCAACTACGATTGTAGTTTTGGAAGCGCTCGGCTTTTGTGGAGTCGCGCGCTCAGCAGCAGATGCGAAAGGCAGAGGTTGCAAAGAACAAACAAGCCTAGCTTCAATCCCAATACCGCGAAGCAGGGCGCAGAATAGCTGGGTGCCAACGTCCTGTGAGCCGTGCAAAGTGTGTGCTGCGTTGCGGAAGTCATCCTTATCCATAGGGTCGTCAAGCTCATCAAAATCAGAGAACGGTCGAATGTCTGCATCTGCTTCCGCCCATCGCGGCTTGTACATGCCCTGCGCGGTGATTTTGAAACGTTTTGCCCAAAGAATCTTCAGCTCGTTCATCCCATCAACGAAGCGCTTTGATGCCGAATACTGAGTGATGTCCGGGTCTGGTACGAGGTTGGTCAAAGTCTTGGGAGGTACAAGCTTCCGTAGTGTGCTCTGGACTCTCCTATCATTACACCACGCATTTCTGCGATGGACATGGTATAGCAGACAAAGCAGGTGCATCTTGTGAATATCCAGACGCCGTTTCTTGTCTACTGAGGTGATAGCTCGTCTTCGCACTCTCCTTTTGGGTGCCATCTCTTCGGCCTTTTTACCCCCGATTGTGATGGAAATATCGTCAATCTGGGGCGCAGCCTTGATATCTTCCATGTCGTCCTCCGTCCCATCTTCGTCGCCAAGCGCATCCTCCCACTCCATGTCGCTGCCATCGGACTCGTCTGAATCGATGATTGTTTGTACCACTCGCGCATTGGCAGATTTCTCATCCTCGGCAACAGAACCGATGCTGGTGGTTGATTGCGCTCGAGTGTGCAATGGCGCTTGAAACGGTGCAGCGGTTCTGATATGAGGACGTGTGGGCGATGGCGGTCTCGGCGCACGGCTAGTTGGTGGATGTACAGGCTGAGGCTGGGGTATAGGGCTCTCGGATTTATGGGGTCGCACAGTCTTCCTCTTCTTCAGCGGGCGCTCATCGTCATCAATACTAGCGGCTTGCGACGCCTGCTCCTCGTACAACATCTCTTGAAAGACCACTGGTACCCCATTGTCTTGTTGCGAGCTCCTTCCTCGTCGCGCCGATCGTCTTGGTGTATTCGACTCTGCTGTCTTGTGCAGCCTCCCTCGCGCCCCTGACATATCTTCTCTTACCTGCCTAGAGGGCGGGAGATGCGGGGACGGAACGGCGATGACGTGCACAGTCGATAATTTTGAGACTAGAGTAAATGATCATGTCGCGCGAGAGTCATGATCAAAAGAATGGTGGTTATTCATATCTCAGAGACCAAGTCAGGTAAGCAGGTGTTGCATGCGCCTGTTGGCGGATGTTCGGCCATGATGACGCAAAAGCCGTCGCGCTATCACGTGTCGAAGCAGAAGTTCGTGCAACAACAGTCCTGCATCGCGGCACAACCTAATCACCACAGCACCGAGATACCAAGATGTTGCTCCCAGACACTGAAAGAGAGGATTCCTTTATCTCTATCAATGGTAAATCTCCTCGCACAACATGAGAACAGAGCAGATTAATTCATATGAGTGAAATGTATTCGACGCTGCGAGCACTGGACGCCTTTCCAAAGCGCCTTGCTATACCAAGTATCCTATCCTTGAAAACTCCATCCGGAAGCGGATCGTGAAATGATGTATGCAACAGCCGTAAGTAGAGCCCCGTATATGGAAGTTACATGTGCTTCCCCCTAAGTCATTAAATAAATACGCCAGGTCCATACCAGCTCTGCCTCAAGTTCGCCATGTGTGCAATTTAATAGACAAAATGTAAAGACACGTGGCGTATGCGAAAAGCTTGAAAATACATGATCCTCTAAGGATGAAAGGTGAGGAAAAGGCATATGGAGGAAACAACCAGATGCCAAGACGCCAATAGAAAGGTCAAACAGCAATAAGACGTGGGAAGTAAGTGTAAAGATTTCGCTTTTCGGCAGGGAGGCTTAGCGGAAGTATGGTCCCCGTTTCCCTCCGCTGCCAGTACTAGACCCGCCTCTGGCTTCTTCGAGACTACGACGCGAACCACCAGCGCCGATCTCACTCATCTGAAAAAGCAGGGGTTCGTCATCATCAACATTCGTGGCAGCACGACTGTTGAAATTGTATCGGCTTTGACGCTCAGTCGAGCTCGTAGCGCCTGTACTGAAACTCGTAGATGAGCTATGCGAGAAAAAACCACCGCGTCCACGAGAACCGCTGGAGTATGTAGCGCGCTTAGCTGGGATGTTTGATGTAGACGAAGGTCGCGGTAAATCGTCGCGAGAGTCATTATCAACAGGCTGGTTGTCGTGACTGGCGCTGGCGAGAAGCTCGGTCTGCGCAAAGAGACCGCTAGAGGTCAGGTCTGGACTGGTGATTAGGAGCAAGTCCCGAGCGCGGTCGCCTTCTTCGGCTGGTAGGCTCGCTGAGCGCACGCCGAATAAATCTGGTTCATCTTCGGGTAAATTGCGATTTTGCTGAGCGACTGAGCTCGACCGACGCGGATAGTTCCAGGCGCGGGGCGATGTGGGAATGTCAATAGCGTTCGTACTCTGGTCTTCACTCTCGCTCTGCTCCTCTACGTTGACCGAGTCCTGATCACGTGGCGTCCGACCAGGTCGACTTCGGCTGCGGCGTACTCGGGGCTCATACTCAATGATGCTATTAGCACTTAGACGAGAAGGAATGGCCGGAGTATGAGGAGTATGCGGCGAGATTGGCTTTCCTAGAGAGGATGCAGTCGACACGGAGGTGCCAGCAATCATGGCGGGAACGCTTGAGAGCTGACGACTCGAGGAGGATGACGAACGGTGTAGCATCATGGAAGACGAGACGGAATCGGACAGAGCCGTATGAGAGTCCCTCAAGCGCTGGTACTTTGTCAGTTGGGCCGTAGTCTTTTGCATGGTGGCGTTCTTGGAAGCGTTGTCGTTCCGATTGAAGCTCTTCAAATCCTTTTTAGACTCAAGCAGCTTCAGGAAATCGGAAATGTTCTCGTCGTCCGTCTTGACCTCTCCTGAGCTGCCTCCGGGCCCTTCGTTTAACGTATCAGAACCTCGTTGTAGTGACGAAGCCACACTGCCCTTGCCACTGCTCAGATTGTCATCTTCCGTCTTGCTACCGCCACCTGAAGAAAACTTGCTTCTCCTGTGCCCGAAACTGCTACTATATCGAGTTATTGGTGCGGGTTTCGGGGAGCTGGAGGCGGAAGAAGCGATTGCGGTCTCATTCGGCAGGGAGGGTGCTCTCAGGGCCGCTTGGGGAAGTGCAGTGAGCGATGTCCGGTTTCGTGGTTGGTTCAATGGGTTTGAGGCGTTGCGTCCCAGTAGGCTACTTTGCCTGCCGAGGGAGCTACCAGGAGAAGGAGGTGGGAGTGTAGAGCCAGGCGCGGGTGATGATGAGAGCGAGCCAGCTTTGAACGGCTGGAAGGAGACTGAAGTTCGTCGTTGATACTGTGGTGTATCGGCAGAACGCAGGGACGACTTTGACCCTTGCGCAGTTCGGTGGTTTGGTGGTAGTTTTTGTGGAGGTGACTCGGTCGGGGATGATGAGGACATATCTCGGGCTGCTCGGAGCGCTGAGATTGGGCTCGTCCCTGTTGGCGGACCAACTTGATGGAAGGTTGACAAGCTGCCGTAAGCTTGTCCCACTTCAGGAGTCTCTTGCGCATTCAATTTGTTGGCAGGAAGCGACCCGGGTACTTGGGTTGTTCCACGGGCTTTTTGTTCGAAATAAGTGTCGTCTAAGCCCATGAACTGGGAGCTTAGTAGCGACTCGGAATCATCGACGCTGAAGTCGCAATTGGTGCGATACTGCACTGACACACAAAGAGGCCCAACTGGAGAGTTTGTTGGTTTGAACTCTTGAGGAAGTGTCACTTCCTCATCTGACGGATACAGAGCCAGACTCAACGTGTCAACGTGCGGACTCCTAAACTCGCCAGTTGTGATGCGGTAGTTTAGCTTCAAGGCGGGGTTATTTGCGGGCTGTTTAGCAAGTGTCTTGTTGTATCTAAAGGCTGGCATGAGGCGCAGATTCGCAAAGAGGGATCGGAAGGTGACGACTGCCTTTTTGTATACATTGGGCAGGGGGTCGTTGAGTTCTGATGGATGGACCAAGTTCTTGTCGCCAACGTGGATTTTCCAGCGCTCGAGCACGAGCTGTGTGAGCTTTCCTGCACGACTTGACGAGCGAGAAGCGGCTTCGGCAGCATTTAGGGCTGAGGAAACGTCCCATCTCTTCCCGTCCTCACCGTGTACGACTAGTGACTGTTGGTGGCCCAATCCTTGTATGTCCAGGTAGATTTCGATGCAGAGGGAAGGGTGTTGGCCGGCCATGGCGTCCATGAGTTTCCACTCGGTGAGTTGCCGCTGGAGTTCGTCGCTGTCGGCGAGCACGACATTGAACTGGTGTATTATATTAGTAAAGGCCGTCTCGAGATGGGTGAGTGAGAACATACCCACTTGTTCTGCTTAAGCTCGCCAGTCTTGTTGAAGCCTGGGGGTAGTACTATTCGAGAAGATACGATGGTAAGGGCTGCTTTGGTGAAGAAGTTCTGTGGGGGTTCAGTACACAGGTTTGAAATGGCAAGTCCATGTCCATGCCCATCAGGGTACGTACCTGGATGACCTGGTTGACCTTCTGGTAATGCTTCTGGTCTGTCTCGGGGATTTGCTCCCCGCGGGACATCATCTCGCCTTCTGAATCTTCAACGCCGCGGTCGCTGTAGGGAGGTGTGGTGGAGTATGGAGAGGCGTCTTGGTTGGTGTGCCGCTGGTTGTTGGTTCGTGTGGGATTGGTCTGGAGGTTGTTGGCCGGCGAGGCTGTGCGCGGCGAGGGGCGCGAATATGGATGCATCGTGGGCAGCCTCCTGCAGGTACAGGTGCGCTGAGTGGGCGTGTCACGGGTCCAGGCTGGAATCGAGCGTGTGAATGTAGGATGGTTATCGTTGCGGCGGGAACAGGCGAGTGCTGATGGGAGCCATCACGAGTGCAGCCAGGGTCAGGGTCGGGCAGTGGCAGTCAGATACGTCTCTCAGAAGACGGGAGCACGCGGGGAACGTCTTGAGGAGCCGGGCAGGGCTCAGGCAGCAGCCATGGTAGGCGTAGGCAGGGTGGGAGAGCTTGAGCTTGTGCTTGCGATGCCTGAGGCGGAGAGGCGGAGAGGCGGAGATAAGGTTGAGAGCACCCTGTACTGTGTTTGGCGATGGGGCGTCGAGGTGCAGACGGATATGGGAACCTGGGAAGGATGCTAGGCTAGGTGTACACGGCGTCAAGAAGAGGCGTGGTTTCGGCGATAGAGATGGCGTAAGAATAGTAGTCAGAGAGTGTTGAGACGCATGAGAGTCGAGTCACGAGCGAGTGTGCGAATGACGCTTATCCCAGCGATAGCAGCATGACCCAAGCTCTGGACAAGGACGGGGGAGCTGATACAAGTCGCCGCACAAGAGCAGCGAAGGATCTAAAGCTATGGGAAGCTGCAGGTGGGCCAGCGCTGTCCTGTACGTGTAGTAGTAGGACGGGTAATGTTCACTTTGTGCTCATGTCATCTGGGGAACATGGAGCTGCTCTCGTCTTGGGTGGTGGTGCAAGCTTGACGTCGACCAGCTCTCCAACCTCGCAGCGATCCGAGGGCTGGGTGTTAGTCAGTTAGCAGCCGCTTGGCGACAGCAAGACATCTCCCACCCGCCTCCGGATACTATTATGGGTCCCATGGGCCTGCGGATGCGCAACCGCCTGCCGCTCTTCTTCTCGCGAATGCGCAATTCTGCTGCTCCATGGGCAATTCACGCCCAGTCCTAGTTGCGACATGTCACGCCATTGGCCTGCCTGCTCCGCTCTTGATGCATCACCGTTCGACGCCTCACCTTTGCTTTCCACAGCCTCACGTCGAGAAGCTGAAGCGAGCGCTTGACCGGTGTTACAAGATCCCTCTTTATCGTCTGTGCCATCCGTCGCCGGTCAAACCCCACTATTGCTTGCTGCTCTTTCGTCCAGCTCAATGGCCAGCGAAGCGCTGCAGACTTCCAAGGTTATTAGGCAACATCGCTGTGCTGCATCAGGAGAGCTAGGCTGCGAACCAGGGCATGGTCTCATTCGTGCAAAGGCTTGCATCATCACCTCTGGCATGCATACAGCTGCCTTCCAGAGTGCGCAGTGCGCAGCAACGTTCCAAATGCTCAGACTGACTATATATACCCCAATAGAGAACTCTCTAGAAGTCACTGTTGCCTACTTTTGTGCAGCATTGAATTACTAGTCAATTTTGGTAAACGTAAACCTCGACTCGATTAGACAAAGCTTTGGTAGCATATCTGTAGCGCTTCCAAGGTTGTAGCAAGTTGACTAACGGAACCGAGCTGGACTAAAGTGACAAGTCGTCTGAAATGAATATTGGGCCCGAGTACTGATCACAGGACGAGGCGTAGACTTGATAGGTGAGATGAATACTAGACAATGCTGGTCCACTAGGAGCAGAGTAGTTCATTGAGTGGAGATCCAACGCAGTGTCGTTGCAATGCATCACGTGGCGCCATCAAGGCCCGTTACATGTACCAGCCTTCCTGCAGTCGTCTGGCCTTGAGGCGTAAAATCAGTCAAGATCGTTAGTGTGCAATGCAGTGTACAGGACGTGTATTACACGTTTCCAATCAAGTTCGGCTCCTCACATATGTCGAGTCACCTTCGAACCCAATTTGAAGTACCCGGTACGATGTAGTCATGGTACAAATTCTTAAAAACAACCGAGTTTGATCTCAATTCTCGCAAAAGCTGACTTCAGACTGTCTTCTATAGATAGAATGTATTCTGGACATGCCAAGCTCCGGGTCGTTCCTGCGTCTCAATCGCTCACCGCCAGTGGGTGGAGCAAACCGTGCGCTGTATATTAGGTGACGATCCCCGCAACAGTCTGTTGCTGAGCTCCAGAGTCCTCTGGGACTCCCATACACCCGAGGTTCTAGCTGCCCATGACCTCACCATATTATCAGATCCTTACTCCAGCGTCGTGATGCTGACCCTCGCTCAAGCAATGAATGCGACTCATGCCCGTCTACTCGGCCATGATTGGCTGCTTTCCGAATGATTCCGAAATGGACATCCCACATCGCCGCATTGCTACTCCAAACTATCCTCGCGACTGCTGCACATAATTAACACTTAGTCTGCACTTACCAGAAGCTTCAGGAAGTCCACCAGAATTACTCCGACTCATTTTATCCCCTGCGACGAACAGACACGGCTCCTGCTCACCATCGCCTCGGTAGTTTCGTCATAGACACTCATACAGAATACCGCTCACCCGCAAACCACTCGCACAACTACCACCAGTGCCTTGCTTACGGACAGTCTATTGAAAGCGCCGAGAGCTTTCACCGCGAGCCTTTCTTCCTTCTGCTCGCCACATCACCGTGTCATCTTCAACCGCGAGACCAGATCAGCAGGCACATTCCAACGACTACTTTGCCACCTTGCAAGTTCCTTCGACCCACTACACCCAACGCTCCCATACACGATCTGATCTGCTCAAAATAGTAGACAGAATTGCACAAACCGCCGACCAGTCGCGTCCGGCACCCCTCCGTTGGAGTATTCCTCAGCTTTACGGCCAGCACCTTTAAACACGCTTTGACCCGCTGAGGTTGAGGCCAGGTGCTCTTGTGAAAGCTTCGGATCACTCCTCATCTCGTATCGGCACATGAGCGGCTATCTCTGGAAATACTACCTCGAAGACGATGTCGATAACTTCCGACATGTCCTCACGACTACGACGTACACGGCCCGCGCGGCAACACAGAAAAGCTTTGCTAGCTGGCAGGGAGGAGGACATGGCGCAGCAGTGAACAGTAGTCCAGGCAGCTATAGTGCCTCACCAATGACGGGTTCTAAAGGTCGCAAGATTGGAATGACTGGCTCTGTAAATCTGAACCGTACCGACCTCAACAGTCGCGATGCAGCCGGCTTGACGGTTCTACATCATGCCGCATCGTCAACATCTGAGACTGCTGTCGAGTTTGCGCAAGCACTTCTTGAGCACCCATGGACAGACCTCTACATCCAGGATGTGGAGAATGGTTGGACCCCGCTCCACAGAGCCTTCTACTTTGGCAACATTGCGATTGCGCGTCTCATATTAAATCGCGACACGCAAGATATGCTCGGCCACGGATCAAGCGGGTTCAATCAGCATGCTCGAGGGCTCGTGAAGATCAAGGACAATGAAGGTTATGGCCCACTAGACTTGTTTGCCATGACGATCAAGGATCGAACGTTACGACCAGAGGAGTTACCCGTCATGGACTTGGACTCTGACGACGAGATGGCCCATGGAGACAGCGGTGACGTCGATGATGACATCCGTCGAAGACTGGTAGCGCCGCCTATTCTGCTTGGCGGGGACGAGGTGTACACTTTTGGGAGTAACAAGAATGTTACACTTGGCTTTGGCGACGAAGACGATCGTCAATTTCCTGAGCGCATTACCCTGAGAAGACCCGACCATCTCCTTCAGCGATTTTATCGAGAGCATCGCGAAAACCAAAATCAATACTGGGTCGCAATGGGTATACCAGCGCAGGATACTGGGAGCCTCGAGCCAAAGGGCACGGTAGACCTCCCAACGCACATTCGTAACACTCCGATAGTAATCCAGGATGTGCAAATGTCAAAGCTACACACTGCGGTACTGACGACAGATCCTGTTTCCAATCTTTACATGTGCGGGCATGGCCCTGGAGGTCGTTTAGGCACGGGTACCGAGACTACGAGATACCAATTTACTTGCATTGAAAGCGGTGGACTGGGACAGAAAAAGATCGCCGCCATTGCTCTTGGCCAAAACCACACTTTGGCCGTTACTGACGAGGGAGAGATCTACTCCTGGGGAAACAATGCATATGGGCAGCTAGGATACACTTTGCCCAAGCCTGCGATGAAAGACGACGATCCAATCTCGATGATTCCGCGACAGATCTTTGGTCCGTTGAAGCGCGACCTTGTCACGGGTATTGCCGCATCGCGCATACACTCGGTCGTGCACACCACAACGTCTCTATACACTTTTGGCAAGAACGAGGGGCAGCTTGGTATTGTGGATTCAGATGCCCGATCCTTGGAGATGCAAGTCATCCCTCGAAAGATTGCTGCCTCGCTGTTCTCTAGTCCCATCCACTCAGTATCTGCCATAGACGGTGCTTCGATATGTCTCCTGGAGAACCGTGAAGTGTGGGTTTTCGCAAATTACGGTTACGCCAAGATCAACTTTCCTTTGGAGGGCTTTACGAGTAGTTTCCTCAAGGAAAGTTGGTTGACAACCAAGTACGATACCGCACCGAATAAGATCAAGAAAGTCACTTCTGGTGGCGATACTATCTGTGCGCTCTCTTCTTCTGGGGAGGTCTTCACCGTTGCCGTCAGCCGGCGTTCCGAAACCTTGCCGGATGCCAACACATCCACCACCAATCCCAAGCAGATTAGAGGGGCACTTTCTGCGCCATATCGCATCTGGTCATCTAAGAAAAGTCACATGGCAGCAAGAGACGTTGATGTTGATCAAGATGGATCTATCATCTTGACCACTGACGCTGGCAGTGTCTGGAGGCGTACGAAGAGGGCGACCATCAAGAATGCAACGATTCTAGGCGCAGCGGAGACCAAGCCAAAAGACTACAAGTTTCAAAGAGTATCAGGTCTGACTCGTGTCATAGCCGTCCGCGCTTCTGCGTTTGGGGCCTATGCTGCAGTACGAAAGGATTGCGACGTCACTAGGAATCAGATAGGCGTGGACGAGCCCAATCTCTGGAATGAGCTTGCGCCTTTGCTCTCCTTTCACGAGATGACAAAATACGAGGAGACGTCGGATGATGATGAGCCTACGCCCAGATTCTGGCATCGAGCAACAGATTCGCAAGCTCTTCGCAAGCGTGTTTTGAAGTCGAAGGACCTGGAACTTGAGATGACCGACATGCTACAGCAATCTTTCACGTCTCCGGACCGCACGTACAACATGGAAGTCGGGACTACGCTTTCTAATATCCGCATCCCTATCCACGAGCTTATCTTGTCTGCGCGTTCTCGTGTATTCCGAGATGCTTTGCTCGAGTTCCGTGCCATTGGCACCGATTTTGTGATGCCCGATTTGTTGACCATCAAAGAAGCTGGCGAAAAGGTTCTCGTACTGTTCCACGGTCTGGACTTTCTAACTGTCTTTGACCTGGTACTATACGCATACACTGATTCGGTCGTTGACTTCTGGAATGTCACTCGACATTACCCAACTTTAGCGTACAGATACCGTGCTGTACGAACAGAACTTATGAAGGTTGCATCTCGCTTTGATCTACGACAGCTCGAGCCTGCTGTGCGTCAAATGGTCAATCCGCGGAGGTCCCTGCACATGGACCTGGAACTTGCGATCAAAGATCAATCATTCTTTGACAGTGGCGATGTCATCGTCGACCTTGCTGATGGTGAGATGCTACTGCATTCAGATGTCATCTGCCAGCGTTGTCCATTTTTCGAAGGACTGTTCAGAGGGCGCGCTGGTGGCCAGTGGCTTGCTGGAAGGCGCACCGAAGAGTCTCCACTCGTTCGTATCGATCTCACACACGTTGAGACGCATTTGTTCAAACTTGTCGTGCGTCATCTCTATACCGACGCCGGGGAGGAGATCTTCGAAGACGTGACAAGCGAGGACCTCAACGATTTGCTCGCGCTCGACGAGTTACTAGATCACGTTATGGACGTCATGTCAGTTGCCAACGAACTGATGCTCGATCGTCTTTCGCAAATTTGTCAAAGACTGATAGGTCGATATGGTAAGTGCATACATTTCAGGGTCTAGCTCACGTGCTGATGGGTGATAGTGAACGCTCGAAATGTGTGTTCTCTGCTTACAGCGGTTGCACCCAGTTCTGTTGCAGAGTTCAAAGACGCTGCACTGGAATATGTCTGCCTCAGCCTAGAGACAGTGATGCAGAACGGGTATGTCCTATTTTCGACTAAAAGTGCTTGTCTAATACTGTCTAGGTCGTTGGACGAACTAGATGAGGACCTACTATTAGAGCTTAACCAGGTCGCTCATGAAAATCAGCTAGCTTATCTACCCTTTGCAAGAAGTGGGCGCGCAGAGGCTCTGCTTTTCGACCGCTACCCAGAACTTGCTGAGAGGATCGAACGTGGCAAGCGAGCCAAGGTCGATGCGATCGTCCTATCCAACAAGCATGCAGACGCCGACACCTTTTCTACATCTTTCAGGGCGCAAAGCCTGGAAGAGGTATCAGCTTCGCCTCTGCGCCAACGCAACCGAAGAAGAGCGTCTAAGGAGAACAAGAGTCCGGCTTTGGCACCGACACTCAAGGGCAGGAACTCGATTCAAGATCTCATGTTCGAGATGTCCGATGGAGATGATGATGAAGATAACACAACGAGGAAGATCAAACCCCCGCGGTTCATGGAACCAAGCAACGATTCGATATCTGTTGAAACACCAACTGGTTCTCTAGAAGGACCTTGGGCCACAGTTCGACGGCAGAGTCGATCCGAACCGCATGGCTTCGATAGAGGAGATGACATACCACTCAAGTCTGTCAGCCCCCTGCCCCCGCCAGCTGTTCAGGAGACAAGAATGCCCGGTCAACCTTGGGGCAGCTCGCCCTTGACTGGTGCGAAACTTGACCTCAAGGATATCATGGCCCAGACCTCGACCGTCCCACCGTCGAACCTGACGATAGGTTTATCACGGGGAGAAAACGAGCGCATCGCAAAGGCCGCGCACGCTAAGTTGTCTCAGAAGGAGCGCAAACGGCTTCAGCAAGCTCAACAACTTGGTACACCAATTGCAAAGGCGCAGCCGACACCACCCGCAGTGTCTCCCTGGCAAGCGTCGCATCGGAAGCCAAGCGATAGCCCTATCGTAGCACCCACAGCACAATCATCACCGAAACCCTCACCACAACCTCCCCGAACATCTAGCACACCACAACTTACCATGCGACAGACTGTCGCTAACAATGGTATAGCCGCCAAACACAAAGACAAGCAGGTTCAAGCGCAAAGTTCTCGCAGTGCTTCTGCTAGTGCACCTTCCCAGAATCGTCCTACTGCAACCGAGCGAGGGATGTCCGTCTCGACTGATCCCATCCCGACACCACGATCAGTCCGGCACATCCCTCTTCCATCCCATTCTCCTACTTCTCCCAGTCTAAATCTCAGTATGATGGAGATCCTGTCTCTACAAGAAGCAGAAAAAACGTCGATACGCGACGCAGCAGCAAAGCGTAGCCTTCAGGAAATTCAACAAGAGCAAGAATTCCAGCAGTGGTGGGACCAGGAGAGCAGGAGGGTCATAGAAGAAGAGGAGCAGCAGAAGAGGGTCGCAGAACGCGCTGTTAAGAACGCCGATCGTGGCAGAAGTAGTAGGGGCCGTGGCGAGAGAGGAGGCAAGACTAAGACCAAGATTAAGAAGGCGGATGAGGCAGACGGCAATAGAGGCAAGGGAAGTAAAGCTGTGGTTACAGCACCGGCACAGCAAGACAACAACCCTTCGAAGGTACCGGTTGGCGGTCGGTCTAGAGGACACGATAGCAGCGACCGAGGCAGAGGAAGAGGCAGAATTGGTCGTGGTGCGAGAGGAGGGAGAACGCAAGGACCAGCTCCGCCTTCATAACGATGGGACACAAGTGCGCATTCAAGTATATACTGTTCAACCACAAGGTGTACATAAACATTGCTTCCAACTTTTAACAACAGCACAATAGATTAATGAGATCATCGCATCTTGAAATGTCTTTAACATTTGCATTCAATTCTCTGTACGCATACGATATTACCTCGTAGAGTGGACTCGTTAGACCTCAGAAGTAAAGCAACATATTTGGAATGAAAATAGTATGAGGGACCGTCGATCGTCATTAGAAAAGAGGAGGAATGACACCAAGATGACCATTAAAACAAGTTCTCACACAAATCCTATTATACACATGTCGAATCGAAGCGCTTTTCCAATCCCAAAATGTACACCGTGTATCCCAAAGCTCACTTTCAGTGTCCAACGATTTCCCAAATCGACATACCAAAGCGCATCGTGAACTAACTTTATACCTGCAAGCCATCGTCTAACATCAGGGGGTTTAAACTGTCCCCAAACTGGTTAGTGACGGATGTCTTGATCCTCTCGGCAATCTACGTAATTTCGCTTCCCTAATCTTTTCCTTCAAGCGTGCTAGATCTTCGAGGCTGTGCACAACGGACATGCGTAGCGGCATCTATCTGCCAGTTGCCATGATACTGCGGTAGTAGTTTGTGCTAAGATCGCACGAGTGTTTAAGCCAGAGGTCTTCTGTGAGTGGGAGCTTGAGGATGCTGGAGCGATTGGTGCGCTGCGTGTTTGTTAGCCTCTGTTCATTTCCGTCGGTAACCGTTAGGTGGGCGATGTGACATACCTGGTTCTTGGCCACAAGGTTGGCGACAGTACCCGCGATTTCCATAAGCGCGACACGCTCCTCTAGACCACAAGCTTCAAGCCTATCTCGCGCCGCAATCTCGAGTGCGCGCTGCAGTTTAACGAGTAGCTCCTGGATGCGGTTGTTCAGGTCCTCATCCACGCGGAACGTCGAGCGCTGACCCGTTAGGTCAATGAGTTCAAGGTAGTCGAGATAGATCTGACCGCCCTGTGCCCAGCCCTGAACAGGCTCCCTCCGACGCGCGGAAACAGTACGTGTTGACGAAGCGAACGAAGCAGGGCTGTTCGTCGGCGTAGGAAGAAAGCCACCCATGAGCTCCCGAAGAGGGTCGTAGTCGCGCGAGATGATAGCGTCCGGACCGACCATACGGCAGAGGACTTCATGCGCTTCATCTAGCTCTTCAGCCTTGATGAGATGCGTGGCCTGGCGTAGAGCGTCACCTTCGGTCTTTGCCTGGAGGGCAGCAGCAGCGTGCAGCCATGTGGTGGGAACATGCAAATCGTTGGTTAGGTAAGCGTAAGTGATATCTGTGTCTTCGAGAGAGTAGGTGCTGGAGAACTGGTTGAGAAGGGAGCGAATATAGTGCTCGCGCATTCCCGACAAAGAGAGGTGAGTGTACACCCAAATAGCGGTTGTCCAGTACTCTAGTGTGTGAAGCGAGGCCGCATATGTGAGGGTAATCTTATCACCAAGCTCGACGAGCGGATTCTTTACTTGCGTCTCCTTTTCCACAGATGAAGTCGTCGACGAAAGAAACGAGGACCGATGGTCTCCTTCGCTATTACCACGAACAGTAGGCATGGCTACTCTCCGCTCGTCCGCCTCATTATTGTCTTCTTGGCGGGACCTAAAGAGCTGGAACAGCTGAAACGACAGACGTGCGTTAAAAGGATGCCCGGAGACATTTTCAGGAGCCAAAACATCCTCGATGTTGGCCGCAAGATCCATCTTTGGAGCAGCATATAGCTTCAGGATACCCCACAGCAAGTCTTCTCGGTGCTCCGCCTTTGGGTCGTTCCAGCCCATATCCAAATTTTCTTGCACGAACCAAGGTACAGGTTTGACGTCCTCCTGGCCGTAGTTGATGGCATCTGCAAATTGAGCCACAGCCAGTTCAAGTGACTCTTCGGCCATGATGCCGTACCAAAGGCGTAGGCCGAAGGCACGCCGCCAGTCAAGACCGAAGCGACTTGAAATGTTGAACGTAGAGGCCTTGTTCTCCCGACCAGCTCCTAGCTTTCCTTCCGATTGCGCGCAGTTACCGGATAGCAATTCGTACAAGGCACGATGAGGATCCTCCATCTCAGAGAGGACATCGAGGCGCCGCCACTCTTCAATCTGGGTGACCATGCTCTGACGCATCGTCGCATCACCGCCGATCTGGGCAAGCATCGTAGCAAGGCGAAGATCCAGGCCCTCCAAAAGGTCATGACAGGCGTCAGCGACGTTATTGCAGCTGAGTTGCATGATAGCACGTTCCTCAAGCGATGTAGCTTGCTGGGCATGCTTCTGTGCATCATCCCAGACGAGGTGTTTCCAAAATTCGGAAAGCCTCTCTTTCTTATCAATCTCCTTTTCTTCGCTCCTAACGCCGTCTGGAAGTTTGTCGGCATCGTCGTAGAGGAGGGAGAGTAATTGCCAGATATGCTGTTCGTGAGCGCCTTCCGTGGTGTCGATTGTGACAGCCCTCGCCATATCAGAGAACTCCACGGGTGCAGGGTCTGTCTGTAGCCTCGCTGATGGTACGCCGTCGGTGGTGAATATCTTAGTGTGCTGCTTCTGTATAGTCAAAGTCTCGGGTGTGGACTGTATAAAGTCAGTATCGAGGCGCATGCAAACGTGGGATGCTCTCACATCTGTGAAGGTTGGCATCTTTGCGAATCGTGTATCCTTTGTAGCGCCAACGAGTGGTTCTTGCGCTGCAAGGAATATGCCGCTTTCGAGAGTTGCGGTGCCTTTGTTGCCATATATGAGAACGTTGGCTTCGCTAAAGTGGGGTTTGCTGCAGGTGTGAAAGTCTCTGTCGGAACCGGTGAGATGGTCGAGATCGGACGCGGTCTTGGGTCGCTTTGAATATGGTAACTAGAGACAAGAGTTTCAGCAAATCTTGTCCCACATCAATTTTGTGATTAAATACATTGCCGGGCGAGGCCCCAGGCGTCAATCTATGTAGGACAACCGTCAAGGAAATCCACCACAAATTGCACCATGTCATAAACACACACTAAAGGGAGGGGGGAAGTCAAACCTCAATACCATGTCCACCGCGCTTAGGAAGCTTCTGCTTCTCCGTCTCGCCGAAAAGAGATTCCATCAAATCCATAGCCGTGGTAAGTTGTCCACCGCCGAATGATTGCGACAAATTCGTAGCGTTTCCGTCGTGTTCTCGAAGCACGTTGCCCTGACTTTCGCGAAGGGCTTGTCGATCCTGTTTCTTTGGGCTGATCGTGCGCTGGAGCTGGTTTGCCCAATTGTCATCGAAGACGGGCTGGCCTTTCGAAGGTGTGTCCAGACCTGGCCTTAAAAGTTGACTGGCCTTGAGAATGGACTTTGGCTTCAATGTGGCCTTGAAAGGGTCATCCTTGGCGGCTGTTTGCTCCGTGGAATGAACTGGGCCAGATACAGAATCCGCCATATCCTGATCTTGCACCAGTTCCGATTCGCTCTGTTCAGAGTAGTCTACATCTTGCTGACCATCAAGCGAACCCACGGAGCGCTGTCCTAAAAAAGAGTTGTCACGATGGTTCATCTCAACATCCTCTTCATAGACAGACTCGTCACCAAATCCACCGGGCACATTGGCACGGGCGCGCATACCTTTCTTGAAGTCGAAAGTGTCGTCAGGGCTAGACTGAGACTGAGTAGGGCTAACAAACGAGTCTTCTTGGGGAGTGCTAGTCATCTGACTCGAGCGATGCTGCGGTAGGGCTGGTGTGTCCGGGACATCGCTAAGGTCGCTTGAGTCATCCTCATCATCCTCCTCATCGCTATAGTCATTCTCATAATCAAGACCGTAAGACGAGAAGTGGGGCACGGAGAAGGTCCACTCGCCATTTGCCTGATTGTACTTGATGAAGGTCGTGCCGTTCACGCGCTTAAGACGCTCGAGATGCTTGACGTCCTTCTTGCCAGCCCTGTTACGAGGCCAGGAGTTCCCGAGTACGATCTCGGAGGGCTGGTTAAGAGCCGTACCAAGTGGTGGTTTTGGTAGACAGGTACAGGTCTCTCCATACACGGTGGCATTACGGGGATTGAGTTGTACGATGTCACCGTACAGTTTGTCGAGATTGACTTCCGACAAGTCGACCGGTTTGCCATAATGGAAGTTGATCTGGCCAATGTTGTGGCGACCGACGATGAAGTTGGGTACGCTCTTGAGCTCCTGCTTGCTCATGCTCTTTAGTTGGTCCAAAGCCGGGCTGGACCAATAAGAACCAGGCTTGGGCTCCTGTCCTGGCTGGATGTTGACGGATGAGGATGACCTTGGGGTAAGCGCATGGTCCTCGGAAACGCGAGCCAGTTCAGTGCCGTTGATTTGTTGCATGGGTGGCGGGCGAGGGGTCTCGTTCCTAGTATCGTCGTTGGTTGCCCTCGGAGATGTGTCATCCTCGTCTTGTCGGACAATCAAGGAAGTTTCCCCGTTGGTGTGACCGTTCGACATCTCACCACCAGCGAAGCTGACACGCTTCTGGGATGGCTCGTCAAACAACGGGATCCGGGTATTGATAGATCGGTTGACGTTGAGCTTCTTGAGGCTACCATTGCCAAAACCACGTCCGTTGGTGGAGAAAGCGCCCGGTGACAGAATGCTGGTTTCGGGGGTAAAGCTGTTACGGAGGTTGCTTGTAGACAGACTCTTTCCGAGAGAGCGGGAGAGGCCACCGGCTGCAAACAAGCTGCCCCCAAAGCCAGGGGTGCTCTGGGTCGATGCACTGGCGGGAGTGCCGTAGGTTGAGTACGTGAATCCATAACCACCACCACCCCGCTTGTTCTGTGGCGTAAGTAGACGTGTAGACGCAGAGGGGTTGAGCTTGTGCTGTGGGAGAATAGCGCTCTTCTTGTTCTTCTGGCTGCTGGATAGAGGGGTGGCAATTGGACCAGGGCTCTGGGTGGGTGTAGCAAGTCCTGCAAACAAAGCGTCATTACCGTAGGGGTTGGTAGCCATAGAGGTATTCAACAGGGAGCTTCCAGAGGCGCCAAACAAGCTGTTGTTGTTTGGTTGCTGATTCTGCTGTTGTGGATTCTGGCTAGAGAACAAGGAGCCACCCATTGTAGACTGGTTGTTGTTCTGCTGTCCCATAGCACCAAAAAGACCACCGCTGGTGTTGGTATTGGTGGAACCCCCAAAGAGACCCCCTGGCTTTTGCTGATTGTTTTGGCCTCCAAAGAGACCGGAACTTGCATTTTGCTGTGGGTTCTGGGCACCAAGGTTACCGAACAAGCCCCCGCCAGACGCTCCTGTATTGGCAGTGCTGCCGCCAAAGAGACTGTTGCCTGTAGCGGCAGGCTTCTGGCCAAAAAGACTACCTCCAGTGTTGGTATTGGCAGTGGAACCTCCAAACAAGCCGCCAGTTTGCTGGGGTTGTTGGTTCTGGTTGGCCTGACCAAACAAGCCGCCTCCTGTAGAAGCTGTGGTCGAGCTGCCGAATAGACCGCCAGGTTTCTGCTGATTTTGCTGATTATTCTGACCGAAGCCACCACCGAAGAGACCTCCAGATGTGGTGTTCTGTGGCTGGGCCTGGGTGTTCTGTCCAAAACCACCCGTAGAGCCACCGAACAGGCCGCCGCCCGTGTTGGTAGTAGTGTTGGATGCACCGAAAGCAGGCGTGGACGATGGTTGGGTATTCTGTTGCCCAAAGAGTCCACCACCGGTATTCGCTTGACCGAACGCATTCGTGTTCGTATTCGTCGTGCCACCAAAGGGTGTCGAAGCGGTATTGGTGGTGCCGGAACCACCAAATAGACCTCCAGTCGCGGGCTTATTTTGGCCAAAAAGACCACCACTAGCACCAGTACCTGTGGTCGATGCGCCGAAGCCGCCACCACCGCCACCAGTACCGAATCCTCCTGTCGTGTTGGCTGTTGAGCCGCCACCAAAGAGGCCACCCGTTGTGCCGGTCGTGGTGTTTGTGTTGGAACCTCCGAAAAGACCACCGGTTGCGGGCTTGTTCTGACCGAAGAGGCCACCTCCGCTAGTGTTGCCAGCGCCAAACGCTGAGCCAGTGTTCTGACCAAACGATGATGTAGTATTGGCATTGCCGCCACCGAAGAGACTACCACCGGTGTTTGCGTTTGCGCTCGCGCCAAAGCCCGTGGAAGCAGGGGCAGCAGCATTGCTGCCAAAGCCTCCAAATCCAGTGCTCTGGCCGAATGCACCTGCCTGTCCATTTTGGTTGCCGTATCGTCGACCCTGGTTATAGTCGGCGACCCTCAACTCTTCAAGAGAGTAGTTCTGGTATGGCTGTTGGAAGGTGATGGTCTGGTACTGCTGCGTGGCAGTTGCGGAGGCGCCATCCTTCTCGGTGAAGGCCTGGAATGGAGTGTTGGCAGTCCCGTTGTTTGGCGGAGGGTTGCCTCCTGCACCAAAGCCGCCTGTCGAAGCACCAAAGCCACCTGTAGTGGTATTCGCGTTGGTAGAGCCGAATCCACCGCCGGTGCCGCCTCCTCCAAACAAACCGCCACCCGTTGATGCTGCGCCGAAACCGGTGGAGGGCTTGTTTTGGCCGAACATACCGCCTCCAGTGTTAGCAGTGTTGGAACCGAACGCTGATGGGGCGGCAGTGGTGTTCTGAGCTCCGAAGCCACCAAATGTGCTGCCAGAAGAACCAGTGGCCCCGCCGCCAAAGAGGCCGCCGCCTGTTGTGGAGCTTCCAAAGGGTTTTGAGCCGAAGGCTGTGTTGTTGGTGGTGTTGGTACCAAATCCGCCTGGAAAGAAGAATGTTAGTGTCCGTACATGGTGCCCAGCAAAGAATCAGAGTCGCATGCAAAATCCACGAATAACCGCCATCGATCGTGAAGACGGCGATGCCGTATAGCGCGAGCTTGAATAGATCGAAGTCGATGAGCGCCAAAGTCCTAAACGACTACTACGCGAGTGCGACGCGCAAGCTTTCCACGTACCTCCGCCCCCAAAAGGAGAGCCCGTGTTGGTGTTATTGCTGCCGCCAAACATGGTGCTGCCCGTGGTGGTGTTGTTGTTGGCGCCGAATATGCTGGAGCCGGTATTCGCGTTGGAGCCGAAGCCTGGGGCGGAAGGCGAGTTAGACACGATCTGTCGAGAAGGCCGTGGCGCTCGTGGTAGGCGCTTGCGGCAGTCGCGAAAAAAATGCAGGGTCGGCAGCATCAAAACAAGAGATCAAACTTACCAGTGCTGTTGTTGTTATTGTTGCTTGCTCCAAATCCACCGAAGCCGCCGCTGGATTGGTTGTTGTTGTTTGTGGAGCCAAAGCCCCCAAAACCACCGCCGAAGGACATGTTGAGCCTGCCCACGGGTTGCGCGTGTGAGAGCTGTCAGACGAGTCGCAATGCGCGGTTGGGTTTGAGTAGGTATTGGGCGTGGATGAGGTGTGGTGGGTAGGTTGCAGGCGTTGCTGAAGAGCTTCGCGGAAAACGCGCTAAGAGCTGGGAAGCAAGCCGCGGGGCTTTGCTGCAGGCGAGCGAGGAAATAAAGAGTGAAAGGAGCTCAGAAGGAGAGCAGATTAAGTAGTAAAATAGCCGTCATGGAAAAGAAAGAGCGACGGGAAGGTGTGGCCAGCGAGGACGGGCAGCGAGGTGAGGTGGGTTTAGGAGGAGGGCACAGAGTTGCGCTAAGAACACGCCCAAGGGATCACGTGGCCAATTCACACCTCGCTTTGCGGCAGGAGTTGCTGGATGCGGCACAAACACGGCCGCTGTGACAAAGCAAGACGGCGATTAGCGAATGATAATAGGACGTCTCCAAGGCATGCCGTCATCTCAAAGCTGCCTGCCAGAGTTCCGATTGCTACCTACGGCTGCCTGGCGGGCTGGGGCTACGCGACCACAACGCCGTCTCTGTAGAACGAGCCTGAAACACACCACAACTCACCAGGCCGGCCTAGCCAAAGATAGCCGAGCTCTAATGTTGGCAACTGTCAACTCTACGCGACAAGTTTAGATGGTAGCAGTTGAACCATACCCAATTTCCCATGACAAAGAGCCCCCGACTTTGCCCCTCTGGTCATCTTTGTAGGACAGTATCTATATCTTTGCAAGGATGCTTCACACTTCAAACTTCAAATCTGTTCAAGGCTCCAGACTTTCAAGAGAGAATACAATGATCTGAAGCCGGTCACAGGCAAACTCTCGTCCATGTGCAGCAGCATAAGACCATATTCCCCAACTCGCGCTAGTAGCGCTACTACGCTTTGAGCCCGTACGCGACCGCGTCCAACACAGCACCACATCTCTAAACCCAAACAAAGGAACCTGGAACAACCAAGTCGCATTGTCGCTCTCGCAGAACCCAATTACCGTAACTTGAATACCGTCGCGCTCGCATTCAGTCGTCCACCTTTCGATCCAGCTTCCACTGCGCGACAAACCTACGTCTTTCTCGACTCTCGCACCCCCGCGTACATACTCTACACGCTCAACATCCCCCTCCACTCACACACACCTACGCTCAGCACATGGCAACATCATCCAACCCCCTCGGCTCCGGTCCGCGCTACGGCCTCGGCCGCCCAAACCCCACGCCCAATCCCGCCCAAAACACCTTCAGCACACCCGCCTTCCCCAGCAACAACCCCAAGAACGCGCAGCGCCTCGAATCCGAACGCCTAGAGCGCGACCGCAAAGCGCGGGAGGACCGCGAGAGAATGGAAGCAGCCGGCCAAAACAGTCTCGCTGAGCTGAGCGAGGAGCAAAGGGAGGAGATTGGCGAGGCGTTTAACCTCTTCGACTTGGACAAGGACACTTATATCGACTACCACGAGCTGAAGGTCGCGATGAAGGCGCTCGGGTTTGACCTCCCCAAGGCGGAGATTCTGGGTATTCTGCAAACACATGGCGTGGCTGCTCCGTCTGCGTCGTCGTCGTCGAAGCAGCCAGCGGGCCAGGCGAGACAGCAACAGTACCAATCTCCTCCGCGGCAGTTGTTGAGTTTCCAGGCGTTCCAGACGCTCATGGCGCAGATGATATTGACTAGGAAACCAGAGGAAGAAATTATACGCGCATTTGAGCTCTTTGATGAGGGGGGCAAGGGCAAGATCACGCTGCAAGACCTGACGCGTGTGGCGCGCGAGTTGGGCGAAGGCCTGTCTCACGACGAATTAGTTGCCATGATTGAGGAGTTTGATATGGATGGAGACAATGCGATTAGTCGGGACGAGTTCGTCAATATCTGCTTGGGTTGAAAACGAATCTGTGTGTAGGCCAAGGCAGGGCGGGGCGTTCAGGAGCAAATCGGCGTACACTGGTGGTTCATGATCTAGATGTAAACCCAAGCTCGCCACAAGATACCATATGTTCAAGTCAAATTCAATCTTCTTCATTTGCGCCGAGGAACTATTTACAGCTCAGCTCACCAACTCGTGCACGCCAAAAGAAGGCTCAAACAAAAGGAACATGCATTGTACAAAGATGCTCTCCAATCTCCAATCCCCTCTATCATCAAGGTCTTACTGACCCGGCGAAATCAACTGCCCCCGCTTCGCAGCATCGTGTGCCCAACCGCCAGCCAACGCCTCTCCCCCATTCTTGATTCCATAATCTTTTATCCTCGCCTCTAGTTCTGGCCTGAAATGTCTGATAAGACCCTGCAGCGGCCATGCAAACGCCTCTCCCAACGCGCAAATGGTGTGACCCTCGACCTGCTTCGTCAACTCCTGCAACATGTCGATCTCACGCTCGCGCGCCTGGCCCTTGTAGAACCGGTCCATGATCTGGTGCGTCCACTTTGATCCCTCACGGCAAGGTGTGCATTGACCACAAGACTCGTGGTGGTAGAATTTCGCGAGGCGTGTGATGGCACGAACAACGTCGGTCGATTGGTCCATGACGATGACGGCGGCGGTTCCGAAACCAGACTGTGAGTCCTTGAGGGCGTCGAAATCCATGAGCTGATCGTCGCAGACGTGCTTGGGCAGGATGGGGGTCGAGGAACCACCGGGGATGACGGCTTTAAGGTTATCCCAGCCACCAATAACACCCCCACAGTGCTTGTCGATGAGCTCACGAAGGGGGATGGACATTTCTTCCTCGACGGTACAGGGGTGGTTGACGTGGCCAGAGATGGCAAAGAGCTTGGTGCCCTGGTTGCGGTCGCGACCAAAGCCGGCGAACCAGCTGCCTCCTCGTCGGCAGATAGTGGGTGCTACAGCGATGGTCTCGACGTTTGCGACGGTCGAAGGGCATCCGAAGAGACCAACGGCAGCGGGGAACGGAGGCTTGAGACGGGGTTTACCGGGCTTGCCCTCCAGTGACTCGATGAGCGAGGTTTCCTCACCGCAGACGTAAGCACCCATTCCGCGGTGGACGTAGACATCAAAGTCGTAGCCGGAACCGCAGGCGTTCTTGCCAATAAAACCAGCCTTATATGCCTCCTGGATAGCGCGCTCCAGCACGGTAGCCTCGTGGTAAAATTCTCCTCGGATGTAGATGTAGGCGGCGGTAGCGTTCATGGCACGGCCAGCGACGAGGCAGCCTTCGATGAGCTTGTGTGGGTCCTTGCGCATAATCTCGCGGTCCTTGCATGTTCCGGGTTCGCCCTCGTCGGCATTGACGACCAGATAGCGGGGCTTGTCGTCCTTGTCCCAGTCCTTGAAGTTCATAAATGACTGTGATGGTTAGTATCATCCTTTCATATCTCAATCGCAGGCTATTGCGTACCCATTTCAGACCAGAGGGGAAGCCAGCACCGCCTCGGCCGCGTAGACCGGAAGCCTTGATCTCAGAGATGATCTAGTTGCCATTAGCCATAGTTCCGCCATGCTATTTCCAGCTATACACACCCAGTCGTGCCCCTTGAGCAGGATTTCCTTCGTCTTGTGCCAGTCGCCATACTTCATAGCGCTCTTGATGTCCGCGCCATGATGTCCATACAAGTTCTGGAAGATACGGTCCTGGTCCCTCAAGCCGCCATATGTTCTCTTGGGCGGAGTATCCTGTACTGTCGCCAAACCCCGGCTTTGTGTCCGTGATGAGGAGGTGGCTGTCGCAAGGCGAGTGGCTGCCGAAGCTGCGGGCAGAGCTCGGTGGGCAGCCGCGCTGAGCGTTGACGGGGTAGGTGCGTGGCGTGCGAGCATCGTGGACATTGGATGTGTTTGCTCTCGTGCAATTGATGCCCTGGGGACCGGCAAGCGGGCGTTGTCGTTGGCAGAGGTGGCGGTCGTGAAGTTCGCGGTCATTGACAGACGCCAAGCGATCCGATGACCTATGCTTTTTTTGGCCTGTGTGATTGGCCGCTTCCGTGCTTTGCTGACATCGTTGGCACTCTGAACATTTAACTCGATTACACCATCACCTACGCTAGGGTAATCATTCACTGTGTCCATACTCCCTTACCTTTCATGTACTGACACCTTTCCATTATGTGTCGTTGGAATGTGGGAGACACACATGCTGCCCACTGGCCCTAATGTGATGCCGTATCATTACAACTTTTGGATACCCGGCAGATGAAAGTTATGAAGAACTACTGCATAAGCAGGCATTCACAGGCCTACATATTGATCAGGATTTCGAAATGTCAGGACAATCGTGTTGAGACCCTCCTGCACGGCGCAGTGACGCACCGGGACTAACTCAGAGCACCTTTCTTCTCGCCTTCACCTCACAGTCCGAAGTCACAAAGGCGTCATTATGAATGCCCTCGCCAATTAATAACCGCTCGCAGCGGCCGCGTGCAGTTTAAATACAGTCTTCAGCCACATCCCTCACTTTCGTCACAGCACTCTTCGTCTAATTACCTCACAACTGTCTTTTTTCTCAAGTCTCTTGCTTGTGACATCTCCTATCTCATCTCACTTTTCTTCACTACTCTCCACGTCGATTCTAGTCTAGATCAATACACCAAACTCGGAAACATCGTTGCGGCGCGTTCCTACACTCTCAAGTCCCACGGCTGGCGAGACGCGCTTCAGTCGACCAGTCGCGTACCAAGCCGTCAGACCCAAAGCTGGACGAAATTGCGACGCCCATACCTGGAACCAGACACTGTTCATTTCTCCTATTGCAAATTCGACTTCGAAATGCCGATCAGACCCGGCGACCTCATGGCTGCAGCTCCGGGTCAAAAGATGGCCTCGGACGGTAGACGTATGCGAGTTCTCTGGGCCGATGGCGATGGCAACGGCAAGCCTAGCAGCTCCCTAATTGAGCGCTGCCAAACCACTCGGCTAGGCCATCCGACGTGGAAGATATTCTGCGGCAACGTTGCCAACTCCATCACCCGCGGCAAGAATGGGCCTCCCTACTATGTCTACCTGGATAACAGAGCCGCCTACGCGGTATGTGCCTCCCAAGTGTACACTAAGCAGGAGCTTAGGACCTTCTGGCCTTTCGAATTCGATATCAAGGGCATATCAGGAAGGCAAGGTCAAATAGGGGACGACCGGCTTATTTGGACGATTCTGCATCGAGTACGCAAAAGCTCGATGCGCAATATGCCCAAAAAATATGAGTTCTCTGGCGTGCCTGAACTATTTGATGGGAATCTACGTGCGCGTCAGACCCGGAAAGTAGAAGTTGATAAGGCTGTGTTTGCAGACCTTAATACTGACACTAAGTTGAAGACAGGTAGAGATGACAAGGATAAGAAGAACATGAGCCTTGTCGTCTCTGCCGCGGAGCACATCACACCCAAAGGCAACACAGGATCTCTCCACCCATCTCGCCTAAACGGGACCCGAGAATCTCCCCATGTGACGTTTAGTTCTCATCCAAAATCGATGCCTGGCGATCTCGCTACGTGGCTAGGGATGTTCAATCCGAAGAGGATTCTAAAGGAAGCGAGCCCGATAGATGATCCAGCACTGCTTGATCCGACGTCTAAGAAGAAGAGGAAGTTTATTCAGCCGTTTGACTTGAGCTCACCTAGTGCAAGTCCGGGTACGCCAGAGTTGAAGAGAAGCAAGGTGGAGGGAGGGATGGATAAGCTCACGCCGAAATCATCCACAACGGAAGGTCGAGAGTAAAAGCTTTCCTATACATTAAAGTTCTAAGGTTTTAGTACTTGCCAGGATATCCTAGCACGGGTTGGTTCTTGGTTCGATGCGACGGACGCTTTCTCTATTTTTCTTTTTTAAAATGTGCCCCACAATAGCCAGAAGACTCTCGCGCCCTTGAAAAGATTTGGGATATTCTAAGCAGATAACACTTTTTATTTCTGCAATCCCCACGCCTTCCACACGGTTTTGAATAGTAGACTAGTGAAGCCTGACATTCCCACTCAAAATACACCAAATGTTCATTTTACGTCTCTCGACTACCTTACAGTGTGCCCCTGGAGCAAAGACGTTCGCTCAGCTCACCCTTGTCCAGTCGTATCTTCGTTGGCAAACATGACTCGGCCATTTGCGCTGCTGGGGATCAGAAATACACGATAGGCACTGCGCTTGTAATGGTCATCAACACGGCAATCTGGGGTCTCTTTTACTAGTAGCTAACTTCTCCATAATATAACACTGCTGCTGCTAACAAACATTACCACACTACCGCTATGTAGTGAATACACACCACAGCTAAGCGAATTCACCTCCAGCTCCACGTTTTGAAATAACGGGTTGTGGCCACCTCCAATCATGCTTGTCGAGAGATTCTAACGTGCTCGTTGGTATGGTTATGGAATTTAAGATGTTCGAGCCGGGAGTATCACACTTACTACTTCAGATTGTGATCACCAATATCGAGCTAAGGTTACAACCCTAGCCACATATGGTAAGGGTCTAAGTTTGGTCTGTCCGTCTGGTATCGCATACGCAGAATTATGGGGGAGCTAAATTGTAACAGATTCGATCTTGTGATATCTATACTTGGGCGGTCACTGTTCGCGGTCGCTCATTCTTCCTCCTAGCATGCTCCGCTCGTCTTCGGATCCCCTTTGTATGCGATGCGCGTTTCCAGAATTTTTTGTTCACTTTGTCTCGTATGTTTTCCTCTGCAAACTAGAGACTACCAGGAAAAAATACGTGTAGCAACGCTAAACCTGCTGTAGGTACCCATTTCTCTAATTCCTTTCGGCCTCCTTGTACTCTGAATACGTCGTTGTTAGTTTTTGCAGGCTCCAACCAAGGAGGCACGCCTTCATATTTGTTCATTGTCTTTAGCCATTTAGGTATTTTGTCCGGGTTGCATTTGTCATCCTTCATCCAGTTTTCTAAAGGCGCAACACCCGCCAGAGCTTCATTTAGATCGACCTCCGCATCCGCATCATCAGTAAAGGGTAGATACTTCCCAACAATATATTTCTTCCGCTGAAACTCGGTAAGTTGCAAGCCTGCAGTTGCTGGATCTCTGGCCACACCAGCGGAATACACGTTCTGTGCCATGCCCATGGCACCCGTTCCGACCATGTACCAAGAATGGTTCTTCAATGCTATAACGCTAAGCAAGAGACAAACCCAGAGAGCGGAGATGATAACAAGGATAGGAGTTGTTTCCAGGCGCGGCTCACTGCTCGAGGTTGCGAAAGCCTCAAGGTCTGGCGAGCCCGGTGATCCGATGAAAACCATAACATGCATATGACCGTTTCCGCGGGTCAAACAGATGACGTTGTCTTTCTTGAGCCCTCTCACGGGCCACTTTTCGTCCTTCCATTGAGGCAACGCGCACGTAACTGAAGCCAGCAGGTTGCCGCTCAGTACCACCATCATAACTCCCCAGTCTCCGTACAGCACCCATGGTACAATAGCGACAGCGATTTGCGCTACGATAACGAGCCAGCCCAGCCACCACACGAAGTCCGTCTTGACCTTTTGGAGTGGCCCGAGTTCAAAAATGTCAATCCTAATCGAATCCGTCGTCCTGTCTATCGATGTGGAGAGTTCGTGATCTCGCAAGAGTCGTTCCAGGACCCAAGACTTGTTCTCGCGCTGAAACGCGTTCGCGCAGTTGATGACAATGGAGGATCTCTCGGGCGCGGGGAGTAATTTCTTGTCGCCAACTGAGGAAAAGAGGAGGCTGACTCCGAGCGCCACCCAACCGAATGAGAATGCGACTGGCGTAAGAGGAATGCAGATTAATGATGTGCGCCGGCCTGGAGATTTGGGTGCGGCTCTGTAACCATCGCGACAGGTACAGTAGCCCACCAGCTGGGCAATGGCCATCTGTACGATGTTGCCGCCGATAAGTAGTAGGAGGCTCAGTATGTCTGCTGGGTTTCGCCATTGATTTAAGAGAGCTTGACTGGTACTCGAATCCATAAATACTAGATTGTGTCTGTCGGCATAGCCCACGAAGTTCAATTAAGTGGAGTACTTCTACGCGGCCCATATGGACAGAGATCTGTAGTATCGCTGAAGGCTGTAGACAGCTATGATGCTTTTGAGGTGCTTTTCCTCTAGGGAATGCCCCCATTGGCTCCTATATTTGTAACAAGTGCGGCTGAGCTCACCGGCGCTTACAAGAAGGTAGCACCCCGCGATTGCCAACCTTGCGAGCTCAGGATCCATTTACTTCCCAAACACCCTGATATTATACCCTCCTTTTCCTAGGATCGGTGATCCATGTTGCAATATGCCTAAGTACCTCCTCAGTGTCTTGATTGTAACTTTGTGCTCCGCGCTACCGGTGGTGGCTGGGTCCGTGCTTGCTTATGTTGACTTAAGCTCTGGTCGGGGCAAAGGGTACCAAACAACTAGCGGTGAGGCCAAGACGAGCACCGAAGGAGAAGATACGGGTAGAATCCAAGATGAAGGCAGCCAAGATGAAGGCAGCCAAGATGAAAGGAGTCAAGAGAAAGGGACGGAAGCTGTGTGTGAAATCAAGACACAGGAACGTAAGGGTCTATTCTTTAGTTTACATGCAAGTGCTGTCTTTGATAAGCTGAAACTTACACGGAACTAGGGTTGCGTATCCTCATGGATGAAATATTACTCGGATATGCACTGAGCAACTTCTTCTCACACCACAGCGCACCAAGCTTTTTCATAATCTATGCACACGACAATTCTGAATATGGCAAGGCTGATGGTCGCACGATCCGCGAATTCATCCGTTACTTCGAGCAAATGAAGGCAAAAACACGTTCTGACCGATCTCAAGACCTAGAAGGCAGGGCAAAGCACAACATCTTCGACAATCAATCGTGTCTTCTTCCCAAAAGAGTTGCCACAGATCCCGTTGACAAAGTGCTCTTGTGCCACTCTGAAGTCCTCTCAAACTATTGTGCGGATAATGCGGGTCGCGAATTCATGTCCAAGCTGAAACACACCGGCAAGGATCTTCTGGACCTGCTGTATCACGGTAATAATGATGATCTCAATACTCAGCAAGTAGGCACAGATTATCAACAGGATTTGAAGGAGCTTGTCGAAAATCGCTGCTACGAGGCGGGATTCCATCATGTTCTAACCGAGCTTGCTTTTGTGGAGTTGCGAGCCTCCTATGACCACAACAGTACCAGCATCATTCCTGTTTCGCTTCGTGGCGGAAGCAAAGCAATTTTTAAAGATCTCCCATATCTGGAGAAAACAACACATTGCCTCAACATGAAACATTGCTGGGGTCCAGGCAGATTCCAACAACAGCAGAAGTTCTTCCTTACACTTCTGAAGAGAATTTATAGCGGCATGCCGCACGTGATCACGTTTATCAATGATCACTATGATACCGGAAGTGCAAACATCAAGGATAACCTGAACATACCAATCGAAGAGTTCCGACGGCACCTTCGTTGGGAAGTATCCGAAGAGCTGAGGCGCTCTCTAAAACATGGACCTTTTGAAGTGCCAAAGCGTTCCCTTACTGATTACATCGAACCCTGGACGAAGGGAGAGGCTACCGACCAACGCACTCCAGATATTGACATGCCAATTGAGCATGATAAATCATCTTCTAATCGCATTCCGAGATGGCTCCTCGTTTCACCAGATCAAAAGCAAAAGCGTAAGTGGTCTGGGCCAATACATGGCTCTGCTGACCCCCTCTAGGAATATTGGGTCTCTTAGGCTTTCCAGAAATGCGATACCGAATTGATGAGCTGCACGAGGCAGATTCAGAAACATTGGCCTGGGTAGAAACCCATCCGTCCTATCAGAAGTGGATTCACAATGACTCAGGAATGCTGGGGATCCGTGGAGTACCCGGCTGTGGTAAATCCACTGTCATGAAGTATATTCTCACCAAATTGCAACCCCAAAACAAGCAAACTCATCTGCATCTATATTTCTTCTTTTGGCAAGCAGGTCACGCTCTACAGTCTTCTAGAATGGGGTTCTACAGAGCACTACTCTACCAGTTATTGCGCAAAGTTCCAGCCGTGGGCTTCGATTACTGGGAGATGATGGACAAAGAGGACAGGTCGAATGCACCTCGAATATTGAGCCTAGATGAGTTGCAAACTCAGTTTCTAGCCGCTTTAACGAATGCCTGCGAAGTATTTCGGGTCAGAATATTCGTCGACGCCCTCGACGAAGTTGGACACGACGAGGCGCGCAAAATTGTTGCTGACCTTCGCAAGCTGAACAAATTGGCAAATCGATGGAAAAATCCTCTCAGCATCTGCTATAGCTGCAGGTACTATCCTGCAATCATTGTTGACAACGGTCTCCAGATACGAGTAGAGGAATGCAACGAAAACGATATTCAAAATTACGTTGACAAACAACTCTACTTATTGGAAATAGAAGAAGCCCAGAGATACGAGTTGCGGCGCATGATCTTAAGCAAAGCCTCCGGCATGTTCCTTTACGCCAAACTTATCATGTACCGACTGAAACAATCCTTCGACTACGGCTACAACACTCGAGAACTGTTCGAAATTGTTGAAGGTGTTCCAGAGGATCTTGCAAACTTTTACAGTGCCATCTTATCAAGAGCTCTAAATCTTGAACTTGATGCAGAGAAATGGCAAGATTTCATCATTGCAATTATGCAATACGTTGCTGTTGCCACACGACCTTTCACGATAACGGAAATGAGGTATGCACTCGCCTCGGATGAGATGTTCATGATCACTGGCGTCGAATCATGCGAAAGTTCCGCGGGATTCATTGCAGACAACTCAAAAATGTCCTATCTTGTCCAAAAGTATAGTGGGGGACTGTTGCAAGTCGTCGAACAGGAAGATCATGAAGGTGGAACGTGTTCTGTCATTCAACCTTTGCACCAAACCGTTGCAGGATACATCGCTAGTCCAAACATGCTGCGCGGTTTGAAAAGACAAGATCGCTCGCTGGGGTTTTCAGACTCGGAATGGGTCGGAAAGAGTCATGAAAGGCTTGCGCGATGTTGTTACCACTACATCAGGCTCGAGCATCTACGATGGGATGGCAAGACCAACAAAGAAATCCTGGACGCACCGTTCTGTGATTATGCAGTACATCAATGGTTCGAACACGTAGCTCGTGCAGCTGACTACGGAGTTTCACAGTCGTATATGAATCAAAGAGTTGGGCCAGAGGCTGGGAAAGAAGCCCGGGTCTTACTGAATCATTGGGAGTCTGCTCTAGGACGTGAAACACTCCGTAAACGCGGACTGACGCCAAATCCGACCCTAATCGACATATCGCACGCTTTCAAGTTCAAGGTTTAGACATGGCTTTCTAGATTTTGATGCACTACGGCAATCGTACATGAATACCTATGATAACTAGAACACTCAGGCACGTAGGGTCAGAAAGAGAAATGATCCATAGAATGAACGGAGAGCATTCACTGAATTCAAGACAGAATATATTTTCGGGGCTTCATGGATGGGATTCCGTTGGTGGTGTCTCATGAAGCATTGTGTAGCGTGGTGGAATTCCCTGACGTTTACCAAGTCTCTCTTAGTCGAGGGATATGATAATAGATTTGCGTCATACATGAGACCTTGTCCTTAGTGAAACATCTAAGTCATAAAGTAGCGCTAGAAGCATCTAAGCTCGTCAACAGTTTCAGAGATAAGTAGACACAGACCACGTGCCACGGGTAGGAATATACGG